CTTCATTGAGATGCTTCAGATATTCATTGTATGAGTTTGAAAAGACTAGAATGTTATCAAGATATACAAGGTATAAGATTTCATTCTATTTATAAAGAATTATATTCATCATTATTTGAAAGATAACAGACACATTTATCAGACTGAATAACATTATCAGGAATTTAAACTTCTCTTATTATGTATTAAATGCAGTTTGTGAGATTGACAGTTTATCTACACAGATCTGTCAGTATTCTGAGAGAAGATCAATCTTTAATAGATATCAAGTATTTTCAATCATATTCAACTGTTATTGAATTCATAACAGTGAATATTCATTCTTGATCATAAGCTTATTAAGTACTCAGTAATTAATACATATCTATCACTTCTCACTCATCTTTTTCATAAATAGAACTGAAAAGCCTTATATACTTGATGAGAGTTATATGAGACTATATTCTAGAAGGTCTGTGATCTGATACTTCTGTTCTTCAAGATGTGTTTGTGACAGAGAGTATGCATTCTGATTGACTGATTTTACATTCTTCATATCAATCTTATATACAAATTCTCATTTCAGCAGCAATTCTGATGAAAGATCTGTTCAGAAGATCTTCTTATACTTCTTCAGAAGCTTCTTTATATACTTATTCTTCTACATATCTTCTATCTTGATTTTCTTCACTTTCAGATCTCATATAACATACAGAATGCTTTTAGATAAGATCTTGTGAATCATCTTCTTTACTTATTAATATATAAGCAGATTTAATTCTTTTATATCAGAGATGTGAAATGTTCTTCTCATATCAGTTAATAGAATTATATGAACTGTTTTCTTTCTATCAGTCAACTATATATAATATGTACATCATTGAATCTGCAGATTGAATCTTTGAAATTAATTGAGTCTGAGAATAAGATTATATTTCACATTCTACAACTCTCACACTCAAATATAGTAAGATTATTCTCTGAAGTGTAAGAAAACTCTTACTCTTACAGATGATATTAAATATTAGTTATCAGATAATCTTATATATCAGAAATTCTTCACTCAGCAGATCTCTTTCAATCTTCAGATTATATAATTATTAATATATTATATAGAAGCTTCTATATCTGCTAACACTTTTACAGTCATCTCTCAATTCTTATCTAAGTGCTCTCTATATATTAACATTTCAGATCTTAAGATATTAAGATAAGTATTCACTTTATCATTCTTATCTGCATCTTATTCAGAAGCCTGCTTCTTCTTTACATTTACAGAATTCAGAGAATTATCTAACACAGACATCTCTTTCACTTTGAACACTTTTTATAGAATATCAGTAAGTATCTTCAAGCTCACTGATTCTGTCAGTTTTTTAACTCTCTTACTTCTCTTAACTGCACATACTAAGTGCAATCTTTTATATCATGATTTTAATATTTATAGTTGAAGTAAGCTCAATATTCACAATATTAAGATTTTCACTCAGAGAATCTCTTTTTTAAGAAATTCAGCACTTTAACAATAACATTCAGATCTAGATTCATCATATCTGAGTGTGTGACTTGTGTTATAGAAGTCTGATTACTCATTCTTCACTGAGATATACTTGATTACAGTATTTTCTATTATAATTGACTCACTTGTTTCTGTATAATAAGAATATTATATACTTCTTTTACTATGTCTGATTACAAGGTTAAGTATTTTCATTTCACTCTTAACTCAGATATAAGATTATTAATGAAGATCTGTAAACAGAATAATATTAAAAGCTCTTCATTTAATATAAGATAGTGTAAGCTGAAGTGTATAAAGTATAATATAAGATTACTTACTTATCTACACTCAGTGAAGTGTTTATAATACTTGTCTTATATATTCACTTTCTCAAAGTGATGCAAGATTCATTTGAAAAACTCATTTCATGTTTATAAGAATGAATATCACTCTGAGTCTATGAGATTCATCTTTTTATTAGTTATTTATAATAACTTCACTTTTCTGTGTAGAAATATGACAAATCTTAAGACTTGTTAAAATTTCATTAACTGTCTATCTATAAGTTTATATTCAATCTGATAATATGATTGCATCTGACTTAGTCAGCTGATTGCAGTATTATTTTTTCAGTTACTATTAAAGCTTAATAGCTTTAGCAGATCTTCTGACTTAATGTATCTCATACTTAGATTCTCATTCTGTGCAGTGATCTCTGATAATATATATACTTTTAAAGAGATTGTGAATGATTGTGATGAAATCTTCAGATTCAGTGTAGTTATCTATCTATATAAATATTTAATCTTCTACTATAGATCTAAGATCTGATTTTCTCTATTTTTATTGACAATGATGATTATGTTAATAAAGCTTTTCATAGTGAATGCTTAATCTGCAGTGAATACTAATTATTGTTTAACTTCTGTCTCAGTCTGTCACTGTATATATAAGATCTTAATCTTATTTAGAATTCTCATACATGTACAGAGCTTTGATTTCAGTTCAGCAGTTTCAGCTGCTTTTCTTACTGCTTTGAATAAACTCTCTGAGAGATTCTGTATATCTTTCAGTTCAGATAGCAGAGAAGAGTGTTGTTTATATTAACTAGAAGAGATATTCATTTTAGTGATTTCTTATTAATTGTATAATATCTATCATTATATTGTTGTATCACTATATCATTATAATTTCTGTTATCATTATATAACTCTGATGATGGCCACTCTCTCTCTTTTTATTCTTCTTTTAAGTAGGAAGTGAACTTCTTTGAATCTGATTCATCACTTTCATTCTCTTTCTCACACCTCATCTGTTCACATCTCATATGTGGCATTCACCTGGGTGTGGAGTTTTTTCTTAATAAGTAAAGCAGTATCAATCAGATGCTCTTCTGCTCACTGCTCTTTATACACTATCTTTTGAGGTGTTTCTAGAATCACACTGGCATGATAACTATAAATTGCTTTGTAGATGGAATTATCATGCCCTGAAGAAGCCTACACTTCTCACTGATTTTTAGACATGCTATCAGATGTGATTCAAAGGTTGCTTAAGCCAGTGTACAATTACAGGTGTACGCCGGCTTCTTATATATTGAATCTCATATGCTAAATTAATTAGTGGCTGCTAGGGCCCCCTTTACATTCGTACACTAGTAGTTCGGAAGCGGCCGCGTTTATTATCCGACGGTCGTACGTTCTTCCGAACCACAGATAGAAGATTTAGTATGATTGAATCTTAAGAAAATACAGATCACACACTTATCTCACATACTGAATTACTATTATATAAAGTATAAAGTAATAGAAGTTCTAAACAGTCACAACTACTATCTTAACATATTATCAGAAATTTATAATATCTTTTATATAAGCTTACTTTATTACACTGTCACTGATTCATTTTCTTCTCAACTGATTTTCAACTGACAGCTGCCAGAAATCATAGAAGAAGATAATGAACTTGAATAAGAGATTGAAGATATTCTTAATAAGAGATCTCATAGCTGTAACTGATAATATCTTATAAAATAAGTCAGTTATAATTATCTGATCTGAACTCTGAGTTTCATGTTATCTAAGATCACAGCTCTTGATCAATAAGAGCTATATATAATTAAGAAAGAAGAGAGAAACTAATATAACAGACTGCACTTAATCAATTATATAGACTATTTCATTACACTTCACAGATTTCTACTACTTCAATTCTCAGTCATTAATTCTTAGCTGAAAATCTACAGAATTTCTATTCTTCTACTCTAAAGCTTTACTATGTATAAAAACCTCTATTCTTTCACTCTGAAGTTTCATTATATATATTACTACATATGTATAAATATTCACTCTGATCATTGATTTTCACACTTTCTCTTTCTTTTCTTCTCTAATGTTTTTCTCTTTGTTATATAAGATCTATATATTATATCAATCTATTTAGCGTAGATCTCTTACAATTTGAAAGAAATTATAAATCTAAGTATTTTCTATAGATACAGTTTATATAAAAGATCTGTTTCTATTAATTCTTTCATTCTCTCTAATTTCTCTGATAATTTCTATCTACTCTTCAGCTACTCAGATTCTGATTGAGCTGATCTCTTAAATAATAATAGAAAATTAATATTCAGCTATATTTTTAAGCTTGTAGATAATCTGATTTTATAGTATTTAATAAAGTAATCTTATATATCTCTAAGTTTTAATAAGACTGAATATATAACTCTTAGTAAGACAGTCTGTGAAGTAATATGAATCTGAAATCTCATAATTAAGCTTGACTTTATTATTACATCTTTAATACAGATTCTCATTAATAATAAGAATATTATAGATCTTACAAAGATAACAGCTATTATAGTCTGAAGTAAGCACATTAACACATGTTTTCATTTTTCACATTGACAGTTGAATCAGAAGATTATTAATTTAGAATATATTCTCACTACTTAGATAATAGTAAATGAACTTACTAAATTTCTAAATACTGTAATATTTGTATAATTCATGATTTTGCTAGATCTTACAGGTGTAAAAGTTGAGAATATTTAATTTTACATTTGTATTTGGTTTTGACAGACTATCTTGGTGGTTTGGGTGTTTTTGTATGTGATTCTTGTTATCTTGAGGGGTTGTTGGCCGTTACAGCTGTTGCGGTTAGCAATCCCACTAGATCACGTGACCCACCACTATATTATGTTCTTGTAGATAGATCTATCAATACGACCTTCAACTATCCTACATCCATTTAGTGTAATAACTCGCGTAGATAGATTACACACACAACACAACAACGTTATCCTCCAAGATAATTTACGGTGATTACACCGTGGATCCACCATTCCACCCGTGTCATGTGTCGCCGATTGTAACACATGTTCCATCATTATATTCAGTGACACATCACTGAATATTAAACATCAAGATGCTACACCTGTATGCTACAATACTGAGCAAGTCTTCTAATGATGCTCATGATGACCGCCAATATCGACGCCAAAACGATGGAAATACCGATAACGATGCCAGGCCCCAGTGCCTATATGATGCCGGGCCACCGATTGCCCATATGATGACCTATGCCGATGACCTATGCCTATGCCTATGACAATCAAAACCACAAAAATAATGAGAATGAGATCCCGCGGCGTTAGAATGACTGGGGGTAATACCAATACTGAAAGAATGGATTTGTGCGTTCTTCTTGCATGTTTTTTATGTTTTTTTCATGTATGGAGCTAGTCCTTATGAGGAAACTAGACTCTACTTTTTGTAATTAATTTTTATTGCAGATTTGAATGATTTGGGTGCTTTTGACTGCGTGGTTAACTGGCCTGCGTAGCATGGGGGGGTGTTGGAGCTACTACACAAGCCCTAACCCACGTGACCCACACACATATATTTAGCTTCCACTAGCTGCTAGTTAGTTAGATCATAACAACAACAACCAACCATGTTCAACCTCTCTCACACATCCGCAAATCAGGTGATCCGGGCAGGCATACTACGTACCGTACTGTACTCCGTACTAGGAAAAGAGACGCGACATGACGGGGAAGAGAGGATCTGTGGTCTCCACTTCCCGGTCGATAATTGGCTACTTGTCTCCTCTGTATCGTATCCCTGCTAGCTCAGATCTATGGATGGCCCCACGATGCGCCTTTTTCTCGGGATTTGGAATTTTTTTCGTGCCCAAAACCCACCCCTCCCCGGGAGTCAGGCCATCTTCTCCCCGGTGTCGATCACCCGTCCCGAGGTCCCACGATCCAATAACGAGCCCCCACTTCCACTACCTTCCCTGTGGTGGTGTTAAAGAGTCCTGCTTCCTCATTAACTATCATTATCATTATTGTTTATTCTTCTTTATTAAGCATCCACCCTAGCCTAGCCACGCTCGAAGGGTTCGCCTCTGCGGCCGAGCGGTAGTATATAGCGGTTTGTGCTCCTCATGGGATTGTGAGTGTCCTCATGGTCCGCATGGTCGAATGCGCGTTCGACGGAGGCCAACCCTCCCAGCTTGCGCTGTAACGACTGGTTCACATTATGCGAAACTTTCAGAGGTGTCTTCGTCCGCAGCAACGTCCATCTCTACGCAGAACTTTTCCCCGGTATGGTAGGCTCGGCACTATGTAGTCGGTGTTTTAGCGGGGCGAACGAGCGCCGCGGATGGATGGGATAGGAGAGATTACGGGTTTTTTCTCTGATCTCTTTTACAGTGTCCACTTCTTGAATCCTCCAGTCATGCGTTGAGCCAACGTAAATACATTTATCTACGAACTCGCGTGGCGCAGTCTTGCCAACCAGCAGCCAGACGTTGTCGAACGCGGTTGCGACCCAGGAGAAGAGGATGGGGAGCGCAATGCAGATGGCCCCCGATGGGATCCAGATACCATGCGAATCTATCGCCCAAAATTGACATGATGAGACCGAATATGTTAACGGCAAGATCATTGCTGTGGTCGATGAAGAAGATGTGAGCCGCTGGGTAGCGGCGGATCCAGAGACTGTGGCGGAACAGACAGAATTTCGTAAAGATAGCTGCTACCCCAACAAAGATCAGTGGGGTTAGCTTTTAGTTTCGGATCGATTCGATAATAAGCTGCACCGCGACGATTGGTCGTCAGGGCGCAGAAGAGAATAATGCCCACCGTTTCGGCCCTGCGCTGTCCCACGGGATATTTGTGAGGTTTAGGTAAGGGCGGCCATCGGCGAAGTGATGAGCATGATGACCACGGACGAAACTAGATCCATGAATGCATCTGTCGCGACTGCGAAGAGGGCCAGCGAGTCCGTGTAATATAGCAGCGAACGTTTGGATGACGAAGAGGCATAGATTGACACTAAAGCTCCCGTTTACGGCCCATTTTACACTTGCCGCCGTTCTTTTCAAAGTCGAGTCGAGCCAATCGCTCCTCATCGCCGCTCTGGAGGAACTGGTCGATGAGACTATTCTGGCGGGCGTGGAATTTATGTACTTTTCTATGGTTCCCGGAGGGATAGTCCGTCTTGATGGAATCGCGGGTAAGCTCTGTTCTTTTCGGTTGATGGAGGGAGAGAGAATCATTGAGGTTGTTGTTGGCTTGCGATATCCCTCTCGAAGAAGGCAAAAAAGCTGGTTTGTGGGACGCATTCGTCGATCACTTCCTCACTATCGGGTGTTATTCTTGGAGACCTTGGAGTCTAAGCTATTGAGGTAGGATGAGAAGAAGTAGCATGCATCTCCTGTACTGGAGTCTGCTCTACAGAGCTGTTCGTTGGATCTGCCATATAGAAACGGCAAAACTCTTGAGGAGAACGCGCCAGTGGGATGCAAGTTGAAAGGTAGATGTCTCAATAGCAATGACAAGAGTGCCAATACAATATAAATTTCAATTTGAGAAACATTACGTATCGCCACAGATACTAAGATCCGTCGCGCTGTTGACCAGCAGAAACATCGAGATATAGAGTCGTGGACGCCAAACCGTCCGGCTCCGTGAGGGCAGTGTGCATCTTGTTCCGAAGTCAGGGGGAGATAACATGACAATGACGGGCACACAGCAGGCGATGAGATTTATCCGCTTACGACCAATCAGATCGTCAGATATGTTGCATTGGGCGGCTAAAAAGGGGTTGGGGCTGCTAACGCCTTGGCATTATAACTTGCTCCCTCGGCACAGCATACATACCCCCTTTCCTAGGGTCAGATATAAAACGCGCTCTTGCATACAAATCGCACCCACTAGCGGAGTTTTAACAAGGCCCTTCACTCTCTAACCTCCTTGACAGGATGGGCAGTCGTTTGTCTAACAGTCATGCCGCTCTGCCGTGACAGCGTTGTTCTGGCCAACAGAATGACCTGAGAACCCTAGGATATCGCTCATCTTCAGAGCATCTTCTTTGCCAATGTATCGTTTCACTTACTGGCTAACTGCGAGTACGTATGGTAGTGTATGGTAGTGATGGCCTTATATGTCGATTTTCGAGGCAAGTCGAGCCGTGGACTATCTTGAACAGTGTGGAGTGTGCTCCTTTTTCTCGAACCCCGTCGCCTCCTTTTCAGGTTTTGGCTTTTCTGGCTGAAACTGTTTTTTCCCCATTCTTCTCCTCATTTTTCATTTTTCATTTTATTTTTTATTTTTCTTGTTCCTTCTTGTATACTCAGCCTCCGAGAACGATTTAGCTGAATGCGATGCGCATTTCATAAATCGAGTTTATATCCCAAGGCTCTCTCCTACCCAGATCTTGTGATTTGAGCGCCCACGTCCAGTTGATAAACCGCTTCAGGATTGCAAATACTGGCCCTGTCTTGCCCATTGCTAGGTACTTTTTTGCATTTTAGCCGTTTTATGTCCCAATGATGGATCCAAGTATCCCGCCCTCTTTCATTCGTAACACCTCGTCGTGGATCCGGAGTCATCCAACCGGGACTCCTCAGCTTCCACCTTGACCGAGTTGATCCACCAATCCTAATGTTTATCTATGTACTTCAGCGCATATCGATATTTGTTGTCAAGCATCGCAACATCTCTAATTTCATTTCCTTTCAAGATGGTTTGATATCTGCCTCACTCTCTTTGCCTGGGCATTGCTGGTCAATGCTATTAGTACTTTTGTTTACCCTTTGTTTCCCACTGGCTGTAGGGCAGTCATATCCATCCTTCTTGCTTTTATTATATCTTTCATTTGTTGTATTTTAACGATCCTTCTTTTTTTCGCGGTGTCTTTCGCCCGGGTACGCCATTAGGGACGACAAGATGGAAGCAACTGAACGCCCAAAGTGCGGCTCTGGCAAAGCAGCGGAGGAATATGATCTGCCGCTTCATGTCGGTGCCCTCTGTACGTGCATCCCCACTCTACCAAACGCATTGACTGTGTAAGGTACCGGCTCTCTAACAATGTCCTGGTTCTTGTGCCCATTGTAAGCACGCTCTGTAAAGATCCTTATTTCACGGTTACTCGTTGGAGAAATAAAACAGATAAAACTTACTTACTTTTCGCTCAGCATGTGGTTTCCCTGTGGCTGCCAAGAAGATCCCATCCATGAAGATCCCACCAAATGCATTCTTCTTTTGCAAACATTTTGGAACTGGTGTCCTGATCCTGTTTGTGTTCATGTAAATTATTCGCTGTCGGAGTGATGATGGTTTTGATGTGTGCGGATGTTGGGATGCTAACATGATCCAGTTACTACCAACGGCATTCGCATCTTTAACCGACCCATGCCTGCCGCCTTTGTTCACAGAGCAGTATCCTGCTATGCCTGGTGTTAGTATACTGGCAGCCCTGCTTGCTCTGTTTTGTGTTGAGTTATGGATGAACACAAAAATAGGTGGTCACGGCAACGGTGGCGCAACGGGCCAGGATCTCGTCCATGTTGGCCATGGGTGTGGTTGGGTGGTAATAGTAATCATGAAAAGATTTCGTAGCCCAAGGAAAACAAGGTCATGAACAAAACCCTAGACAATGATTGGGATGGACAGTAAAACGTTCTATAAGTCACAGTGTGTTCCAACACACTTCTAATCCCCAGTTCGGAGAATGCTAATCTGTGATATCATATCATTTTTCTCTTCTCCCACAGGGAATTTGCTTCTCCCAGAGACTTTGACCGATCATACGTAAATTCCCAATCGGAAATGCCAGTCTGGTTTGTCGCCTTTTACAAACAGTTATATCCGCGAGCGCGAGTGGACCCACGCAATGCTTCACAGCCACGTTATGCAGGAACCCGAGCGGAAGAAGATAGAAAACAACACCTCCCAAGCCAGCGACCTAGGGCCTGGTGTTGACCCCGCCGTCTACAAAAAGATGTATCTCTCAACATCACCATTCTCGAAGGCGGTATCCTGTTGCATTCGGTATTCGTTGGCATGACCGTTTCAATCGAACCGGATGGTTTCCTCGTCCTCCTCATTGCCATCATCCTCTTCCACCAGGCGTCCGAAGGCTTGGGCTTAGGTTCCTGGATTACCCAAGTACCGTATCCAAAGAAATCTCTCCGTCCATGGGATTTTGACGATTGCCTTGGGCGGTACAGCTGCTCCGATTGGGCAGGAGGCCATTATTGGACTTATTGCCTGCACAAGCTATGATTCCTGCAAGCGCGTTCGCGTTAATCATAGTTGGAGTGTTTCAATGCTATGGAAGGTTTTTGTTAGCTCCGTGCGATATTTCTGCGTACAGACACGCCCTATATATGCCTGCTAAAACTAGGACCCGTTTTGATAGATCCTCCGGGCTTCTCATCCATGCCGCAACTGTGGATCTTCTGGTGGAGGATTTCTTGTGGCCGGAAGGGTTTAGCATGTCCAAGACGCAGAAGCTTTCGTGTTCATTTTCTTGGGGGGTGAGATTTTCCTTTTTTTTTTTTTTTTTTTTTTTTTTTTTTTTTTTTTTCCCATCCGCTGTGAGAGCTCTGGGCCTTGATGGGAAACGACCAAGTCCGAAATAGCATGGATGGGAAGGACACAAAGTTAAAAATAAATAAAAAGAAAACGTCAAAAACAATGACCTTTTGCCAGGCCATTATTCGGCAGTTATCAAGCCAACAAAAGGCCATTGGGAGAAGCCAACTTTTGTTAAACTTTTCACAAAAGTCAATCTGAATGGATGAGAACCGGGTTGCTCCTTGTACCTGTACATACATCGTTACATGCAACATGGCTAGCAGGAAAGTTACGTAACTTCCCGACTGGCTGGCCACGGAACGACATTCTTGTGCATCCTGATTTGTCGCAGCACTGGCCAGCAGCTGCTGGGATCTGTAACTCTGTAGCTCTTGTTACTCCGTAAACCTGGGGTATATGCGGCGGCGAAGAAGCCTTTGTTGTGTGTTGTGTGGTGGCAGCTGGGCAGCTGACTGGACCATTCACCGTCACCGTCACCGTCACCGTCACCGTCACCAGAGCCCCGACCAAGATGGCTGGAGTCCATTTTTCCATGCTGTTGTTATTGGATCTTGATTGATTGATTCCTAAACAAAAACATCCTTGAAATCAACAGCAATTGGACAGCTTTCCTTTCCCCAGGGGAGGGGGGGGTACTTCGGCAAGGGGTACTCCGCCCCGCCAAGGCAGCGCTTCCTAGTACCTGCCGCCGGGGTACCATAATTGCCCTGCCCTGCCATTGTAGGCTGTAACCAAGCCCCAGCGCCGCCGTTCATTTCGGCATCATTTATTCATTCGTTCGTATTTATTTATTTATTTATTTATTTTCTGCGGTGCTTCTCGCCAGGTTCTTGATGTCAAACTCGCCTTCGCTTCCTTGCGTTTTCTAGACTAGTTAGAATTATTAGAGTTGCGGCTACTTTTCTTCCTCCTTTGTTGGCTGTTTTTCCTCATCTCTCTCTCTCTCTGCTCTATCCAGATCGCCCGCTTTTCCGCCATCTCCGCCGTCCGTCCTGCTGCTGCTCTGATCTCCGAGGACACACGCGCCCTCCCCCCCCCCCTGGTGATCGGTTTGTCAGTTCCGCGGCCGGTGCGGTCGGCCGGTGGATCCTGCGTGACTCGGTCGTTGCCCAAGCCAGCCAGCGCTTCCCCCCACGTCCTCCTCGCATCGTCCTCGCTCTCCTCCTCCTCCTCCTCACCCACCTCCTCCCCCCCACCACATTGATCTGCTTTTTTCTTTTTTTCTTTTTTCTTTTTTTCTTTTTTCTCCCCCGTTCTTTGGCTACCTTACCTTGTATCCCGTTGCTTCTACAGCGCGAATTGTACACAGCCATCGACTGGCAACTGTTGTTCGACTTGGATATGTCCCAGCTCGACACCACGACTAGCAGCAGCGACGACGACGACCATCTCCGCCCGACCGCACACTTCCTAAGACGATATTCGCTAGTTCCGATGTGACTGTGAAAACAGAGTCAGGGTTTCCATCATGAGCTCTAAAGATAGTGCTGCCGTTGCGCACGCTGGCTCTGGGAAGGAGACCAATCCCCAGAGCCATCCGCATGAAGCCCATGAATCGCAAGAATGGCGCAACTCGAACAATCAAACGGATACAGATACCCCGCCGGATGCAAAAAGTCCGGATTCAGACGCAATGCCACCCAAGGCGCCACCATTACAAAAGCGACGACGGGTGACGAGAGCTTGCGACGAGTGTAGACGGAAAAAGATCAAATGCGACGGCAAGCAGCCGTGTACTCATTGTACCGTCTACAGTTATGGTATGGTAGCTTGATTACACTAGATTTTATCATTCTCTCTCCCTCTTAAAGGCGTTAACAGCTGATTTCTTGAGCCTTTCTTTCTCTCTCGTGTAGATTGTACCTATGATCAGCCTTCGAACCGGCGACGAAATCCTGCCCCACAGTATATCGAAGCGCTCGAAAACCGTGTACAAAAGGCGGAGGCGATTCTTCGCGCAGTGATCCCGGACCTTGACATCAATGACCCTCGCTTCGATACCGTTGGACCGGAAGAATTGGTTGCGCGAATCAGAGACCGCCTCAAAATTTCTGACAGGGGTGATCCAGAGGGGCAACAACTAGCAGGGCAGGAGAAGGGAGAGGAATCGCTTTTGGAGTCGATGGTCGATAATACGGGTTTGCTTGATGTTGACGATCAAGGACATTGGGATTACCATGGCCAATCGTCGGGGTTAATTTTTATGCGCCACCTACGGAAACAATTTGGTAATCTACCGGACCCTCGACCTGAAGACCGGCCAAAGACCAAATTCCAAAATATTTCCCACATTCTTGAAGGAACAAAATCGTCATCGGAATCCCCAATTGACTCCCATCTGTCTCCGCTTCATGATTTGCCCGAAAAGGAGGTTGCCCGCAAACTCTGTATGAATGCCCTCGAAGATGGCTGCTGCATCATGCGATTGCTACATATACCTAGCTTCTATGTTATGTTGGATCGAATTTATGACACCCCGCCTGAGAATTTCTCGAATGAGGAGAACAGTTTTTTGCCCTTGTTATATCTGGTCCTTGCTGTGGGCTGTCTTTTTAGAGGGGTTGGTGATTCTACACTAGATAAGTCGGGTTACGAGAGCGCAACAGATCAAGGGTACTACTACTGTTCTTTTCCGGGATATTTTCTCCTTACGGGGGACTGCATCCACGCTTGATTCGTACGTTTGTTTACTGACAGCTTTCCTTGCTACGAAAAACAGGTTCCAATATTTCAAAGCAGGACGACAGCTTCTTGACATTACGGAGTGCCGTGACCTTACGTCTCTACAGACTGTCTGCTTCATGATCCTGTTCCTTCAGTCATCAGCGAACATCAGCACCTGCTACTCCTATATAGGTATCGCGTTACGTGCCTCACTCCGCCTTGGCCTTCATCGATCCGTTTCAGCCAATTTTAATCCTATAGAGCTAGAAACTCGAAAGAGGGTATTTTGGGTCGTGCGAAAAATGGATGTGCACGTAAGTACGATCCTTGGCCTACCGTCAATGCTAAGTGAAGACGATATCGATCAAGAATACCCGCAAGCTATCGATGATGAGTTCATCACCGCGGAGAAAATTTTACCAATACCGCCAAACCATATCACTTTGATGGCTGGCGTGAACGCACATATCCGTCTCGGTCGCATTGTCATGAAAGTTGTCAAGTATATCTACCCTGTGAAGGTCGCAAACCAAGGTGCAAACCATACATACATGGTGAGCCACTCAAAAATTCGCGAACTTGAACGTGATTTGCAGGCTTGGCATGAGGATCTTCCCGATTCATTCAGACCGGGAGGGGATGCTCCCCCTCATATCGAGAGGTGTGTTCTCCTGTCATCATAAATAAAATCGAACTCCTAAAATGTGTTCTCACACTGACAGCTTGGCCAAAAAGAATGAGGCAATTACTTCGGATTGGCTACGCTCACGTGCAGATGGTTATGTATCGCCCGTTCCTTCATTATGTTACTGGCAACGCGCAGGACCGGAAAATTGACAAACGATCTTTTGCATGTGCTGCTGCATGTGTGAGTGTGGCGCGTAATGTCGTCCACATTACCGCTGGAATGAAAGAGAAGAAGCTCCTCAATGGCTCTTACTGGTTTACGATGTATACTACGTATTTTGCCGTGTTGTCACTGCTCTTCTTCATCCTTGAAAATCCTGAGTCGGCTACTGTCAAAGACGGCATCTTAAAAGATGCTCTCGAAGGCAAGAATGCACTTGCAGGGCTGGCTAAGAATAGTATGGCTGCGGATCGGTGTGCTCAAAGCTTAAATGTTTGTTCCCCCTTGCCCCCGTTTCGGCTAAAGTCCGATTCCTTTCGTGGACTGCCTTTACTGATATCAGCTTCTCTCAGTCTATTTTCAAACACCTGCCCGAAAAATTGCAAAATCGACGGAATACTCCAGTGCCCTTGAATAGGAAACGTGCTCAACCTACTCCACCACCGGCATCGAAACCCAGGGGCACAATGACACCACCCAACGTTACTACGGCTACCCCTGATACTCTGATCGTGCAACCTCCCCAAAGAGCAAAAACGTTCCCTGTTCATCTGCAAGCTTCGAAACAACTGGGACCAGCAAGGAATCAGACACTAGGTACAAGTGTTGACGATAGCCACCATATTCAGCCCCTGCGCTCATGGAGAGCGAATGAGCAGTCGCCGTTTGGTCTGCCTGAGTCTACTCCGAAGTCATCGTCTGCCAATGACGAAGATATGATGCGAAGTTCTTTGACACCATCACCGTCGCCCATCTCTTCCTCGCAGCAGACATTTTTGTCCTTTCACCAACTACCGAGCCATCAGCAACAGCAGCAGCAGCAGCAGCAGGCACATTCGCTGTCATCATCATCTTTGAAACAGGACACCTCATTTTCACCTCCCTTGGATAGCATGGCCTATATACCAGATCTAATGCCAATGATGTTCCCATCCGACGACCCCTTCGCCTATCCAACTCAGCCCATGTCGACGCTTGAAAACGACCATTTCAAAAAGGAGTCCAACATCCCAGGCGCACAGTATGGATTAAGGTCGTCTTCATCTTTGACAAATTCTTCTACAGATCCAACATCTGCCTCTACTCCGAGGCTCGACCCGTTCCACTCGTTCCAGTCGTTTACCAACACCAATAACACTCAGGATACTTCCGGTGGCACAGCCTCCTCATTACCACGCCATTTAAAACAATTTCCACAACTTTCCACCCTCGGGAACCAAATGACGTCCGCATCGGGCTCTACGTCTCCAGGGGGACTCTTGCAAAGTCCGGACCTCATCTCAATGTCCGATGAGTCCTTCCTCTGGCAGGACCTGGAATCGCAGCATCTATCTCAACAGCAGCATCAACAGCAACACCAATTATCCCAGCAGCATCAGCCTGATAACCAATCTGTCCGCGACCACTCCATGTCAGGGACCCCCGGATTTGGCATGGGGATGGGCGTTACTGGCTTTGGCGGCCTCGGAATGGGCATGGGAATGAATATGGGTGTTAACTTGGACGATCTGCTCGGAAATCTATCTGCGGGCGCCGGGAATGATGCTGATGGCGGCGTGGGTGCCGCCGGGTCAGATGGAAATATTGAGTGGAGTCAGTGGACGGACACCGGGTTATGAAAATATTAATAAAAGAATGAAAATGAAAATGAATTGGAAAGAGAAAGGCAAAACAACATACCAATCTTGGGAGTCACATGGTTAATTATTTTTTGTGGCAACTGATTGGACAAAACTAACCACTGTGCATGAACTTGGTGCAGAAGTTAATTCATCCACCCCCCAGATTCTCAAGGTGAAAAACCTACTTCAATTTCAGGATTGGCGGTAATATCAACTAGGACATGGGATTTCTTAAGAAAAACAAACACCCTCAAAATAATCACTTCCTACAGGTTTGTACCTTTGGTCTTTGTTTGTTGTTCATTGTTCCCAACGAAGCTGATTTTTCAGAAAGAATTGATTCCTGAAAGTTTTTAGCATTGTGTTATTTACAGTTTATTATTCTATTCTATTCTATTATTATTGCCATTTCTTTCTCCCTCTTATACATCATTTGCATTTATGATGACTTCTACTAATTCCAATTTCATTATCATGATATAATGAATGATGTCATGACAATTGTGGGAGCAAATTCCTCCAAGGAAATTCTCCGAGATTTCTCCACTCCGTTCTTTTTTTTCTTTTTTTTTTCCACCTTCTATTTTTGCGCTCTTCATTGATAGAATATATGTTTCTTGATTTCGAGTTCGATTTGTTTCATATTACTTCATCTTCGTCCGTATTTTCTCCTTTTTCTTCTCTCTGCTTTGCTAGAATAATCTAGAAGAAGAGTTCTGTACACATAGCATAGTTAACATACCAAGCCGTATAATATTAATTAAACTGAATATAGTATATTCTATTATTTTTTTAAATCCAAACCCAACCCCCCTCCATCAATTATTGAACCTGACGATAAACTAATAAATAATCTTCCGCTATCTCCAATTACCCCAATTCACTCAACCTCCGCACCAAACTCAACCTCCGCACCTCGTGAGGGGTTGCACACTGTGTAGACCGCGCGATTATTACAACCAACAATAAACGCCAGCAAATCCGCATTTCTGCCAAGCACTATTTCAGAGCAACAGAGGCTTGTCCTGCAGCTCTCTTCTCCAGTACACACATACATGTACATGTACATGTACATGTACATACTCCAAAAAGGCCCGTCTGGGCCAACGTGGTCGGATGGTTTCTGTCCAGGTTACTCCGTACAAGTTACTACTTATTTACAAGTAATGACCTTCCTGTGAGAATGAATTGGTTGGCAGCTGTAAAATGGATGATGATTGTTTTGACAATTTGTGTTTTGAATTATTATTACTCCTAGACGCAAGGAAATTTTGAAAAACTTTTAAATAATAAGATGCGAATTCTCCGTATTTCCAGGAAGAAGAAGATCGGTGACAGCAGCAAATTAGTTAATACCTGCAACCTCTCCTTTCTTACTTGTGTCTGGTGCTGGCGTTTGCCGCTGCTTCAGCGGTCAATCTCAGCGCTGCCGGTGCGTCCTCTTTGGGGATATGTAGCTCGACAAGCTGGTGATATTTTCAAACAGAGAGCAGTTAGTTATTGTCTTCTTCCTATCTTGGGGTAATGAAAAGCCAAAGGTATATACATATATATATATATATATAGATATATAGATATATATATAAACATGCGGTAAAGGCGAAATCATGATCCTGAGAAGATAAAAGATAGGAGAAAACTCACCTGCAAAACCTTAGAAGAAGAAAAACTCTCGTCCGCAAACAAGGCGGTCAATTCCTTCTCCGTCTTGATAGAGTGTGTTTTGAATGTATTCGGCTTGGCTCCGAATGCTGGGACGAGATCGCTGAATTTCCAGGGCTGGATGTCGTTGTATACCGCATCCCAGCCGTGAATGCATCGTTCGATAGTGTAGCCGTCGTTACAAATTACGAAGCTAGGGTTGTTAGCGATGACGTGGATATTTCAGTGACACCAGATATACATATATATATATATATTATATTATAGATGTATGTAATATCGAGGAGTTTTTTTACCAGTGTCAGGAATCAGGGGGTTGTTAACTCACATGATAGGGGTTAGGTTATGTCGGATAATGGTGCTCAATTCTTGCGCTGTTAGCTGGAAGCTTCCATCCCCGATAAACAGAATCGTTCGTTGGCCTTGGTTCTTCTCTTTCGTTGCAAGAGCAGCGCCTTGACAGGCACCAAGTGCATAGCCAATACTGCCCCACAGAACCTGGCTTAGGGCAATCACACCCTTGGGAAACCTTGTTTCCCATATGCCAAAGTTGGCTGTACCTGTTTCGGTTATGATAACGTCCTTCTCCCTAAGCCATCGGCCAACCGTAGGCCAGAACCATGCATGGGTTATAGCAGATGAGGTTTCACGAAGTTCGTGTTTCGGTGGCTGGTTCGTGATTATGCGGCCCGGGGTTGTGTTTAGCTCCCCCATGCGGTCGGCCACTTTGCGAAGAACACCCTTCATGTGGATGTTTGGATATTCAGAGTAGCGAACGGCAACGTAGGTGCTATGAAAGTCAATTGAATTCATACGACCGATACGGTAAGTAAATCCAGTCGTGTTGAAGTCTGACTTAATGGCGCCAATGTTAAGGATCAGATCGGACGACTCGACAAGTTCTTTGACCCCTGCACTTGAGCCATCACCGGCATAGACACCGCCGTAGTTCGGAAGCGTTTCGTCAATAGCACTCTTTCCCATTGGGGTGACGAAAGTCGGCAAACCAGATCTTGTGACGAGGTCATGCACCTCGTTGAGGACACGGTGCCGGATAGCACAAGCGTCTATCAGGATGACCGGAGATTTTGCAGCATGGAGATACTTCAAAACGACGTCCACGACGTATTCCTCCTTTTCCTCTTCGTTGTCTGGGCGCTTGAGGTCAATCGGGACTTTCAGTCGTTCCCCTTCCACCTTCTTCTTCACCATATCAGTAGGCAAAGTGATGTATACTGGTCGACTCCGGATCCAACATTCCCGTATGGCGCTGTCAATAAGAGCCGCAGCTTCATGTGGGTCGTTCAACTTGGCAACGTAGCATGAAATGTTGGCACTCATGTTAACAAAGACATTGAAGTCTCCGTTGCCCAAGGTATGATGGAGCAGCATGCCATCGCGCTGGGAAGCTGTACTGGGTTGGCCGACGATATGCACGACGGGGACGTACTCGGAAAAAGACCCGGCGATGGCATTTAGGGCGGAGAGCTCTCCGACGCCGAAGGTTGTGACGAGTGCTCCCATTCCATTCACGCGTGCGTATCCATCCGCAGCATATCCTAGAATTAGGGAGTTGAGCTTTAGTAATTATAACTTTGAATGGGATTAACTACAGCGAGTCCAATTTACGGGTGGATGCTATGTTTGTATATGCATACCAGCGTTTAGTTCATTGCAATTGCCAACCCATTCGAGGCCACAATTGGGCAAATAATCCAATGCCACTAGGTTGTAGTCACCTAGAAGAATAATCTATTATTAGCATGATCCAATTTCGATTGATTGAGAAGGAGAGGTACCCTACCTGGAAGGCCATGGACAGATCGAATTCCGACCTGACGGAGCCGCGTAAACAGATACTGGGCAACGTCAACGGGAGATTTAAGCTCGTTTCTCGGAATATCGGCTGCCATTATAGCTGTGATTGGTATTCAAAAATGGAATGGACTTGTTGATGGGAAGCTAGACCAATTACACGGAAAATGATAAGAGAGAGGAGATATATAACGAGGTTAAAATGATATGTGCTGGCTGGAAGCCAGAACCAGCTTTAAGTAGTTGGCAGAGTCTCGCTATTTCTACGCTCTAGGTCCTTACAGCCGGCACCGTTGCCATTGAGACAGCACATGTTTTCCTGGCAAAGTTTGAGATGGGGAACAGTGATGAGCAATGTATGATGTCAACACAGCCGCCGAGTTCCTGTTGTCAGTTTACGTACTACGTAGATAAGTAACTTATAGTTAGTTACTACTAATAAGTGTATCTAGCTTGGAGGAGACAAAGAAAAGCCACCGGGTTAAGTCGGCCGTGGATATCACGTGGGAACTAACCCTTTTTGGTAATCAAGACGTCCGTCAGGGTACGGTAGGGATGGCGTAGGAGAATTCTGAATTAACAACTTTAGTTGACAGGAGGAACCCTGCGTTCACCATAGCTCTGTTCTAGTATTTATGCTAGGATCTGGGCAGTAAAATTATCCTTACCAGTAACTATTGACCAACCCGCTTGGAAACCCGCCCTTTAATCCTCGGGCCACTCAAGACAAACTGACTGCCTTGTATGTATATCTTTCAAGAAATAAGTCTTGACTATGGCTGGAATTGGTATCTTCTTAATATTATCCCAATGGTGGCTGGATTCTTGTTTGTCTCCGCTAACCTCTACACCAGGAATTGTTTCAGCCGCTGAAGAGGTCGAGGCCGTCGACAAACAGGGGAGAACTCGTGGTGGGTTTTGCCCTGCCATTTATCATCCCTCATGCCGGGCCCAGCAAAAAGATCTCATGATGGTTGGGGAGATAAGCCATCAAAGAAAACCAAGGTGCGGATGCACTTTTTTTATATTATTACATAGTCCTACTTTTTCGGCTCTAGCGCAATGTCTCACCTCAAAAGGCTCAACGGGATCCTATATTGGATTATCTAACATTGAAACATAACTAGAAATCAAACCTTTGGTTCAACAAGAGCAATACGCGCCAATGGAGTTATAGGCGTGTCATCGAGAGAGGTGACGCGGGCATGTTTGTCACGTCGAACAGGGGAAAGGAAGCAAAATGCGTCTCCGAGATGATAGACATACTCTATCAAGTCAGTCTTACTTGGGCCCCTTTAATACTTGCTCTGCTTCTCCAAAACCTCCACCTTGAGAAAAAAAGTCTCATCCTCCGTTATGAAATAGGATCTAGAAAGCCAAAAGCTTCTAGCTGGAACACCAAAGGATGGAACATCTACCTCGGATATAGATAGTAAACAACAAGAAGAAGAAAAGGAGGAAGACGATATCGAGGCTCAAATCCGCAAGGAAGTAGATGACTTGAAACCAAACAAGGACAAAAAAAACACCAATCCTTTCCAGGCGGTGAAACTAGACATACCCTGCCGTACGTCACCTCCCACATAATTGGCCCCAACCCGTCCCATCCCAAAATAACAACCTAACACTTAAAAAAAAACCCCTCCCATCCAAACGCACACAGTTTCCTTCATAAAAATCGATAAAACCCTCGACCCAGTCCAAATCGCCCATCGCCTCTGCACAGAGGCGCGGGAAAACCCATCCAAAAAGCGCAGCCGATGGATCCAGCGGATAACGCCCATAACACTCACGCAAAAAGTCCTTGGTGGTGGCATTGAGCAATTATCGCGTGAGGTTCTTAAACCACATTTCCACTCCGGCGGGCCGTCGAAAAAGGTGAGGGCAATCAATCTACCGGGTACTCCCTTAAGACCTTCGGTTTCCCGCGTCCCCTAACCCCGCCGTCACCCTTCTTCTATCTTCATCTACCCGAAGTCAGACCCGTGAACCCCCTAACTAAAATTCCCGAACCCCTGAAAAGATATATTATATATACCTCAACGAATATTCCAACGCTTACCTCTCATTGCTTAGTACGCGATCCGCACCTCAATAAGAAACAACACAGAATGGACCCGCGACACCTTAATCCCCCTCGTAGCCAAAGCCGTCGGACCCGGCCACTCAGTCGATTTGAAAAACTACGACCTGCTGATCCTGGTGGATATCGTCCAGGTAAATAAATAACTCTCTTTGCAGCGTTTCTCTTCTCATACTTACTACTACTTAACCCCTTTTCATTTCCACCTCCCCTCCCCTCCCCACCGCTACCTTCCCATAACCCTAACCTCACCACCCCAACCCAAAAAAAAACAGAACATATGCGGCATGAGCGTCGTCGGTCCCGACTACGACGAGCTGAAGAGATACAATCTCTCCGAAATATACGATCCGACCCCCAAACCGGGACCCAAGCCTTCACCCGCACCCGCACCCGCATCCGTGTCCGCCGCTTCAGCAGATGAAAGCAATACGCCAGCCGGTGCTGACACTGCCGCTGACGCTACCGCTGACATTGACTCAACGCCCCCGACTCCAGTTATCCCAGCAGCGGTAGAAGGTGGAAGTGAGGCAGGAGAGAAAACAACTTGAATATAAACCACGTGGATTGCCCTCCTTTCTCCTCTTCTTCCCTCCTCTTCCCCCCTCTTCCCCCCGGCTGTTGGCGCCACATCGATTTATACTGTATATGTGTGCGTGTGTGTGTGTTGTGTTGTAGTCCGGGAACGAGCGAGTGGGGAGTTGGAGCGAAGTTCATACTCATGGAGCCGGCAGAAGAAAATTACATAGAAATCGTTTAACATCCTGTAAAGCAGAATATGATTCACTCGACCTTTTTTTTTCTTTTTTTCAAAACGTTTTCAGTAGCTGGCGATGTGCAAGAAAGGTTCCAGTAGAACTACTCCCTAAAAGTAACATGAAAAGATCAAAAAAGACGGGGAGCAACCGATTTAAATTTCTGCTACCGATAATGGAAAATATCTACCCACAATAGGGATACCAGAGTCGTAATTATCTAAAACAACCATTCAGATTCTGGCAGAAGCAACGTCGCTAGGCCCGATGATTCCTTGTTTCTGTTTTAATTTTTCTGACAAAGACACAACCAGCCCTGCCTTCGTGCCTCCCCTACCTCTGCTTGTTCGCACTGTAAGGACTCTTTCCCCAGTCAAGGCAAAATCAAGGTTCTCTCCCCCCCGGTCCTAAAATTCAACGATCCCCGTTACAAATCCATCTCCATCGTGAAACACAGCGACAACCGCTGTTCAGATATACCACATCTTCAACGCTAAGCGATCACCCTCACCGATCGGAAGCAGCTGCCTTCCTTCAGACTTCGGGGGCTCCGCTGAAGTTGGGGCTTGGCCCTGTTTGACCTGAGGCCCAGAGCGGGGACCGGAGCTCGCGGGAATATTTTCATGCGCACGAGCCCGGTTGGAGACCAAATGGGCATAATACACGGCGGGAACTTGGGGAATTTATCTTTTAGTTTATGCACGCAATCAGAAGGGGGAAATAATAACTTACAAAGTGACACTGAAGTGGTCGATCGCATGTATTGGTAACAATGCTCATAAATCATGTTCTGCAAGTCTTTGGGCGCGTGGTTCATTTCATCAACCAGCACATGATAATGGACGGGGCGGGATGTGCCTTGCAAAGCGATATGCGACCACAAAAAGAAATCCCATCCATGGGCACTAGTAACGTCCCTCTCAACCAAAGTGCCTGGCAATACATTTCCATTCTTATCCGCTGCATTGCGGTCCCCTGGTTGAGGAAAGGCGCGAATATGATGGCGTTTTGAGGCGACTACCACAGTGATCCTTCCGCCCCATTCGACACCCTTATTGAATTCATTTAGCAAAGCTCTAACAAAGGGTATCTCCTGTTGCAAAACTTGCTGGAACTCGCCCTCTGACACTCCATCGCGGAAGTAGTAGATATTCTGAGGGATTCTACCTTGGCCCACTGTTGCAGACCATTCGCGGATGAGTGGGGTAAGCATGGATTTGATATTAGCTTGGCTTATCATCTCCACACGATCACCATTTGTTTCACAAGCTCCGGTATACCGACCACCAAATTGATCCATAGATACAGTCATAGCGGCCATCGATGGGGCAAAGCTTCCCGGGGCGGAATGAGAGATATCGGCTCCGATAATCATGCTGAAAGGAGCTAGGCCTTTGGTAATTTTTGAGGCAATCCTCGCAGTGGTCCCTCCGAGCTTCGCATTGACTTTCATTAAAACATTTGAAATGTATTGGCCGTTGCACTTTGCAACTTGGGAAGCCTGCAAAACCTGGGAAACAACACCGAAGCGACAGTCACAAGATTTCTTGATCCTGGTGTAATGGAATGCATTTTTATCCATCACTATGAAAATAAGCAGCTGGGGCCGCTGATTAAACTTGTTTCCAGTAGAATGAAACAGGTTGTATGCTGCTTTTGCAGGATCTGCTTCTACCTCACCAATAAATGGTCGAGTGCTGGCAACAACTCCACCGTGGCCTTGGTATGCACGCACAAATGCATCAACAAACCTTTCCACATCTGCCTGGTTGACATGGCGACTCCTGAACACACCGACGCCCCAAGAAGTCAGTGGCTTTGAGTTTTTGGAGTAAAACTTCTTCCCACGAAGATCCCATCGGCCTGCAGTACCTGGATTCACACGTTGATTACCTCCAAAAATGATCTCTGGGTTAGGGAGTAGGCGGGCCTTTGTGGTCGTCATGGACTCAGAAATCTTTAAGCCGAAGGCATTAAGCACAGGGTCTGTGGCGTGGGCAAGATTCAATTTCGACTCTTCAACTGCTTTGCGGCGTTCGCTTGGACGTGTGACAGCAAATTTGATCATTGATGCTGTCTGGAGCTCATTAAGCTTAAAAGGAAATCTCTGCGGACGATGGATTGCCAGAAATTCCATGGGATACACCACTCCCTTTTTGGTCATTTTCACGAGAGGAAGTTCCCAGTAGCTGAGAACAACATTGTACCTAGAGCGGAAGTAGTCATAGATACTGATAGTGCGAACTTGACCAGTCGCCCTGTCAGGCATATCGATCGTGTATTCCTTCGCATTGACCGGAAGGAATCCTTTGATCGTCCATTCCCTCTCCGGGCAAGGACAACCCTTATACGAGGCCTTCACAGTTAATTTGTGAAAGCGGCTTAGCTGATGGAATTTGGCGGATGGAGCACGACCGCCATGGCCATCGTCAACCGGCTTGGTCCAGCTCATAAGTTGCTGGACATCGCGAAGTTCCAGGGCCTCGATCGCCGCACTCAGGAGAGAGATAAGAGCCCAAAAACAGGAATTGGAAACATCGACGTTTAGGGCCAACCGACCAGGCTAGAAAGATGTCAACATGATATCAATTGAATGTTTGGGGGCAACGTACGTTGACCGCACGAATGGCCTGGTAGATGCCTTTGTATGCAAATACCCCGCCTCCAACGGACGCCTTTGGGTTTTTTTCACTAAAGAAGGAGCGCTTAATCGGAATGAATTTTTCGCTGGGGGTCTCTCTCAACACATGGTCGAGGAAGCCTTGGGAAAGATTAAGTTAGATGAAAATCAAAAGCTAGAGTAAAAGTGAAGAGGATCACATACTCAGCCCTTCCAATACTTCCTTGGAGATGCTTCCATTGCCGCGAAGATACTCCTCAATTACTGCGAGGTTAACCTTCTTCGTGTGGCGAACCACCAAGCGAAATATATTTGGGTCTTTTGATCCAGATCTGCCCTGCTCGGCGTCTAGGTCAACCATGACGTTAACGTCATTAGGCAGTCGGTCAAGCGACCTGAGGAGCTGTTAGCCGAACGAAAGCTAACCTTTAGTAAGTGAACTGTGAGCTTACCACGCCAATTTATTCCCATCGAAGATAAACTTTTTTCCAGTTTTGGCCATTCTTGTTTTCGACTGCCACACCTTCTGTACTACGGCGCGTTTTTCGGAGCCATTACCGATGTGTACCTAGAGGAGAATGAGTAATAAAATCGGGGCTTCGGAGTAAAAGCGTAACTTACATCGTACTGATACACGGGCTTGGTGGGGAACTGGGTGATGGCGTACGAATTTACAGCTACGGCAATCTCTTTGCCAGTAGCGTTATAACCCGCGCGCTTGGCAAGGTCCTTTCGAGCGAAGAACTGTTCAGCGGACTGGTCAGTGACATGTATATGACGAAATAAGCTCGCGTCATCTGTCTTTTGCGAAGGCGCTTTGGACCCTCCGGAGCCGCTCATTGTAGAAAAATATATGATCCTGGAATACAAATGGAAAGGGGATAGGATGTAGAACAATAAAAGAAATAGCAATATTTCAGGGTAATAATAGAATTATGGGAACGAAAACGACGAGAGGTAGGAAGCACATGGGAGAAGAGGCAGAAGGGAAGAAGACAATATAAGCGGAATGGAAAGGCCCTTTTATCTTTAGCAGAAGGATGGGTGTGAATTCCCCCCGTATGGTAATGGTCCACCCAAATCAGGCAGCTTGACTGAAATTCATCCCAGAGAATTTTCTTGGTGTGAAGCTGGGGCTGTGTCCGGCGCTGGAGAAAGAAGGGTTCAAGACTGTCTTTGTGAATGCAATGTACGTCCCCATATCCGAGAAGTTACATGATAAAGCTTTCACTCCGCTTTGCATACTCTATGGATTGTTGTTGTCACACCTCCCGACGCTGGAAACTGTAACAAGGTAGACAGGCTACCCGTCATTCCAGCCTTTGAGAAGATATTTGGCTTCTCCCCATAGCCAGCCAGCAATGAAAAGCGGAACAACTAGTTACAGTTGCCCCACAAGGTGAATCATACATGGAAAGCAGACATTGCAGACTTCAAGGCAATATGGTAACAGTAATAAGACAGGGAATTATGCTTACTTCTGGGTTTAGCTGATAAGCATCCGCTGGTAAATCAACATTTCGACACATATCTGTCAATTTCGGAATCCTTTCCGGATCACGAGCAGGGTCTCGCAGAGGGGGGTTCCCAGTCTCCATCCTCTGAGCGATGCTACCAAAGGTTGGGGTGCCTGGGGCCGGGCTTCTACCACGGGCTGACGGTGACCCAGCGCGTGGTGAGCCAGGAGGTGAATTCATCCCAGTGCGTGGTAAGCCGGGAGGGGAGTGCATGCCAGCACGTTGGCTAGTGCTTCCTGGACCTGATGTCCCGTCGAGTTGCGTATGGCTCTGGGGGGGACTATTCCCATTGTCTTCTTGGGTGGTACCATTTCGCCTGTCGCGTTGGCGACGACGCTTGCCCGCACCAGACATGATTCTATAGTCTATCAATGGAATGACTTAAATTTGAGGTGGCCGTGGGTTGAATCAGAGGGAGATGGATGAGGGAGAGTATAGTGTGTGCTAGGTAACAGTTTGCCGGGGAGGAATCAACGCACGATAGTATGGAATGCAGTATACACCAAGGGAAAATGCTAACTATCCGAGGATGACGCTGCTGGGCTCGATGGCCGGCAAAATAACAAGACGTGTATAATATGGCAGAAAGCTTGGGATTGGAGTGTTAAAGAGTTTGTGGAGAAAGGGAACAAGCAGGCAACACAAAGAAGGAGAAGTAGCAACAACCGCAACAACGAAAACAAAAGACGCGGATAGTGAGCTGGATGAGAACAGATTAACGGTGGATGGCAGCAAAACCAGCTTGGAGCAACTAACAGACAGGTAGCCGCAGCCTGCACAGGCAATGCAAAGAATGATAGCCGCAGGACGCGTTTTGTTTTGTTCTCTATCCGTCCGTGCTATGAGGGGTGTTCCACAACAAGAAAGTGAGGGAAAAGATGAGAAGAGAATGATATCTCAACTGGGAGATACTGCTAAATGTGACTACGCGTGTAATGAGGGCAGAATAACCGGGGGTATGACGGGAAAGTAAGGAGAAAATGAAGCTGGAGCTGATGATTGAAGTGGATAATGTATCGCGAGGTCTTTATGCACGCGATAGAGAGTATGTGAGAGCGATGTGGGCAAGCACGGGTATCAACAGCGGTAAGAGAAAGGATTGAGAAAGAGAAAAGAGAGGAAAGGTAGAAATAGCTCACCTTACCAGTGTATGTGGCAGTCCAAAGGCTCTTAAGAGTACAGGAAAGATCAGTCCGATGATGGGAGTGAGAAAAAGCAAGCACTGAAGGGAAGTTGAGATATTTTCAAGGTGCTGCTGACTATAGCAATGCAGATATGGAAGGCCAGCTAGATGCCGAAGATAGATGATAGATGATGATGAAGAAGAAGGAGGAGGAAAAGGAGAAGGGTAAGATGATGACGATGATGATAGATGATGATGATGAAGAAGAAGGAAAAGGGACAAGAGAAGAGAGGAGAAGAATCGATATAAGATGGTTGTTGTCTCCTGGCGCTGAGCAACAACAACACAACACAACACAACACAACACGTCCCGATTGGGAAGGCTTTGTCTTCCCGCCATCCTACTATCAGTTGCCATCAGAGCCCCAGCCGCTGCTCCATATGGTCTCCATCCCAACAATTCTCCGATACATGGGCGGTATGCCATTCTCCCAGGCAAGAGGCAATGAATGTGTGTACGAAGGGCTAGCGGCACCTCCAGAGAGAATTTCACAACAAGGTCATGGTATCCCCTCCCCGTCCACAACCCATTAATTACCCCTCAAAATGGGTATGACTTGTCGAACAGTTTTATTCAGCTCGACTGAAAGGACGAAAAATCTCAGGGAGACAGGCAGTGCGAAGAAGAGAAGAGAAGCTCGAAACACCAGTTTCCCGCTTCTCCCGACGCCGTCGAATACACCCAGTATTATTAACATCAGCCTGCGAAATACCCTGAGTAAAAAGATCTCCTGGCCCATCCATATTGATAGACAGGTAGATTTCCATAACACATCCCCCTTCTATCTCCCCTGCCCGGTAGTAAGAAAATGGGGATGCAGTTGTTGAAATAAGGTTATAGTTACGCTAGCGCAAAGCTATATGTTCAGGCTAATTTGCTCTTTTGCTTTTTCGCTTTTTCTTTCCTTTTTCAAGGGGCATTTAGATTATCTCGCGCCAGAAGAATCAACTGCAATATTAATAACGATATAAAAGTTCCTATTGCAACGAAATTATAATAGCACGAATGCCTGACATTGTAATAACGTCATGCATACACACGCTTGAAAGGGGCGAGAGGACGGAATATACCTGAATAGAAATAATATTCAAAGTAACTAAGAAGTGACTATATCACATCACCATGAAAAATAATCCCCAGAATTGTTTAGACAACGCCTGGCGAAAAGATAGAGTAGATTTTAAAAAAAAAAGAAAGAAAACCGGAATGACAAACCTCAAAAATCAAACGTGCATAATTCCCATCTTTGAACCGCATTTTAATGAAAACATGAAAACACACACACCAGAGGTGAAAGTATGAAAATGAAAGAGGAGAAAATCGAAAAGACGATGACAATATTCCCAAAGCTACCTACCCTCTCTTTTTTCTCTTTCTTCCATTCATATGATACATATTTCGATGATAGCAAACAAAAACTACGACAGAAAAGGGAGAAGGAAGCCTGAAGGAAAACGAAAAGAGCAAGACAAAAAAAGACCAAATTGTAAAAACATAGCGCGTAACATTGAGGAAATGTCCTTTAGGCCCCCCGGGAAACCAAGCATGCAATAACATCAAAACAGTCGACGGAAAAAAAAGGGTAAATAGGCGAACATCCCTTGTGTGTAAGTCCGGAATGGTAGTACATGTCGAATACTAGTGAACTATGCCAATTCTCAATAAACACGATTGAGTAGGCTATGTCTATGACCCCGGACGGTACATACCTACATATTATAGGGAAGCATCATTAGTGCAGCCCGTCTACTACCCATTAAAAGAGATGTATACAAAAATAAGAGATGGGTTGGGGAGAGGGAGAAGGAAAATCAAAATTTCAGCATTCAATATTCAACTTACCCATATACTGTCCACGATTCATACCCCCCGCCATCCCACCAACACCACCGCCCCCAGGCGGCGGAACGGGCGGTCGAAGTTGACTCACCGACGACGGAACATCCAACTGGCGCAACAACGCAACCATCTTCTCCGGCGAAAACCTCGTGGCATCATACGTAGACGCTCCCGGGATAATGCTAAGCAAAAACATGATCTCCCGCGGTAGCGGAATTGGGATGGGTGGCTTGTTTCCCTGACCACCACCAGCACCACCGCCATACCCACCACCCATGCCGCCTCCCCCGCCTCCACCTACGCCGCCGCCATTCACCACCTGCTGCTGAATTTGTTGTTTCTGCTGATTCAGTCGCCGGCCGGCTGCACCCTTCAGTGGTGACTCAGCCCGCATGAACTTACGCGGACGATTTGATGCGTCATCGTCGAATTCTTCGGGTGCATAGGGACGTTTGGGGGAGTGGGTTGCTGTTGTTGGCGGTGCTGGTCCTGACCCTTGAGGATACCGAGTAGAAGGGGATCCCTGGCATGGTCGCATCTCCTCCGTAGCAGTAAAGGAGGCCAGTTTTGGTTTCGTCTGGGAAGGGGAGAGGATTGGTTGGAAAGCAGTGGGGTCGAAGGCTGGTGTAGAAAAGCGGTGGAGGAATTGTTTGAGGACAGGGTCTTCAGGGAATAACTCTCGCATCCGAGCCTCGAGGTTCAGGATCTGGACCATATCTCCATATCTTGATTCATGTTCGTGCATGAACGCGAAGATGGGTTTGGCCTTGTGTGTGTTGTTTGGATTAGCTGCTAGTCTCCTGACGGACATCTCGAATACGGCTCTCGCATCTAGAATTAAAAAAAAAGGTTAGTAATGACATTTGAGCAAATGGATGAGTTTCAAAAATTGAACCAAGCAAAATATGACATACTAGTGATATCATTAATGTCGATAAGATGTTTAAGATACTCCAGAGTGAAATTTTCATCCTCGGGAAATAGTTTTGCGCCGCGCTCGAATATCTTCGTCGCTGCAGGATCTTTATAGCAGTAATGCTCCAGTAACGCACTCGCGATGTAGACATCGCTAGTTATGCGCCCGCGTTTGCGCGCATCAGCAAAAATCTGTCGTGATCCTGCCATTTCTCCTGGTTTGCCCTTCCCTTGAATACGGCGCATTGATCTCATGAGAGCAATCCAAGCAAATGATATGGTTTTCGACAGCTGGCCAATTGCCTCCGCATGCTTCTTCTTTAAAGCCTCGATCTGACTATTTTTCGCCGCTTCTCTTGCCTTGGCAGCATCGTCGCCCTCATCCTCATCCTCCTCATTAGTAACGACCATGACATGCCGTCGAGAGCTTTCTGCTTGAGAAGAAAAGCTCTCTTCAACAAATGCAATATCCTTAGCCTCCTGGGCCTTTGCTTTCGATATCAAGTCGTAAAGGGCATCAAGCAGTCTGTCATATGGCTCTCTAGCTTTGGCACCGCGCTTTCTAGAGTCCTGCTCAGATTCCGTGGTAACTTCTATTCGATCAGCGAGTTTAAACGCAAGTAAGCAACTCTCTGGATTGGCATCTATTCCTTGTTTTAAGAAGTCATTGCCCTCAGACTCCATTTCATTTTGGAAACAGAAATCTGCAGCATCAAACCATATCTCGGGCAGGAATCTCAATGCCATCAGCGACTGTCGGTAAACATAAAGCACTCGAGCCTTATAACCAGCACCACCATCCTCATCCCTTAGTACTAAGGGATCATCTTTTTCCCATTTGATCCAGCGCTTCCATATCTCCACTTGCTTATTGTACATTTCCTCACCCTCACATCCTGGCGCGGGAGGCAACCTGGGTAGCGAGGCACGGACGAGTTCTCTGGTAATGTTCTGCAACTCTGTAAAAGAGCTCCGTGCCGTCATATAGGCTGGGGATCTCTCCTGGAGGAATTTTCGACCCTAGATAGTTCGGACAATATAAGCGTTAGTATCCTGTTCTATTGTATAATATGAAAGGTTCAGCATGAACGTACAGTCAACTTATTCAAGCCCATTTCAAACTGATCGTACTCCTTCCAAAGGGTATTGACAGCTTGCGTGGGAACACATATGGCTCTCTGGTAAGCTTTTCGCAAAAGATCCATCTTCTGTTGATCTTGCCAACCCGAACCACCAATATTCCCAGGTCCGGAGCGAATGAACTGGATGTAATCAACCCAAATGTTCGCGGAGTCTTTATCAACTCCGATGTTCTGCAGAGCGAAGTCGTAGGCAGATGAAATGATACCTCGAGCTTGGCCGGTCGTATCTGTGGTTAAATTATTACGGCGACGAACATAATCGAGATATACGGACCATAACTGGACATTAGGTATGGACAAGAGACTCTTATTAAAAATCTGCTCTAATCGATAGAGTTCGTTATTTTCCGACTCCATGTTTGCATATGCGACCCATTGCTCAGCCTGTTGGAGAAATATTAGTAGGGCTTCAATTTTTTTAAAAAATAAAAATATAAAATAAATAAATAAATAAATAAAATATAAAATAAAATAAAATAAAGAATATTTTAGTGAGAATATTAGACCTACAGCTGATGGGAAGATTTTGAAGAATCTCTCATAGACCTCTCGGGCACTATCAAGTTTATTTCGGGAGCGGTGTTCGTTAATTAGCTCCAACCAAGCGTCCGTATCACCGCGCGGATCAGCCTGAATCCTATCCTCCAAGATACCCACTCGATCATGAGGAAGACGGCCTCGCGGTGCCGCAGCTGCTGTAGGAGTAGAGGATATAGATCTGTTTGCAGGTTGAGAGGCAGTATCGCCCGTTGTCACGGTCGGCGGTTTTGAATCATCCTGCAAGTAATTGGAGGCACCATCACTTGGCGCCGAAAGACCAACATAGGAAGGAGGAAGAGATGAGCTATTGGGAGGAGGAACATCTTGAGGAGGAGAGTTTTTGTCTTGAACAGTCTGCAGTTGATGTGATACATGATATTGAGAAACATTTTCATTGGCATTTTGAGAAAGGGAATGCTGACGACTGCCAGAAGGGTCAGAGGCCACATTATCATCATCATTACCCTCATTCCCGTCATCACCACCATCACCACCATGAACATGACTTAACGCTGCAGGAGGTTCATATTCAGCCTCGCCTCTATCCTCGTCGCTATCCTCCCCGACAACAAAATTCCCAATGGACTGGGATGACACTTGTACAGGAGCAGAGGTATTGGAAGGTGGAAGAGGGGTGGGATCTCCAGGTTCAGACCCGGAGGGGATTTGTGAGGGAGGAAAAGTATGACTATTTTGCACGGCTTCAGAGAAATCTTGGGACATAGACCTCCGCTTCAAGGAAGCTGAAAGGGAAGAAGTATTTGAAACAGCACTCGGTTTTGAATCTGTTAACTGCGCAGAATACTGATCTTGATGATTTTGAACTGTTTTTGAAGGATCATAATCGTCTGAGTCTGAACTATCCCCATCCTGATCCCCAGCTGCCTCATAACTCGCGATATCTGCATTCAAAGATTGCGCTTGGAAAAATGCTTTTTCAGCCTCATCCTCTGCCATGACTTAAGAAACAAATTGCGGATCGGGACGATAGAGCGGGTTAAATCAGTCAATCCAACTAACTATTCAAGAGATTGTCAGTGATCGAAAGGGAGGCAAGGGGAGGGTGCTGATAAATGGACTGGAAGAAACCAACCGGAACTGGAAATAAAAGATGCGGGATACGATCGCGCAGACTAACAGTCAGCACCCCGTAAAAGTGTGACAGAATGGAGTTGTCAAAAATCGCAGCACAGCAACCACGTTGAAGGGAGGTTGAGCAAGTCTGTTGCAACTTATCAAGGTCGTTGTCGGTAGCTGAACGGTGATTGAATGTTCTCTTTCCCGAGTGGTTATGTTTGAGCCTCCTGTCCGAAAAAGGGAATGATTCATCACGTGGTTAATCGCGCTAAACGCCACCAAACGCGACTGGAGGGGGGATCACGTAGGTAGCGAGACTTGACGAGCTCAAGGTTAAACCAACCTCCTCCAGCTGAGCTGATATCTCTATCATATAAGAACCTCCTTATCTCCCTCTTGTCCCTCTTTCTTTTCTCCTATTTACTCACGCTCAAGCACATATCTATATACTTTCTCCCGATCTTGGTTTTGCGTCTGTCAGTAGCACTTCAAAATGTCGGTAGTGTCACTCCTTGGTGTGCGAGTTATCAACAACCCTGCACCATTCACCGCCCCTTATGAATTCGAAATTACGTTCGAATGTCTCGAACAGCTGCAAAAGGGTGATTAATCCCTCCGTCCCGACTTTTATTGCACCGTGAAGAGATGGGCCAAAGACAAAGAAAGGTTCAATTCTTACTGAAAAATTGCCCCGCCTTTAGATCTCGAATGGAAGCTCACTTACGTCGGCTCCGCCACTTCGTAAGTTTGCCTTAAGTTATATTTTACGCAGCTCGAAGTTAGCCTAGCAATCGCATGAAACTGACCTGAGCGCCTGGTTAGATCTGAACATGACCAAGAACTTGATTCCCTACTAGTCGGGCCCATACCTGTTGGCGTCAATAAATTTATCTTCGAAGCAGACCCACCAGATCTTAAAAGAATCCCAACGTCTGAAATATTAGGCGTGACGGTGATCCTGCTTACCTGCAGCTATGATGGCCGGGAGTTTGTCCGTGTCGGCTACTACGTGAACAATGAATATGACTCGGAAGAATTGAACAATGAGCCACCCTCCAAACCTATCATTGAGAGAATTCGACGGAACGTGCTAGCTGAGAAACCAAGAGTTACGCGGTTTGCCATTAAATGGTTTGTCCTGACCCCCCTATTCCCTGTCGCCCTTGACCAAGTACTTACCATACCCCCATTGAATTTACATTTGCTGACGCGTATTTTTACTTCTACTATAGGGATTCCGAAGACTCCGCCCCAGCAGAATACCCACCAGATCAGCCAGAAGCAGACGTCTTAGACGATGACGGAACAGCATATGGCGCCGAGGAACTCGAGCTCGAAGAAGCTCTGCGAAGGGAGCTTGAAGAAGTGGATGAGAAACCGCAAACAGCAGGCGCCCCTGGTGAGGACCTTGAGATGGGTGACGCTAGTGAACCAGGGGCTCCAATCAAAGATGAAGATGGAGATGATAACGATAACGATTCCGATGCTGGAAGCGAAGATCTAGAAGCTGACAGCAGCGGTAGTGATGATGATGACGAGGACGACGAGGGCGACGAGGATGTGGAGATGGGTGATGATACGGAGCAAAAAGGGGACAGCAGTAATCAGGCTAACCAGCCCCCGGCGGACCAACGTCAACAACAGCAAACTGAGGTGATGGTTCACTGATTGAGGCGGTTCCCTTCAGTTTTTTTTTTTTTCTCTCTCTCCTTTTCTTTGATGAAAACTTCCTCCGCCATGTCCCCACCACATTTAACCACCCCGCTCCGTGGATGTTGAACAAATACATATATATTTGCTTTACATCTCTCGACACTATTATCCCATTTATCTCCTTATTTTTTTTTTTTCTTTTTTTTGTTTGTCATTATCATCTGACTTTACGAATATACAAAGACTTTTATGGCATCCCTCTCTTGTTCATTACCCCTATGACGCTTACGCCCCCCCCCCCCCTTTTTTTTTTCATCCGTTTACCCTCGTTGGCCATTATTAAACATAAGAAGAGCAAAGATATCGCGCGTGCAACGCTTGCGTCTTCCACCCCGACGTCTGCGAAGCAGCTGATGGATCAATATGAATTTATATCTTAATTATCTTTTTTCTTCTTTCTTTGTCCCCCCGCCCCCGCCCCCGGCCCCGGGGGTTCCAACCCCCTGGGAAATTCTGGCAGCTTGAAGCAAGACATTTAGCAACTAGTATAACAATACACTAAGGTTTGTCCTTAATATTTTCACGTAACCAGCCTTGGTACCGTAGAAAACACTATCTATTTAGTTTCGTTCTTGCAACCCGTGGTAACGTCATAAAGCATACAGAAGAGAAAAACGCAACCGCATGGCAAACCAGCACCTAGTGTACCCTTCGAAGGAACAGATCAACTGTTGCAGTTAGCGGTAACTGTATAAAAACGCGCATGAACCTGTATATCCGCACCCAAAAAAAATCCAATCCTCTAAAATCCGAATTTAGAACCAATAACTATAGGCATATGTTAGCAAGTCACTACTAATGCACGAAGGGCCAAAAGAAAAAGAAAAAAAAAAGAAAAAAGAGAAAAGAGAGAGAGAGAGAGAGAGAGATAGAAGCACATACCACCCAACACCGCTTTCTTCTTCTGATTCTTGACGTATTTATTCACATCATCCGCCCAGCCACTACTAGTTTCCTCTAACCGATCTATCGAATCGCCCATAATATTAAGATTCTCTGTCCTCTGCTGCACCTGGCGCTGCATATATGCCCAGTAGCCCTCCTCTCCTCGCGTCTGCGAGGCATTACCACTACTACCCTGCGGCGACCCGCGAAGCTCTGATTGGCGGGACATCTCCTCTTGTCGCATTTGTTCGATCATATGTTTCGACGGAGGTCGATCGGGACCTCCGACTATAAAGAGTGAAGAGCGAGATGAGTAAAAATGGCAGCGAGGTGGGGACGATGTGGGGAGAAGGTGGAGGGGTGGAAAATGGCATTATTGGTCTTTAACTTACTTAACAAATCCATATCAGCCGGTGTCACATACTGTGTCCCTGATATCCATTGTAGATTCGAAATCGTTGGGCGAGAAGGTGCAGAAAGCGCAGGGTTATATATCGCGTCATCGCACCGGCGTCTAAGCAACTTAGATTAGCAGCCTAAATTCCCAATTTATTCCGCTTTTTGAGAAAGGGAGAGAGGGGGCGTTGACTTACAAAGGTGATCCAGCACCCCAAAGACTCAACATGGCAAGTTCTGAGGGCCCAGTCCAGCCTATTACATCTCCAGAAGGTGAAATAACTGCTTCCCCCACCCTTCTCATGTCCAGAATTTTATCAATCGGAGAAGAAGAAATTTCTTTCAAAGCTGGAATTGAATATGCCCTCGCCTTGCCATCACCAAACACACCAACAAGCGAAGACCTCTCTTCAGCCCTAACTACTGTTGCATAGTCGCACAAGAAGTCATCCCAATCCTTCTCGGCGCCCTTCGCGCTAGAAGGCTTAAACATTCGACAGCCAGAAGGAGTTACAGCAATTACAACTCCATTCACCCGATATCCATTTCTCAAGTTGGCAACACCTTCCTGACTGGCTAGAGCAGGGACCCCGGTTTCGGCGCTGATAGGGCAAATAGACAATACTCTATCGTCCACACTTCGGGAACCGGCGAAAGAGACGGTGTATGTTCCTCCTGATGGTAGGATTTTGAATGTTGCAAGGTTTCCTTTGCTAGTCCCAACGAGACAGAGAATGCTAGAATAATCTGCATGCTTTGTTAGCAATAAACTAAACCGGGGTAAATGGCAAACCAGGCAAAATAAAGAAATCCTGCTATGTATCAGAGAGAAGCTTACCGTCTCCTTCCAAAGTCATAATTGAGAACTTAATACACGTAGACCACTCGGGGGACGCCTCTGATGCGGAATGATGGCTTTTTCTAATACTCAGGCGTTTCTGTGGCCTAGCAAAATCAGAAGCCTTTGCTGTAAATATTACCGACGGGCCCCTTAAGTCGATGATCGCAAGACTGCCCGACTGGAATCCAACGCAAATGAAGCCAACATCGCTATGATCAAGAGCAGTAACAGGCCCTTGGCCTTGGTTCAACAAAACTAGAGGAAGGAAGCCTTCTTTTAGCCCTGGATCAGCTCTGTGAGAGATATCAGTCAGCTGTCCTGGGCCGTCGTTTTCTCCTAAGGGTAAATCCCGCCCCGCATTCGGATTACGGCCCCATTTGAAAATAGCCACTTCACCACTCTTCATGCCGACTGAGAATTCACCTGCAGCCCCTGCCAACGACATCGCAGATACTTCGATGTTGTGGAAACGACCTACAGCACGCGCAAGATCGACTTGGATTGTAGTGGGATTTTCAATATTATCATCATGACCCGAATCCCACATGCGAACGACGCCATCAGCGTGAGCCGTTTGGACAATATCCCGATTCTCATACCGTTTCATCGGCTTTTTTGCCGGTGCACCTCCAATCACAATGTTTGGTCCATGGGCTCGTTTCTCCCTCCACCCTAACCATCTCGTGCGGTCAACATATGATAAAGCGATTTTGTTGACAAATGGGTGAACAAAGGATAATGACAAATGGAGCATATTTGTGGGAGAAATTGGGTGGCCGCTGGGGAAGCTAAGAGTAACAAGTTCCCCTGAGGAGAGCAGCGCGATCACAGCAATGGGATCCTGCGCATTCGCAAAAAAGGGGGATGAGCGAGGAATGAGCACAAAATCGACAACTTCGGCAGCTGGAGGTGTTTGTAGTTTGCTTTCGCGTCTGGGTTTCGCAAGATGGTTTGAGAGGACTTGCCATGAAGAGGTCTGGTAGTTTGGTGTTGGTCCGAGGTCAAAAAATGTCAAGTGTTTATTCACTTCTGTTGTTGACTCGCCGCCAGCTATTAACAAGCCAGTATCATCAGGATTCTCCTTGCAGCACCATGCTACCTGGAATATTGGCTCCTTTAAAGAGTAAGTTCCCGCCGGGGAACTTGGCGATGCCACTGTCCCTGGTTTGTTAACGTCAACGTCTACTAACGTCCTAGCCATAACAATTCTTCCATCCTTGGGGTCCCAAAAGACAAGGCTCGAGTCATCATGAGCTGTTAGGATAAAAGTTCCCGTAGGATGCCAGACAGCTTTTGTAAGTCTAGGTCTTCGCACCTCTCGAGAGGATGACGGATCCGAGTCTCCACCAGGAGCACCAGGTGGAACCTCATACTGGAAATATTTGGTGGGAACATTCATTTTAATCGAGAAAGTTACAGCTCCTTCTAAATATCCGATTAGAAGCTTTCCGATGTCCCGAGGATGGAAAGCCAGAGATACTATCGGCAAAAGCCTGGACCGAGGATTTCGCTCTTTCCATAGATTGGGGAGTCTGAAGGGGGCTATCATGAGGCGGTCGAGGTCGTACGTAACCAGTTCACCTATTTGCTGCGCATTAAACGACTGCATTGTCCAAACAAAAATCGCCATGGATGGCAGCATAACCGTATCACATACCGCTTTGTAACCCTATAAAAGCATACTCCAAGCTCGGATCCGTCAAGAGCGCGGTAACATGGCCTGGCGGGGTATAAGCGGCAAGCTTCGTCCGTTTCTCAAGAGAAAATACGCAAAGCTCATGTTTTGAGTCTACGGAAACAATTTTATCGGTGCAGAATTGAAGTATATTAACAGAAGCCTTGCGTGGGAGCGTGAATACTGCAGACACTCTCTCCTGTCCGAATATATAGATTTGTCCGCTCCCATATTGTGTTTCGCTCGTCCCGACAGCAAGCAGTGACTGAACAGGATCGTAAGCAAGGGCGCTAATCCGAGAGTTTATGCCGTACCTGGCGACCTAAAGTAATGGAATTGTTAGATTTCATCCTTTTATAATTTTCTAATCGGGGCCGTTGCTCACATCATCAAACACGAAATGCTCCGGGGCCAGGCCTGCGCTTAAATCGCCATGAATACCGGACTGCTTGCCTCGCAGAAAGTGTGACATATTTTGATTGTTATAGGATTTCCTAGAGCCAGTTAACGATAGCTCCTGTAGTTAGCCAGATGTATATATGGCAGATAGCATCGCACTGCCAACGGACTCATCATATACCAAGAAAGAGTTAATGTTTGGTGACGAGCTGATGACCGACCTCTAGTTACAGCCCTGAGTTGGAAAGCGGGTTGGGCTGGTTATCGGATGACCACGTGATGATAAGGAAGTCTCCCCTTTCAAGCGACATTTCCCAGGGAAATGCTAGAGGTTGAACCATCAATTTGGATTAAAACGCAAGAGGTATATATATATAAATACATGTACATTCGAAATGTGCCATATTGGCCTCCCTTCAACAACCCGAGAAGAACTCCAGAAAATGCATCCATCGGCAGGCCAAAAACAGATATATGGAAATGCAAAAAAAATCATTGCAGCCAGCGAGACCATTTCATCTTACAAAAAGAAATTAAAAAAAAAAAAAAAAAAAAAAAAAAAAAAAAAAAAATTAGCAGATTTCAAACAACAGATCATGATTGTTAACAACAGCTCAACGCAGCCATTTGTGCGAGGACCGTCGTTAATTTTCTTCGAGCATGCATTTCCTCATCGTCCTGCCAGTTGCGGTAGTATTGCTTCACAATTATACGTATTTGGCGGTAGCAGGAATACCTAATCCAGTAACCCAACAATTAGTAACCTATACCAGCGTAAAATGGTGACAATTTAGGAAAGGGGAAACGAACAAAAGTAAGCGTATACGTAGTAACTCATCGTCCATCTGCATCTGGCTCGACCCGTACCCATTCAATAGAGCTGCGGATGGATCCTCGAAGATCTCTGCCATCATAACATCCCCCCATGCAGCGTCACTGAAATCAACAAATCCCGTCACATCCTTCGTGTCCCGGTCGACAAGGATATTCGAACTGTCTCCAAGATTCACAACAACCAGGCGGGGCTCCGTAACGCCATCTAGAGCCGGGCTAAGCCGCATGACATCGTGGCGGATCTGAGCATATGGCAGTGAAATGAACATATCTTCGGCATCGCACAGGATATATTCAATGAAAACTAGGAAAGCACGTCTCCAGCTCTGCCTTCCCTCACCCTGGGAAACGGAATGGACATTGCCAAACTGGGTGGATGTGAATTGGCCGAGGAGTTTCACTGTCCGTCCCAGTTGCTCATCTATACGGTTTCGATCCGCGGAGCTAAGGGACGACGGTTCAATCTCACTAAGTGGCACTCCGCCGAGTGACTGCTTCAGGAGAAATGGTGTTTTCGGGTCAAATTTCAGGGCATCGAATCTGAAGAGACGGGGGATATATGGGCTGTTTCGTGAGGCCAGCAACGAAAGCACAGCCGCCTCTGTCCTCAGCGAGTGTTTTTCTTGACGTAGCAGCGTGGAGAGTGGCCTGGGACCAGCCTTCATGGTGAGCTCGAGTCCATTGGAGAGCTTGAGAAGGTAACGTGGATAGACGTTATCATTGAAAGACTTATAGTCTAGGACTCGAGCAGAAGGAAATATAGGTTGGATCAAGGTTTGGAACATCGCAAGATCCGGGCGGGTTTTAGTCTCAGATTCCAGGATGTAGAGGGTCATTTCCTCATGGAGATGTTTTTATAAAAAAAAATAAAAATAAAAATAAAAATGTATACTTCAATTGCTTGAACGCTCGCGGAAGATATGGATATAGACAAAGTATAATAAAATCATGATATATGCCCAGCAATTTTCGGACGGGTAGGCATGGATTGGTTGAGAACCAAGGAAACCCCAAGGTCCATATATTTGGGGCTTGCATAGGAAGCGCCTGGGGACAGACACGTTTGATCTGATTATTGACAAATCCTGGATCCCGGAATTGTCCCATAGTTGACTATGGCAGTCGGATTATTCATCCTTCAGGGCGAGGCGAGAGAGGATGTCCTGAGGCCCTGGGCCTCTGGACGGAGCGAGACTGGCGTCCATGCATTCCGAGACGGAAGCCTATAATCTGTGGTGCCAGCCGAGAAGACAAGCGAGAACAAAGGCTGCTCCGACGTGATGGCCGTTGTATGGTGGGACATCAAAGTGGAAAATATTAATATGAGCAACATATAATTACGATGACAGGTGGATACAACCCACCCGTAGCGAAGAAAGCAAAAAAGTCCCGGCTCGCTAACCATACGCGTCATTTCTCGCTTGAGCATTTAAAGGCACCGTGCGTCTTCGCGAGGAGAAAAAATAGAAACCGGTCGTTGGAAGCTCGTTAATGGTTGCATGGATGAAACGCCCTCCATGGGGATGTCATGCCATGAGTGGGCGTGAGGCTACCGCCAGGGAACTAGGAAAACGTCCAGAAAAAAAAAAAAAAAAAAAAAAAAAAAAAAATCCTCAATCTAGCGAGCGATGAGCTAGAGCGCGGAGGAACGTTGCATCCTCAGGGCAGCGGGGGAACAAAAAAGAAAAGACGGGCTGCTTGAGGTGCGCTTCTTGGGCTGACCGCCCCAGCCATGCCATATGGCCCTTCGAGTCCATAGGAGCCCATCACGATTCACGACATGACACTACACTACTCCGTACTGCGTACAACTGACCCTCATCCAGCACATGGAGGGCAGGGTCTACACGTCGGACCCTTGGGCCGTTTGGGCGACAGAGCGTTGGCGAAGCTCAGCTCCGAACAGCCGTAACTTGCCGGAAAACTCGCCAGAATTTGCTGAGTTGAGAAAAGGCTCCGGGTCTGGTCCCAGCGTCAACTGGTTGCAAGATCTGAAACGGCGGTTGGGAGCTTGAGCACTTGTCTGGGAGAAGATTCTGCTGCCCAATCATGGCGGCGGTTTGGCGAGGTGCCGCTAAGCCTTGGCTGGGCTTGGTTTGTACTGTTGTATTGTTGTTCTCTCTCTCTGGCTGGCAAACGGCACAAATAATAATACAGCAATTATTATTATTAACTAATAAATAAATAACTAGTTAGTTAATGGAGAGAGAGAGAAAAAAAAAACATTAATAAGTTAACTAAGTTTCCAACGATTCTTTGTTTTGACAAGCCCTACAACAAGCCGGGATTGCAGGCGAGGTGGAACCTTTTCCAAACAAAAGACATAACTAGTTATCCAGCCCTAACAAAGGAGACAACAACATTCTACATAGTTGCTCCAACTCCCTTCAGCATGAAATCAGCTAGTCTAGTTACGTCATGCCAGCATCACTATCTCACTGTCACCGCTTCCAAGCGATCTTCAAAGTGAGACAGATACGTTAATAACCAAACCAAAATCCGACTGCTTAACCTAAATCTGTTCAGGGTTCCCTCCCCTCCCGCCCTCCCGTCTCGATTTGTGTTCAGACAGTGGATTTTCAAGCTGAATGGAAATGAATGTTAACCCGTTAGCTAGCTCTCTCCCTGATCAAGGTTAAGTATGTACGCTGTACACCGCTGCTGCGCCTCTTGTTCTCGCCTGCATTTGGTAGAAACGTCGTATGGAAATTTTGGTGGGATGTAAGAGCGGGAAGCGGAAGCGGGAGATAGCTTTGGAGAGAAAGGAGGGGTCGATGTGGGGGAGGAAGAGTTAGTTAGCGGGATTGGGGGGGGGGGGGGGGGGGGGGGGGGGGAAAATATAATTAATCAATAATAATAATAATAACTAAATAAATAAATAAAAGAGAAAGAAGAGGACTGAGACGACAGAAAAAATTGGTATTTTCTCCATTTATAATAAGAATATTTTTTGTTACATGATATCAAAACAGAGAAATAATAATAACCCATGGTGACCCGATGTTATTAAAACCACAAAAGAAAAGAAACAGGGAAAATGGAAAATGGAAAATGGAAAATGGAAGAAGCGGAAACGGTTTCAAGCGAGAATTATTCCACCAGGTATCAACAGCCACTTCCAAACACACAAAGACAAAGAAATGTGAGGGTGACCAAGGGGCGTTGGTAACCTACGAAGGGTTTTGTTGATTGTCACGGGGTTCCTTTGTACCCTGGAAATGGTTTGAGAAGTGGAAGTCAAGGAAAAGAAAGGTATCGTGAGAACAGAAGGAGTGGGAAAAAGAATAATTAGAGGATGAATGCGGAGACTGAAGAATAATAATAATATCATGATCCAAGAATAATAGACAAGAAAGAAGACATGTGTCAAAATTGCAAAAAGGTCGTCTATCAAGGTGTGCCGTAAAAAAACAAAAAAAAGATAAAAGTAGGGATATGTAGTATAGAGAAGATAGAAGAAGAAGAAAACGGTAAGTAAGGGGTTGGACCTTCAGGCACTATGTTTGAATCCCCCTTTTGCTCACCTCTCCCAAAATCAGACAAACCCATTACAGTGAGCAGGAGATTATGGAATCAATCCCGCCACAGAGAAATCATGATGATGACATATTATGTTGCGCCCTCCCCGTAACATATGCAAAAAAGATAGAGGAAGAAAAAGTTGGTGTTAGGACGAGAGAAGGGAATAAAAAAAATAAAGAAATAAAAAGGGATGGAAATTTATTTACAATTCGGGCGTTACTGCCTGAATGTCAAAATATCAAGAGTTTGAGAGGACATGATGAATGCATGACTCGTCGAGGAGGAAGAGTTCAGAATGGAGCGATCGATCACTGTGCTCACTTAGGTAGGGTGGGGTGTATGTCGCTGCTGGTAGTAGTAGTATAGTATGGTCGCCTGCGACACATCCCCACCACCCAAAATTCGCTTGTTATCCGTTTTCGTCTATGCCCTTTGCTCACAATGCTTGTTAAGCGCGCGCAGAGGGATCATCACGCTTCCTTCCTGACGGAGTAGAATCATTGTGTATTCATACTCTCGGGGCTAAGCATGCCACCACCGCCTACAGAAGAGCTACCACCCGCTGTAAGGTCCGGCTGATCCGCTCCATTTACCGTTGCACTAGTCGAACCATTCATCTTAATGTCGTTGTTGCTGTTATTAGCGGAAGGGGGTATTTCGGAATCGCTTTCTGCAACCACGCCATCTGCAGATGTCTCGGGCTTGTTTTTCTTCAATGAAGTTACTGCGGCCTTGTCGGTGGTTGTACAGCCGGCTTTCTGCTTCCCAAGAGTCTTGGAGCTCGTAGTGCCCTTGGCCAGGTTTGCGGATTCATCGTTTCCTGGTTCTGAAGTCGAAGCGCCGGCAGTACCGTTATTCTTCTTGGATTTCTTCTTGCTGGGTTCTGGCCCCCCTGGCTTTGAACCACCACCTGTTCCTGCAGGTGGAGCGGGTCGCTTCTGAGGACTGGAACTTACCCCAGTTCCCAGAGGGGCTTGGGGGATTTTACCAGATGCGGGCACTCGCGGCCTGGCTGCCGTCGGCCTCTGTTTAGGAGGTAATTCAAGATCCTCCACCAAAGGCTCGTCATTGTTGGCATGAAGCTTGGCAAGAAAGAAGTTTTGTACCAGTCCGATTTGCGAAGGCAGTGTTTGTAAGGATATTCGTGGGTACGGGGGTGGTGGTGGAAACAATGCAGCGGACGCTTGCGACGAGCTGTAACCGCAATGAATAGTCAGTTTATATGAATACTGTTGCAAAGATGAGGTAGATTTGGTGGTAACATACCTAGTATTCTGCGCTTGGTGTGCACTGTACATCCGGTTCTGAAGCAGGTGAAGCGGTACACTTAAACTGGCAAGTCCAAACTCCTTGTCAAGGCCCAGTTCTTTGAACCCAAAGAAATCCTCATCGATGTCCTCCGCGAAATCGCCGCCGACGAATTGCTCACTTCCGTCGTGGAAAGCGCTGGATCCATCGCCAGATGTATCGGTGAAGGCCGGTCGAAGCAACTCAGTGAGATGGCTCTTCATACGTTCATGTATAACGCTGAGTTTCTGGCCGAGCCGGTCTACATCATCCTTAACGTAGCTTTCAAGCGACTCTACATCTGTCCCAACGGATTGGAGCGTATGTAGAATCATCTCTTCCGCCATGTAGGGTGATTTCCATTGGGAGGACGATGTCGTGGACTGCTCAGCTCGTGGCACTTTGGGAGATTCCATGTATGTCTTGAGTGTGGACCCAATTTTATAGAAGAAATCGGCGGCGACGTCCGTAACAGCATCAAGAGCAGATGGCTGATACTCCTCGAACCCGGCATTGTAGAAGATTTTCCCAACAGAGCGTTGGAGAGCTGCTCTACATACCCATGGGCTTATGACAGGACCCTCGTCATTCATCACATGGGTTGGGACATCTCGTTCGACAAAAGGCTCTGGATTGTATTTCTGGAATTGGTTTTGGTACATCTTTACCAGATATTAGATATGTCATTCGTTGACTTGGTAGGAAGCAAAAGGTGAAAGAACACATACCTGAGATTGAAGTTGCATCTGCTTAACGATTCCTATTTTCGAGCAGATTTTCCTGGTCTCCTGCATTTGACGCATGTTCGCGTCCATTTTTTGAGAAAATTTGCTCTTGGGCGCCGTGAAATACCCCTTAGGAAGGATTCTAAGAAACTCTTCCGAAGGATCTACAACATTGCCTTCAGAATCTTCAATCCAGTGTAATTGTTCAGGGAGGTCCGGAATTCCCGACATTGTATCATAGTAGTCGGGCAGCATTTTATCTTCCTCCTCCTCAATTCCTTCCGCCAACGTCTCACCGGTGGTCTCTGCCTCTTTGGAATGTGGACCCGCAATAGCAAGTCTGTCGCTGTCCTCCATGGCTTGTCTCTGATTTCGGAGCCACCGCCTCATCCCAGCCTTTGTTCTCAACAAAGCCGGCTCATCAGAATTCAGCTTGTCCCCCTTGAAAAGTCGATGTCGCTCCGCGGCAAGAAGGGCCCTGTCCTTTTTGGTAACTTGTCTCCATATTTTGTATTCGGGGTCCTCAAACTCGAGCATTGGACGCGACGACGCACTTGAGTTGACAGGAACACCAAATGAATCAATGTCCATTGCATCACCTTGACTTCCAGCAGCACCAGTACCGAGGCCGTTTGAACCAAGAGGAGTCAATGTGCCAGGGGGCGGGGTGGAAAATCCATTCTGACTTCCCTCCAAAGCCGTATCCGATTCTGCACGCACTGTGGTCACGCCCTGAGGTTTATTCTCGGCCACAGGTGTAGCTTCAGGGCGACTTCCAGGGGCTGTTCTACCGGTTCCTACCCGCTTTTTAGATTTCATCCCTGGAGCCTTGCGACCTCTGGACGACATAATCGGCTCATCGTCGCTCTCTTCGGCGCCATCCAGCTCAGCCAATTGTAGTCTTCGTTCCTCAGCTTCAACCTCAGCACGATCTCGTATGATGATATCTGGTATCAAAGGGACAAGTTTCTCCGTTTCCTTCCTCATGTAGAGCGCATGTTTTCTAAGGAAATGCTCAGGGTTGGCGTTGTATTTTAGGCAGTTGGCCCAGATGAGATTGAGATCTTCTACGAACTCCTGTTTCGACTTATATTGGACTGCCTTGAGTTTTTTGGTCATTGTCCCTAGGTCCATCGGACGTTTGATAACTAGGATAGTCAGTAAGGATTTGGCCTCGACAACAACAAAGAAAGATTTAAAAAAAAGTTGACTCACTGTTATAGTAGTCAGGAGCTTCCCGTTTGTTCACTCTCGTCAAAAAAGCACTAGAGTGCTCCGTCATAGCTTTCAATTCGCTGAGAACCTTTTCCGCGGCCTCGTAAAGCTCCTCCTGACCTACCTTCTCCTCGCTTGCCCATTTACTTCGGTTTTTTCTTACTTCGCTCATCAGACTTCGAAGCTCAGCATCTGAAGCCTGGACTTCATTGCGTTTCTTATCTATTCGTGCAATTAGGTTCTTTAGGGTCAAGCTCGAGGCGCCAAGGTTCGCGCTGCTCAAAGTTCCGTGGCCAGAGGTTGTAGCATTAGAGGAATTCGCATTGTTGGCGCCCTGGTTGGACATTTCCGCCTCGACTTGCCTCTCGGATTCCTCCAGTCTTTGCTGGTCCAGCATAGCATCCCGATCATTTTCTAGGGTATAAAACAGGGTATGGAAGCTTCGCTTTGCAGCTTCTTCAGTTGCCTTCTTATCCTCTTCTAATTTTTTGCGGATATCTTCTAATGACTGCTTCCCTGATTCTTTCGGGGTCTCTGACGAGGTTGTAAGGGTGATCGATGGTTTTTGAGGCGGTGAGGGGAGGGTGTTTGGTTCCGATCGAACGGCAGTGGGTTTCGATTTGGTCGGGGAGGAGGGAGGAGGGAGAGCGCTTTCGCTTTCATCATCGTCGTCGTAGTCGTCGTAGTCATCTTCGTCCAGTTTCCGTGCTGCCTTCCGAGGCGGAACTGAAGATTGCGCTTGACCGTCGGCCGCGGTAGTAACCTCCTCGGCATTCTGAACAGCTTCAGGGTCATTGTCCCCGGAATCAGGAGCTTTTCCAAAACTAAATAATGCGCTAATTTTCGCTTCGCCTTTCTGATAGCAGTCTCGAAAAGAAGCAACGAGCGGGTCTTCTTCGGAGATGGTATCAACTTCGGATATCATTTTTCCAGATTGCGCCCCGTCTGCGCTACCGCGGAATCGCATCTGAGGAGTACGGGGTCGCGAGGGAACTTTAGAGAGGCCATTGATAGAAGGGTGGGAATCATGGTGGTCATCGGGAGGTCGGAGATGGCCTGGTGGTAGCCAGGTGTGGTGTTGGCCGATGGACATTACCGCTCCAAACCCCCAGCACTGGGGTGGGCGAGGGGGGTCGTCCCTCCACGCTTTTGAGCCAGTTCAGCGAGCGACAGCAACGGCACGTAGGGAGGTGCAAAAGCGGTATCAAACGAAAGCCAGGATCGGCATAAACCATCCGGCGATGTATCTGGGGCCGGAAATGATGGATGTGTCGCGTTATCGATGGCAGACGACCGGGCTTCTTTGGTGGAGATTCTTGCGGAGGTGACAAGACGTGAACTTGCTCAGCTAATATCAGCATCGGCGCGGGTCACGGGACCTTGGGACAGTCGCAGGAAGCTCTTGAAGGTTTGACGGCGGGAGGAACACCAAAACACAACAACCACGGCAAAGACTCCGCAGACAAGAGTATATATCAGATCTAATTATCATATCCACTGCTACGGTGCACACGAAACTTCTCTCCTCATATCTCCTCCGCTTCGCCAAACCAAAAGATATGGCCATCCAGGTTTCCGGCCTGCTGTCATCTGCTTACTGAACCCCCGTCATCCGCCATCTCACCCGCACGCTTTCTCCCACGATCATAAGCTTTCCCTAGAACCACACAACTATAGAGTGGAGTACGCACATCCACGGGAATTTTGTTATTCTGCACATTAATTCCACACAATTAAGCTACTGCCATGCTGCGGATACGTTACCCATTCGCTGGTATGTAATGTGTCCACCTTCATGCTGGGCCACGCCAGTATCTACAGGCCCTCCCCCATCCTTATGCATGCCTTCAGCCTTTTCACTGCTACGCTTATCTTCTAAAAAAAAAAACATCGTTGTGAACCCAGGCGCATTTGCTGTCCTCTGCCTCCTATCCGCTTACGTCGGCCTCCTTCCAAATAGCGACAATGCGACTCCAGGCGGAGATGACAAGAATAAATCACCCACCTCCACCCGTCCTTCTCTCCAACCCAATGACAAAGTCCTCCACCTCGTAACCTTCTTCTTCCTCTCCCTCACATTCTACTGGGTCCTGGATACCACACGCCGACGCACCCTCCACCTGACCATCATGGTCTGCACAATGGGTCTCGGAATCGGTTCGGAAGTCCTGCAAGCCCTCCTCCCCAACGGCCGTTCTTTCGACCCCTTCGATGTCCTCGCAAATATCGTCGGCAGCCTAGGCGCTGTCGGCTTTTGTACATGGTACCACAAACGGATGCTGGAACGGCGGCGCAAGGCACGCTTTGGCACGGGGTTGGACGAAGTAGGCGATGATGTTGAGCTGGGAGGCGTTGGTGTAGAGAACGGGGATCATAGTGGACTTGGTCCGCAGGAAACAGGTGTCACGAGGGCGCCACGGACGCTGGAGCAGGAGGTGGACAATTGGGATGAGAATGCGGTGGATAATTGGGAGGAAGGGGATGACGATTTCCAGACGAGGACGAGCGCGGAAGGTGATGGGCAACGGACTCCCCCGAGTAGTTCGGGGAATGATGATATTGAGGAGGCCCGGAAGATACGTCCTGATTGATCAATTGATTGATTGCTCCATTTTCGACTTCTATCTTTTTTCGTTTCGTTTGATTTGATGGGCTAGCGAATAGATAATTGATTGGGTTTTTGGCTGGATAAAATATCTATTTTTTTGTTTTAGTACGACAGGAAGGAAAGCAAGCGACAACTTACAGGTACGCAAGGGCAAAAAAGAATTGCAAGCGGGAAATATACTCCAGCGGGTAGCGGGTTCATATATTGCTTCTCGACTTTATTTTTATTTTTATTTTTATTTCTATTTATTTTTTATTATTTTTGGTTTTCGCTCCATCTTGATTGCAATTTATGACAAACTGTATACAACTTTCTAAAACACATGTAGCGCATAACGGCACATGTTTACGGATTATTTTTTGCTCCGCTTTCACCTAAAGTCCGATCGAGGGTAGCATCTTAAGAATACAGTAAGTGGGCGCTTGCTGTCCAGGCAATATACTACTAAATATACCTGTGAGAATGACCTCCCACCGTTCCCGTTATGAATGCAATCTAGTATATATAATATGTTCAAGGCCGTGTTTCGTTTCAGTTATAATCGTTTTGCCTTTTGTCTCAACATTTCAAGATGTTACAATATTGTAACTACTTAGCTTGAACGACCGTGACGGCGGACCAGCCAACCAACGTCTGTCTGTTTCCAGCGAACGATTCAGAAAGAGAGGAAATAAAATGGAATAAGAAAACGTAGAGAAATATGAAATTTAGTAATAACGAAGAAAAAAAAAAAAATGCAAACCATAGCGGATGATCAGGGAGACCATCCTTTCCTAACCTCCTAATCCATCTGAATGACGAGTTCCTCTATGTATTCAAATACCCATCCCATGCAAGTCATTCACGAAACATTATGTGCGTTCAAAGAAACCACTATGAGAGTCATGACGATATAAATAAAAGAAAAAAAGGAAGAAAGGGGCCAGCAAGAAAGTGTTGCCAAGAATGGGACGGAACAAGGGGATGACGGAAAAAAGTTAAAGTGAAAATGCAAAATAATAACCACGGAAACTCAGATACCACATGGTGAAGTAAAAGACATAGAAAATCGATCATAGAAGGGACATGCAGGAAGGAATAAACCGATGTAAGTAGAAAGTTGAAAATGTATAAAAAAGAGAAAATGGGAAGGATATAATTGCCGTAAAGGTTCACCAACGCATAAGTTTACGGTATGTATCCAAAACGCGTAAGGGGTTATGAATGAAGAAGGGGGAAAAAAATGATAAGCAGCCTCCAGACCTCTATCTTTTGCCTGGGGTAGGGATAGAGTCGATGATGGGAACTAGCTCTTCTTTCTGTGTAGGCTCGAACGGGGTGTCGGAAGAGTACTTCGCCATCTTCTGCGAGCGGGATCCAGGAGACTTCACTTTCTTGTCATGCATATTAGTATTATTATTATCCCGGCCGAGGAAAAGGTGAGCCTGTTCCCTGAGAATATCGTAAAGAAATTGGTATTGCATTTCAGTATAGACCATGTGTATCCGCTGTTCACGGAGAAGATTCACCGTATCGAAGATCGGATCTGTGTCGTCGGTTGTCTTCAATAAGTTTCCCGTCTGCATCTCCCTTAGAAGGTGATCAATAGTTATGAACGTTCCTGTCCGACCTACGCCGGCACTACAGTGTACAATGCGAGGATTTTCCAGAGAGCCGGCCTTCTCAGCCGTAACTTTGGTCAACTCGACGATTGCATCGCGGTCTTTGCCCTCCGGCTTCATATAATCAGTCCACCCAGCAAATAGATAATGCCAGACAATCTTGGTTTGGGACTCAAGCTTAAGTTCGAGTTTGCGGATTTCACAACGACATTTGTCGTCGTAGGCATATTCCAGAAGGGACACTTTTCCAACAAAGGTTCTTTCCACCTCGTCATTCCCGTTGCGATCTACAAATGGATCGGCGGCTACGGCGCGAGAAAGGTGGAACACGGGTTCTTCCATAGTCAGTGGGAAATATGGCGAACATTTCTCTTTGCCTTGTTCATAACTCTGGGTGAGCATAATCACTACTGCAACATCTCCGGTTTCATGAAGCACCATACTCCAAAAGTGCTCTAAGTAGTCGGTTTTTGGACCCTGACGTGAAAAGGTTAGTGAATTCTTCGCCCGAAAAATAGATCAATAGCAAGGGGAGGATCACGTATTTACCTGTGCAGCAATGTAGCGAGCAGGGTTTCCGGTTTTAGAGTGGCTCAAAGAAATCGGAGACGCGTTGATAAAGTCGCATTCCCCATCCGGCACTTTAAGATGGATCCGAGAATGTGACCACACCTTTATATTGACATATCGATTCCTCGGTAGAATCTCTGGGCGATTCTCCAAAACCCATTTCCGCGATTCATTCCCCCCCGCTGGCCCTCCTATCCCCGACAATCTAATCGCTTGGAGCATCTCGATTTCGCTGAATTTCTTCTGAATTTCTGTTCAAGCCGTAAAAGACAGTAGCACATACATATTAGTCAATTGATTGGTACACAACTTCCAATGATTCTGTAACTAACCTGCACCTGAGCAATGTAAGAAAGCTGGAATGCCCCGTTTATCTCCGTTATCCTCAGTCGACATGCTGCCATTCTCCTCTTCTCCTGAAGCCGACGCCCACTGTCCCGAAGCCCTACTATCCACCGAGCGGGACCGTTTGGTCAATGGCGACTGGAAATGAGCCTCAGACATCTTCGCAGCGGTTTTACGTCGAAACGATTTGGCTTGGCCGAGGAGATCTCGTATTTTCTTTGGCGTGCGATGTCTTGAGTTGTTGCGCGAATAGCTACTTTGATAGTTCGGGGAAAGAGTCGAGGGGTTGTTGGCGGCTTTCAGGGAAGCGGAAGCGCCAGAGCCCACTGTTGAAGTTGGAGATGTGGCATCCAACGCAGCGGGACTAGGGCAGCTATCAGAGCTGTTCACTATCACTTGTGGTGCCAGGTTCGCTGTCCACTCGCGCAAGCGAGTCCTGGTTGAGGTAAATATAGGTGGTTGCACTTGGATGGTGATGATGGAATGGAATCGCCAGAACCACGAACAAGAAGCAAAAGGAATGACAGAACAAACGTGCATCAGCTGGTTAGATAGTTTCTAAACATGCTTTTACAGTTAGTGCTTGCTTCCCAACCGCTGGTCTCTTTAGCCAAGCGATCCGCTGGCGGTCGTGTGCTGTGTAGTCCGTAGCCCGGTGATGCCGTTGTTTGCAATTGGAGCTTCGCATCCAAATCGCGCTTATATCTAGCTATAGCCAGCAAGCCACCTATAAATATGACGTTATGAGTAGCTGATACTCAAGGGAGAAAGTGTTGAAGGATTGCAATGCGGGGGTCTATTATGATGTAGGCACTTCAGGGGTTTGCGCTGAGCCGAGTTGAACAACGACAAGGTATCCCTGCGACAGAGGTGTCAATCGACTATTTATAGCAGAGTTTCAGGCAAACTATCAGCACAGGAAAAGCGAGAGAAGTGTAGAAGACGAAGATCCGTGGTTGAAAAAGCGGGCTTGCTCGACGAGTGAAGCATGCAAGTGGTCAGTCTCTTGGTAAATAATATTTTTAGTTATGATTTCTTTTTGCCGGGTTGACCAGTTGACTATTTCTTAGACGCGCCACCAACTTCGATAGCGCCAAACCACGTAGGGCCGGCCACTCAACCAGTGTCACCACCGTTACAATCCTACCAAGGACGAACACCAGGACCACCAGGACCACCACGGCCATCAACGCATCGACAAACGTCCAAATCTTCTCGTTCTCGGTCGCCATCGTTCCACAAAGCCTGGAGCTTGGGACCACTTCCTGGGATTTCTCCAGACGCCTTTGAACTTCACTCTGCAACCCGCATGTAAGGAGAACATCGCGCCTTGCCGGATGGCAACAGCAAGCATCTGCACACAACCTGCATAGAACACAGCATGTGGTGGCTCCGTTTTCTTGAGGTATGTCATAATGTCAAGTTTTTTTAACTCAGGCGCTTGGCTGACACGGCCTTCTTCTTTCGCAGATTTGGCTCACTGCAAGAGTAAGCTGCCCATAGCCCAGTATGCATATCGAAGCAAGCATAATCTCGTTCTACATTTAACACATTTTCTCCTTCTTCTCCTTTTCGCCTGCGCCCTAGCTTTTATCGAGCCCTGCATTCCACAGAACAGTGAGGCATGTGCACAGGAAGGTCCAGGAAATTCGACATGGCAAATCTCCGGAAGATATGGGAGGCACCAATATCGATAGTCAGTTTCTCCCCCACCCCCTCCCAACTTGACCACCCCTAGGAAGGACAAGCAAATAAGGGACGCACCAATTTACTGACGGGTTGCGTTTCGAAACAAATAGAGCCAGAGGGCGGCCTCAAGCGATTTATCGAGCTGTTCCGTGAAGAACTGAAAAACCAAGCTGGAAAGGGCCCTCCTAAATCATAACCCAGCTCCGGATGCCCAGATTTCTTAATAAATACCCGTCTCCACATCTATATTATATGGACTTGCCCTATATGTTCCCCATGGACATGAGTTACCTCTCACGTTCGCGGCTCCGGTGATACGATAAAAATGTAATTATAACTTATATACCCCAAATGATATTTTCGCCTTGCCTTTGCCAAACACCCCGGGAAAAAAAAAAAAAAAAAAAAAAAAAAAAAAAGGCACGCGCTCCCTACCCCCGAACTAAAAATCCGGATAAAGATTGGGCTACTTCTGCTTTACACACCCCCGTGCGATGTGTCCCTCATTCTATCCGAAGAGCAATTTCTTTATTTCTTATTTTTCGTGCTTTCCCGCAGTTAAAATGCCAACTGTCAAAAAAAAAAAAAAAAAAAAAAAAAAATTTATCCACTTGCAGCTTGGCGTTGCGTACCTAGGATATGAGCATACAACAATAATGAAATTTTCGACAAAACATAATAGCTACTCTTTTTTTTTTTTTTTTTCTTACTTCTATTACTCTTTTAGCCATCAGAACTTACTTCATCTGTGGAGGCAAAAGATCTTTCCCATCTTCACTGATTTCCATTGGTGTCACACTCTCTTGTGCCTTGGTGCTTTTGATAGGATACTACTTCACCGTATAAACAGGAGGCAGGAAATGATATTCAATCATAGGTGCTACGGTCTATCCAGGGCGGCGTGGAAGTAATGTGATTGGCAAAAGAAGTCCGTAGCATTTGATACAGCGAATAAAAAAAAAAAAGCAATTTTCAGAAAAAGGAGTCAACGTAGAAACTAGAGCAACGAGATAGATGAAGCCAGGCAAAGATGAAGAAAAATGAAATCTATACTCCGTAACTAAATGTTTACAAAATCCATACAAATTTTATATCAAATAAATACACGAAGTGAAACTGACTGGAATGTTGGCCTGATATCATGTTCTAATTTTTTTAATTTTTTTTTCCTTGGCTAGCACTACCTGAGTACTTCAAGATCATGTAGGATAAGATACATTCACCATGGCAAATTATTCAGTTTTTTATGGAACCATTCCGCAAGGAACCCCAAGGCCGGGGGCCACAAGACACGCTGAGCCTCAAGAATTGAAAATGTTATATAAAACAAAAACGGACGCTCAAGCTACCGGAAAGGTGTAAAACTAATGACGATGGGCATGCCTCTTATGCATACGGACATGGTCCCGTTTGCGACTACCAGCCTCAGGCGCAGCGGTCTCAGCAGCTGCCGCGGCTGCTGTGATGGTCGTTACAACAAATTGCTCATAGTAATTAATCTTGTACACCGAGTTGCCGTTGGTGGACCAGCTCGTTGCCACGACCTTTCCGGCGGGGCACTCGCCATCGGGCGCATCGGTTATCTGGGGTTGTGAACCGGAAGGGTGATCGACTGTTGAGTAGCCGGGTGCCTCTGTTTCGGACGGGAGTGGCCCGTCGGTGGGCTGTGGGTCGACTGGTTTGACAACGGGCGGCTGGCTGGGCTCTGGTAGTTCGGAATGGGGGTAGTCGGTCGGTGCTTCGCATTCGGAATCGTCATCTTCAGGTGGTTCATTGCCTAGCTCGTCATCAGTTGGCGGTTCATTGCCTGGCTTATCATCGGTAGGCGGCTCATTGCCGGGCTTGTCGTCGGCGGGAGGCTCATTGGTGTCCGGATCCTCACCAGCTGGTGGCTCGGTTTCCACGGGCGGAGGAGGCTGGGTTGGGAACGATGAGGGGGCCTCCTCTACAGACGAAGTGGTTGCAGTCGGGGACGGTTGAGGGTAACCTTGAGACGGCGATGGCTTATCTGGATCTTCTGAGGGTGGAGTGCCCGGCTTTGCGTAGCCGGGGCCGTCTGAAATGGGAACATTTTCTGGCAGTCCATTCGCGCGCCGGTCGAAGCTCTCGCCTTCAAGCATTGGCGGAGTGCGCATCTTGCACTTGTTCTGCACGGAGTCTTTCTGAAGAGTAAATTGGCGACAATCCTGCACAGTTCCAGAGTTGCTGGTGCATTCGTCCACGGCCTTCTGGAGGAATTTCTCATCCCAACCATTCATGAAATCGCCATGATAGCCATACCCTGTGGGGTCACCATTAGAAAAAACAAATCTTCCAGCCTTCCCTTTATAGGCGCTGGTATCCCAAATCGTCTCAAAAAATATAGACACCAGCCGGATGGGGTAGCCGGGGGGGCAGAAGCCATTATCGATGCGACTTGGATAGGCCATATGGTCTTTGTGGTTGGGAGAATCAGTCCGTACTCCATCCCAGCAGGAAGGGAAGAAGATTTCGGAACGGATGCCATGCTTGCAATTGGTATCGATATAATTTTTATCGGGCAACTTGTGAGGAATGTGGTAAGGTTCGGGGTGCTTGTCGTAGTTCAAGCAAGTAAATCCAATGTTTTTTTGAGCGTCTGTGAAGTTGCGTTGGAGATTGCTGCCGGCAAGCATTCTCAGACCAGGGGGAAACGCATGGACTTTCTCTCCAGGCTCGTGCCGTTGAAGGTAGTACCTACTGAGCGTCAGTGCTGGCAACATCATAAACAATACTAAAAAGAACCTTGCTTGCAAGACGACAAATCTTTGAGAAGTGAACCTACACGAGCATTCCACCAACCTGTTTAACCAACTCTGTAGATTTGTCCGGATGCTCAAAGTACAGTGCCGGCGCCCAATACAGGGACATATCCTCAATCACTTCACAGGATGTGCATTCAGATGCCCTGAGCTCGTCATATGTATTGGTCAAGCCAAGATCTAGGAAAGATTAGAGAACCGAGATCAAGCGCCTCAGCCTACACTGGAAATGGAGGCAGCAGAAATGGAGAACGTACTCCCAGCTCCGTGGAGCGCATGAACATGACCGGAGCGTTTTCCAGGATTGACGATGGGATCGATAGGGCCGAGCCCCACGCGGCCGCGGCATGGCAAACGCCAGAACGCCAATGCAGGCGAGATCGTCGCCGCTAGGACGACAAGTAAACGCATTGTTGCGAGAGGTAGAGACCGGCTCTCAAGCAATCTTGATCGGCAAGAATGAGAATCTCGGCCAAAGCGAGTCTATTGGGGCGCTGAGGTGTAGAAAGCAAGCCTCCGACCAAGGGAATTGGACGACAGATATATATATATAATCTATATACGCACGCAGCCTTTCAAGATTGCTATCCTCGCGAGAGAAAAGAATGAATGCCAGAATCTAGCTCTGGCAGGACGAAGAAAGGAGTGTGAGGGCAAAGTGACCCCCTAAAAAAAAAAAAGGACCAACAAGAAGAATGTTGCGGTTCCAAAGGAGTGGCCTGCTCACTGAGCCATCGAGAAGGGGAGGTGGTGCTCTTTTAATCCAGCCATGAGGGACAGGTAAGAAAGACCAAGAACCCATAATCTAACGAGAGTGTCAATACTCCGTGTGGCTTCCCTTAAGCCTGCCAGCTGTCAGAACATGTCATCCTGGAGTCAATAAGCGCTGCATGGTTAGCCAGGCACAAGATGAATTGCCTTGCATGTTTCGAGCCAACCAAGCCGCCTCTCACCAGTGGACAAGCGCAGCCGTGTTTTGGATGCGTGATTGCACTTTTATACCAGGGAGTAATTTCCCTGGCCTTTTGCCATGACCTTATTTTTCCTTGGACCAAAAAGTCATTTTCAGGGCGAATAAGAATCACCGGCAGTACAGCTAGTCAAATGTCCAGGAGGGGGCTGACAGTCCGTTTTCTGTCCTCTAGAGCCCGCTCGAATTTCGAACCAGAATCTTGGTTGAACGGTGACCAGTGACGTCCAGGGAAGCTTATTAAAAGAAGCCTAAAACTCCATAAATAGATGCGTGTGTGAGGGTGGTTGGGCAATCGAGCCTCCAGATTCTCTCGGCGGCCCCCCTTTCAATGCCAACATGCCCAAAATCTCATCTGTCACTCTGGCTAGAAAACAATTACCGAGATTTGTCACGTAGTTACTCTTCTTGCCCTAGTAACAAAGTTCAGTGTACTCGAAAGAATATTAGAAGTTTTGGAATTAACTTACTACCTCGGTGCTCATTCTTTTCCGCTGCAGCGTATCAGTTCTTGTCCAGATTTTCTCATCGAGGCTGCTATGCAAATAATGGGCGCTGAAGCGAGGCGATGTTGATGCTATTTTGCTCGAGTCCAACTTCGAACTAGCCTTGAATTTGCATGCTCGAAACGACTCCCGAGAGAAACCCGCTAAGGTGCAGCGGCGTGTCGCATCTTATTTAGCATCACAGACGGTTGTTTTGGTCCAAGGAACACAAAATCTCACTCGAAGCTCGAACGTCAGCCTCACCCACAAGCAAATTCCGAAGCTCCAGTTCGTTCGGCTCTTTGCTCGAATTCTTGACCAAACCGCTGGGCCCTGGTTGCCACGTTATCATGGCAGCAAAACCCCCCGGGTTGATATTGGTCCCGGAACCGCTAATTTCTCGGAGATTGCAGGTCATGACAAGGATGGGATGCATGGAGATCAAGTGTTCGGGGTTTCTTTCAAGTCATCCACATCCACCACATTACGTTCGCTCGAAGAGGCATGGAACACTCACACTTTTTAATTAAGAAGTACGCTTCGTGGCATTACTCTGTGCAAGAAAATAGAATAAAGATGAAGAAATGCATCCAGCATAAGCGTCGGTCACCACAGCCTCTTGAAGAGTTTTTGAAATTATATTGCAGTTCACAGATGGTCAGGTCAGGTTGCCACACACACTGTCAAAGGTCAAAGTGATTCTTCAACCTCTCAAGGCCAAATGTAGTTGTCATCTAAGTCAGTTTTTACATCTGTATCTCCATGCAGAGTTCTTTTGCCTATCAGAAGATGATTGCGCTGACCAAAAGCATATGGCTAGTTCCTTGGACCAGAATAGAATGTGATGTGGAAAGGGCATCCAGAGTTATCAATTGTATGACTTTTGCAGCCATCGACTTCTGCAACATCAACATCCAGCAATCCAGGCCAACAAACCTTTGATGGGCCTATGGTTCAAAAGACAGCCTCTGTACACACAAGAACCGTACATACACCACAGTCCTTTGGGATGATGAGGATAAATGATGATGAAAATGAAGAGTACTCAGAGCTCGTGCGGAATAATCGAATTATTCATTTAAGCCGAGATGGCCTCGTTTTGATGTTCTGAAGCAGGCTCTGTATATAATCACCCCATCGAGCAGCAATCATCAAATGTACTCTCGGGTGATGCACATAACATACCATTTCTCGATATTTCCCCACGAAACTCACGGACCATGTTCTGAACTTTAGAGCGACCGGGTTAGCCTTGACCTGTTGATAGGCATTGGGCCACTCCAATCGAAATCACCCTTGAAAATGGGCCGGATGAAGAACCGCCCGCAGTGGATATGGATAATGGATACCCAAGGGAAACCAAAACACACGGGCCAGATTTACTACCTGCGGTGGTAGATATTGTTCAGAAGCCCTTAGCTAGAGCTGAGTGACTGGATGTATGTACATTACATACAGTACAGTCTATTGTGCCTCTTATATCACGAGCAATTGGTGCACAGTACAGGCCAGGTAAGCTGTTCCCTGTCTGGAATTCAAGAGCTGAGATTGTATGTATGTACATGTACATGTACATTACTTGGGGTTATTGGTAACAAGCAACAACCAACAACAACATTAGAAAATAATAAAAGACTTTCGCGAAAAAATGAGGTGCTTTGAGGAGGGCTTTTTTTGCCTTAGAGAGTTAGCAATGGCTGTAATTTCACAGCAATTCTGCAAGTATAGAAAGTACGGAGCTACAAGGACATCCAAAGGCCTGACTGAATAAGGAGACCTTCTTCAACAGTCAAAACAGGATTTGAATTGAAAATAAAATAAAATAAAATAAAAAATAGTAACTAATTAGTTACCTTCATAATAGGCAACACAATAGTTCAAGAGTATAGTCAAAACAAAAACTAACTATTTGATAAGAGTTGATGATAAAAAGGTTGACTGACCATGGGCGGGAAGGTTTTCAATGAAAAATCTTCAACCAAGCCAGCCAGCCCTAATTTGGTGTTCGGGGGGAAGAAAGGACTCGTAAGTGGCGCCTAATGATCTCCCGGCGACCACCGATAGAGATGGGTCCGCCGCCTTCTGGGTCCCACCCCACCCCACTCACTGCCAGTAGCAGTACGGAGTAGTAGAAATGGAACGAAAAGAGAGGAGGAGAGAAGAGAGGGAAAGAATATATATGTATGAACGAAAAGAATCGATATAAATAGAGAGATATATATATATATAAATAAGAGAATACCAAGAAACGGAGATATGCATCTCATTCGCCCTGGTATTTTTCCGAGACTTTGGAACTTCTCCTCCGCAACCACCAAGGCATATATCTCATCTCATCTCATCCCATCTCAGCCCCAGAATGATGAAGAAAAAAAAATTAAATTTCTCAAACCATGATGATTCAAGACCTCTGTCCTAAAACGTTCAACACAACGCCTCACACAAAACCTTCAACCCACATGCAAAATAAAAATCCAGCACTTAAAAGAACAAACGCCAAGTTTAACAAACCTCTCTCTCTTCTTCAAGTGGCTTTGATATGCAAAAAAGAAAAAAAGAAAAAAAAAAAAAGAAAAAAAAAAAAAAAAAAAAAGGCGAGGGTTCCATCTTGGACTCCCAACGCCTGAATGCAACGTTGGCGAATTAATTATGAATGATACATGATAAATGATACATGCATACGAGAACGCCTTACATTTAATATATATCCCACGCCCGTTTCCTCTATATGGAATTAACAAGATAGTCATGGGTTCGGATTTCTGCAGAGCTTAAGAAGTTTTAGCGGGCATTAGAGCCGACTATTGCCAGCTGAAGCTCTACTATGCGTAAAGGAGGGGGTGATGTGATTGATGGCTGGAGAATCATGCATGAATGGTTGATGTGGTTTATGGTTTGGTCAGTGAGTGAGGAAAAGGTTGTTGAGGACGGAGTGATATGCTGTGTATGTAGAATATGTATGTGTATCTTGGAAAAGTTGGAAAATCAGTCAAAGGCTTGATTGAAAGAACAGAGTACTCTGTACAATATCGGGTGCTCTTGAAGCAACTTCTCAGTGAAAAGAAGTCTATATATGTAAGAGACTGTTTGATTGACTTTCTTCTCCATATACAATTCTGCTGATACGGAGTAAAATGGCATGTCATTCATGAAGACCTTGTGTATTAGACAGACAAATGTTTCTATATATTCATTTGAGAGTTGAGAAAGAGTATCATTGATACAGCTGTAATCTGATTGAAAATCAAAAGTCTCCAGCAACACATTATTCTTCAATCTCTGGGTAATAAAATAGAATAGTGAAATACTCATTCATAAGAATTCTTAAATGTAATTAGCATATCTTCTTCTATTTCTGAACATCAGAGCTTCCAGCTATTTTACTTGCAAGGTTAGAAGAGAGAATGTTCAGCACTCACACATACATACTGATGATAGATATATTTAGAATAATAACAGTTACTTCCTTGCATGGTCAACAGTTCTATATCTGTTCAGAACTATTCTAAGCATTGTTGACAGAGTTTCCACATATCTATATCTCTCTCATTCTTGAAATCCTCTGCCATATATGTACTGTACCTGAATCAAGAAAACAGATTAGTTCCGTTCAAGTGATACTTAGGATATACAATTCCCCGTTGGCCGGGAGAGGTAATTTTGGTAATTTTTGCGCAGCGGACAAAAATAATAATAATAATATAAATATATTCCGCACATACACACATACAATCATTGTAACTGTACACAGCTGGTACAGTACATTACATACAGTACGTACCTGCACAGCCCTCGAGTCACCAGTGTTACAATGTTACAATGTGATCACGGTGCCATTTTCTCCGCTGTGAGACTAGGCCTGATGTAGTTTAACAGTGTCCACCCGACAGGGGTACGCACCGCACTTCCAACCAATAGAAACGCGGAACCGGCCTCGAATGGAGTCAAAACGGGCAATGATGTATGGGTCTAATCCAATCGGGTGTAAGGCACAACGGCCTGGCTCCACGTGGTGTCTCAGAACAGAAACTTACTCCCGTTATTTACAATAATAACACTGTATTCTGCTGCAGCGGGTATTGCCCATCCCCCGCACGGACGAGATCTGGTATTAAGCGGTATCGGGTTTCGACTCCTGATGCTGTTTTTTTGCCTCGTAACTACAGCGTACAGCGTACTCTGTAATTAATCAACATCCAGTTCGTTCGTTTCGTTTCGTTTCGTTTCGTTTCGTTCGTTCGTTTTTTTTCTGTTTCTCTCGTTTCTTTCTTCCACATCCACATTCCACATCCAACAATCTTCATCCCTCTCTATATTATTCATCCATTCCTCTATCACTACTTTCCATCCCGCGCTTGTTGCGACGACTTTCATTCTCTCTCTCTCCGTATCCATTTTCTTTCCTTTCTATCTTCAATCTCTCGTTTAATGTTCCTTTGATATATATACATACCTCCATCCATCTATCTATCTGGATCTGGTGGCTACTAGTTTCCTCAATCAGGCCGCGTAACCCTCGCTCGCTCCCCTCTTGTCCTCCAGTCGCTCGCTGCCAGCCACCGCCAGTCACGATGCGGTGGACACCCTCCTTATCCCTTCTGCTGCTCTCAGTCCTCTTGCTCGCCATAGCCGTCGTTGGCGCTGAGCAACCAAATCACCATGGCAGGAAGAGACAGATAATCAGCATCGACGACCCAGCGGCATCAGCGACCGAATCTCCATCCGAAGAACCAACAACCACCACCACCACCTCCACCACCAGCACACGAGAAGACCCAACAACCACTTCAGAGACCACCAAAGAAGAACCAACCACCAAACCCAGCGATTCCCCCACCTCCAAAACCACCACCAACCGCCCAACCCGACCAACAGATCGAACAACCCCCCGTCCCACCCGCACACCCACCCCGCCTCCAACCCGCTCCTCCGTCATCATCGTCACAAACACCATAACCCTCAGCGGCAGCACCTATGAACAAACCTCTGCCTCAACCATCGCTCCAGGCCAAACCCTAGCCCCAGGCCTCGGTAACGACGCTGGTGGCCGCCGCACCTCCTCCGGCCTCAGCGAGTCCTCCGAGCGCGTCATCATCGGCGTCGTAGTCGGTGTAGGCGGCGCCGTCATCCTGGGCGGCCTGGCCTTCGTCGCATGGCGGTTGCGCCGCAAGCGCAACGCACGCGGCCTGGGCGACGACGATGACCTGATGAACGCCGGCACAGCCGTTGGCTCGTCGAGCCTTGAGACCTCGACCACGGCGGCGGGGGCGAGCCCGTTCAAGTCTACGTTGGATCAGTATCATCATCCTGGCGGGGTGAATCCGTCGTCGAATTTTTAGATGATGAGAAGGGGCGACTTCGTGTTTTTTCTCTCTCTTTTTTTTTTTTTCTCTGGTTGCTTTCACTTTTTACTTGAAGATTGTAAAATGCGCGGCATTTGATTAGAATCTGGGCATGAAGCATCGCTTAAGGTGTGCGAAACAAGCTTTTTTTTTTTTTTTTCTTCGCCTGGAAGAAGTTGGGGTTGATGATGTTTTTTTATTTTAATGTTGGCTGGCTGCATTATTTTCCTGTGTTTTGTTGTCAGGTAATATCCCCGCTCTCAACACTGACACGGATGGTTTTTTTTTTTTTTTTTTTTTTTTTTTTTTGTTGTGATATTTTGAACTTATGGGCTTGGAGTTAGAACTTGATATCTTTTTTCTTTTGTTTCCTCATGTTTTATATTTCTTTATTGTCTTCTTTATTATTTCCATTTGAATTATTTCCTTTCTCACAGCCAATCTTTCAACAACAGAAAACCCCCCAAAAAAACTCTTACAGAAAGGAAAGCACTTTGAAAGCAAGCACATCACCACCACACTGCACTGTGAAAGGAATGAGAACTTATCTCTCGTCAGCTACCTACAAATTAACTATAATGATTAATACTCTCTTTGATATATTACATAGCATCATCATTATTGCATCTGATTCTGATACACCTGTTATATACATTTCAACTCTCTTGTCAATTAAAGCGCTCATGTTGTTGGAAAACCTCCGGCCAAATCAGCAAGCAGTATGGAACTTCATTGTAGTAGGCAGGTATTCATATAGTTATATGAGCCTCCCATGGCAGACTACATAGCTGCCACAAGCATATATGCATGTATGGCGCTTTAGATATACAATATACCTGCGCCATATGACATATTCAAGTGGGGGTATCCTTACGCATTGCCAGGAGGAAAGTCGTCAACGCATTGTGCATTATAAAGGGACAGGATCAGCCTCCCTGCTCCTCTCTTGGTATTATTATTCCAGCCCATAAACGCCCTCATTAATCACTCTTGGTAAGACAACTGCTATTGAGTGGGGGGTGTGGAAAGACTCGCTGAAACAGAGGGGAAAAAAAGAAAAGAAGAGAAAAGAAAAGAAGAGAAAAGAAAAGAAAAGAAAAAAGAAGAGAAAAGAAGAGAAAAGAAAAGAAAAGAAAAGAAAAGAAAAATCACCACTGAAATCAAAAACCTACTCACTCCCCCCCCTTCCCCTTGGGCTCCGTGACATACCCATGCCTGGCAAGCTTGCCATCCTCCAACACAACAAAATACTCCGCATCCTTGATAGCTTCTAGCCGGTGCGCGATCGTCACAACAGTCGAGTCCCTCAGCTCCTCGCGGATAATCTGCTGGATCTCTAGGGAGCTCTCATGGTCAATCGACGCCGTCGCCTCGTCGAGAATGACGATGGGGCTCCGTCGCAGCACCGCTCTTGACAGGCCGATTAGCTGGCGCGGGCCGTGGCTAAGGTTGCGACCGCCCGCCTCGACGTCTGTATCCAGCGTCCACCCGTGCCTGTTCTGGTTCTGGCAAACGCGGCGGAGGACATCCGCACACTCGGCATCGGAGTAGTCGCCTACCGGGTCCAGATTCAGCCGGATGCTACCGGGGAACAGAACGGGCTCCTGCGCAACGAAGGTGACCCGCTACCGCAGGGCCTGCGTGTGCACCTTGGCGATGTCGATGTTATCGATCAGAATGCGACCGGAGTCCGGGCGTACGACGTTCAGGAGAGACAGAGCCAGGGCCGACTTGCCGCTCCCCGTGCGGCCCATCACGGCGGTAGATGATCCTCCCGGGATCCGAAGGGAAATGTTCAACAGAGACGGGTCGAGATGAGGTGCGTAACGCACAGTCGCGTCTTCAACGACCATATCGGAGCCGAAACGGGGCCACGCAGCTGGTGGCTCAATGCTGCCGGACGGCTCCTGCTCGACATGACACAGTTCGTCAACCCTCTCCACAGACACGAAATCCATCTGGATCTGGCCATACTGTAGGTACAGGGACTTGATAGATACGACAAAGCCGTCTGCCGCGACGAGGACAAACGCAATCATGCCCGCGGAGATACCGGTATAGAGAGCCAATATAGTAAGGCAGAAAATCGACATGGCAGACAGGCTTTGGAAGCGATATGTCAACCAGGCCTGCAGGGACCAATAGAAGTGGTCCATGCCTTGGAATTTATCAACGACGCCAATGACTCGATCCATGAACCGTTTCTCCGCGTGGAACGCACGGACGGTAGTCAAGCCATGTAGAAGCTCGCCAAAATTCGACATCAGCGGGGCTCAGCGAAACCATTTCCAAGCGCCTTAGATGCTGCGACGACGGGAAAAATCGCAAAAATATGTAGACGAATGTACCGGTCAGCACCACCGTGAACGCTAAGAAACTCGGAGTAATAGATGCAATCACTACGACGGAGGTTACCCAGGTGATCGCCATGAAGTTGAATAGCCTGAACTGCTGGCTGATGTTGCCATCCACAACGCCAATATCTGAGGTGAGGCGGTTCATCAGTCGGCCTATTGGCGTCACATCGAAGTATCTGAATGTCGCCGAGCTCACACGCACCATGGCTCGGGTAAACATTGGTTTGCTGGCATAGTATACGACGACAACCATTACAAGGGATGCGAGTAGGAGGTTGATGGTTTGGAGCGTGGTGATGGCAAGAAAAGCCCAGAGCCACGGGCGAACATCGTTAGCGGGCCGTGGGAATGTGTCGGAGGGTGTCGTGGGGAGGATAAAAGCTTCCACGGCAGGAAGAGACTGAGACTGAGACCTATCAATATTGGACATGCCGTGATTGCTGCCCATGAAGCGCATTAATACCTGCTCCTTCTCATACGCTTCACCCCAGTCTTTGAGAAACCAAGACGGGCCAACCGCGGACAAGCGGTAGACTGTCAAGACAACAACGAGCACAGCCCACCATCTGAGTTTGCCCGCCTTGATGTAGCCCCAATAAACACTGCCCTTAACCCCCCCTTTGGCCCGATGTTCTTCCTCGATGAATTTGTCAGGCACTGTCTCCGAAAGCTCGTCAACAGGGCTTTCAGGCGCTGTTTGCGTTGTGTCATCTGTCAGGGTTCCTGCCCGAGTGTTATCCCCGATCAGCATTGAACGGATATATTCCTTATCATACGTTGTAGCCCGTCCGTCGTCGATGCTAATGATTTGTTGCGCAAGACTGTGAACCAGCGTTGTGCGGTGAGTAACAAGGACAACGGTTCGGTTCTGCATTAAAGGTCCAGACAGACATTTGCTGACCACTGCCTCTGCGGTGTTAAAATCGAGGGCTGACAAGGGATCATCAAGAAGAAGAACTTTAGCTGAGCTGTATACAGCTCTTGCAAGAGCGACACTTGCCTTTTGGCCGCCAGAAAGTCCAGTGCCGTTCTCTCCAATAAGAGTTAGATCCCCATGTTTAAAGCTAGCCATATCTTGACCTAGGCAACAGGCATCCAAAACTAGTTTATAACGTCTCTCATCATATGGTAATGAGAACAGAATATTTTCTCGAATGCTCATGCTTTGTAGCCATGGTGTTTGGGCGAAGTAACCAGTCATATGATTAGGAATATGAGAGACACCTGTTGTTTTATCCATTTCGCCGAGTAGCGCTAGCAGGAAAGCCGTCTTCCCAGAGCCAACCTTCCCTGAAACAACAGTCAAGCCCTCGGGAATCGTAACACATAGATCCGAAAGAACAGGAGCGTCAGTCCCGGGCCAGGCATAAAACTACAAGACTCAAGTTGGATAGGGCCGGAATCCACAGAATCATCGGATGGCTCCGTTTCCTTGTCTGGTTCTGACATGAAATCTTCGATCCTTCCCAGCGCAACTGAGGCGTTCATAAAAATAGTAATTAGGTTTGGGATACGTTGAATGCGTATCTCCAGCATGGTGAAAAGATGCAAAGCAGGGAAAATGATATCGATACTCAACTGTTGCTGAGCCAAGACAGTATAGGCATAGAGGGCCACAACGGGAAACAATCCGCTGGAAAGGGAACTAACTACCCCAAGCATAATTCCCCAGACGCCCGTAATGATGCGCAGACGTAGTTCGTGTTTTCTGGCGTCCGCGACCTGATTTAGCCAGTGTTTCTGCCATCCATACCATCTCAGGTGACGGATTGCTTCGACAAATTGAGAAGTAATTCGAAGTCGAGAGTCCGTCGCTTTTCTTCTTACCCGCTCCCAGCGAACCAGTATCCAGGTGATGAAGGCGTTGAGAACCTGAGCGACTAGCACAGTGACGACACCGAGTAGACATGACGGCCCAAGTAGGCTCCACACTAGGAAAATGGCAATAATCAGCCCGAGGGTAGCATCGAGTAGAGAATCAAACTGCCAAAATCGCTCGGAAATCTCGTAGACATCCCCTTGGATAAGGTTCAATATTTTTCCCATTGATGCAGCCTCGTTTGATTCTGTGCCGCTGTCGCTGGTTCTACTTGATTTGAATGGATTCCACCACGGGGCTCTTCTCTTCTTGGCTGACTTCTTCCCATCATCCGCGTACTCGCCCGGAGGCTCTTCGGTTTCGCGAGTGGCCCCAGAAGATTCCGCTTGAAGCTTTTGACCGGACACGTTCTTCCTTGACAAAGCCTTTTCATAAACCATCATGATCATCTCGCCACGGCTTCTCTCGTAGCATCGTCTACCATACCAAAGATTTAAGACTTGCACTTGTGCTCCAACCACACGGATCATCATCGTTAAGAATGCATACGTAAGAGGCATCCGCTTAGGAATGGCTGGGTCTTTGGTAACCTGTAGGAGCTTCTGCAGGAGAAGTGGTGAAGAGGAATCTAATAGTCGTTAAAAAGGACAATTCAGTCATAGATAGAAAAATGCCCACCTACCGCAAGCTGTTCTCACAAACCAAATCAGTGTCAAGATGAGCAGGTCAATTCCATTCGCTTGTAGCACCCGGCTAAGCACTGACCCTTTGAGCCGACTAAACCTCTCGTGCAGCCTATGGTGCTGAAACTCAAATGGAAGAAACCAAACGTCTTCTTCGTTCAACTGTCGTCGCTTTCCTGCAGCAATCAGCGGTGCCATCCAGGAGACACTGAGAAATTGCCAGTCGCAAGTTGTCCTCGGGGCTCCGCAGTGTGCTATCCGGTCGATGGCCAACTGGACTTATATCGCTAGATGTAGCGGATGCCAGACGGAATGGCATAAGAAGGATGGTGAAAGATGCTGTTCCCGCCGCGACAGCTGAAGCATAACCAGCGACGGCATCAAGTACATTAGACCTGTCAGTAAACGGAGTTGAATGGGAGTCTAACTACGAGGACTGCAGTGAAATACACGAGCATCAAAAGTGGGCAAGTCCTTGGGCGTTTAACAATAATCAGCAGCATAGCAACAACCTGCTCGCGCGTCAGTGATGCGGCCTTGACGGATGTAGCAGGCTGGACGACACACCCATGATAAGGGGAGAATTGCGTCGCTCCAAACAAACGGGCTGTAGGTCAAGCGGACAAAATCAGCAACCAAACCCAGGAATGTTTCGAAGTACAGAGCGATCACCCAAGTTGGTGGAGATTCGCCCTCTTCAGGTGGTAGCTCGGATAATTGACCGCCAGTCTCGAGAACGAAAGGGCCGCAACCACCCCGGGCGCCACTGGGGCACGTAATGGTCCAGCATGTAGTAGAGAGAGATGAGAGTAATCAAAATGGCAGGAATAAAAGACAAATATGGTTCCGCACAGGGCGAGAACCGCGCATTGTCAGGATCCTGCGATCCAAATTAGTTCGTTTCCTGTTGAACACCATAACAGCGCAGAATATTATTACCCATATTGTACGGCAATGACCCAATTGAAGTCCGTTTCGCATTGGTTGCGGAAGGGCCTGTTGTTGTAGTGATATAGATCCCATGGTCCCAAGGCGTATGTATTTAGCTTCGCCAGGATATTCGAGGTGAGGTGAGAGATGTGAGGACGTCTCATAGCGTCGGTGGTATATTCTTCCGATATCTGTTTGTTGGGATCGATGTAGTAAGTACCTTGAGACAGGCCAGCGTGGTTCAGAAAATTTTCGAACTTTTGATGCAGCACTATATATAACTATACGGGATATTTTTCAAAAGCAGTAGTCAATCCACAATGATCTATGCTGTATGCAAAATAATAAGCACAAGCTGTCTAGAAAAACAGATGTCAGATGTGCTGACAGAAATTCTGCTCTGTATGATTTCTTTTTTTAACTCAGTAATTACACTGCTTTCTCATACGAAGATAGCCATCATGGCAAGATGTCTATTAGACTCTAGTATATACAGTTGAATTCTAAGATACTCAATATAAGATCTCAAGTCATTCTCATTTTATGATCCTCGCCTCGTACATGTACCACTACCATCTATTCTCTCGTTATCGTAACTATTTATCTATTGCTTACATATGCTGTAACTACATCGAGTAGATTCTTACTATATGTTAACCGACCACAGATAGTAATTCATACTAGAAACACCAACCATTAATGAGAAAGTGTTGTCCAAAGTCGCGGATAATAACAATATAACTCACTCCTACATCGGTATACATTGAACAGCCGTTTGTCGAGACCTCGAGACCTCGGCAGTTGCAAACCAGTTAACTAAACCTAAAACAGCCTAGCGTTTTTACGCGTGAGTGATGTAACTAATCAGTCGCGTCCTTCAACCATCGAACAATCAGGATATATTTTCTTGAACGCTTCACGCAATGGCCAGTATCTAACAGAAAACCACTCTTCTACTTCCCAACATACATCACACCCAGTCATTAAAACATAATAATGTTTACCACCATCTCCCAACCAGCTCCTTTCACGAGACTCTTCTCCCACCACCACACATCACAACCACACAATCCCTCCCCCCTCGCCCCGCGCCATGCGAACCTAACCTCATCCCAGGCCCCTACTACAATGCCAATGTCGCACTCAAAACCCCAATCGCCGCGCATAGAGCATAAACATACACACAAGCAAGAGAAATCGACAACAACAAGAGCAACATCACCCAAACAATCCTACTACGCCGACCGCTACGCCAACAACTCACCGAAGGCCCAACTCGCGCGCCAAAAGGCCTCCCGTGAACAACAACGGCGCGATATCTTCCTGAATAGAGTGAAGCGAGATCGCGACGAGGGCAGATTCGACGCTAGAAGCGAGCAGATTCAGCGGATTAACTATTTGGCGCAGCAGCGGAGGTATCAAGAGGCGATTGCGAGGTCTGCGCCGGATGTGGGGCCATTGATGGAGGAGGTGGAAGACGGAGGGGGAGAGGGAGAGGGAGGTGGGATGGTATTTGATGACGGGGCTGAGGGGTTGGGTGGTGTTGAAGGTATGTATACATACATATATCTATACGTGGTGCCTGCCCTCTCAGAGGGCTTTTGTTTCACTTGAGTTGCTTTGTCTTTGCCACTTTCCCCTTGTGCTAATATAAACCCATTTCAACAGACGAACGCATCCTCGAAGAATTCATTTCCCAGGAGGAAGAATACCAGGCCTTCTTAGAGGAATTGGAGCCCTTGTGGGATATCGAACAACAGTCCCAACAGGGCGACGGCCCGCCAAGCTCCCAGTACGACGATGAAGAAGACTATGAGAATATTTTTGCTGAGTTGCTTATCGGAGATGACGACCAGGATAATCAGCATCAGCATACAATATCATCAGACCAAAATGACAGCATGCATGATAGGATGGATATGTCGTGTGGGTAGACGTGCTATTTGAAGTGTGCGTGTTTTAGAGGTGCATTTTCAAAGTGGCGTTTTGCTGGGCTTCAGGTGGTAGATCCAATATTATTTATTATATTTTTATTTTCTGTCACTCTGTGTTTATTTACTTTCCTTTGGACGATCGATGTATTGAACGCGTTTGTGTAGCAGTGGGCAACGTTTTCTGTTTTTTTTGTAAAAAAAAAACCATTCATGAAAGAAGTAGTTCTATGGGATATTGAAGAGAGGTAGTTAGAGACGCGGGGTATCTGGATTCTTTCTCTTTTTTCACGTTCCTTTTTATTTATGTACATATAGAGTACACGGTACGGTACGGGGGATGAGAATGGTCATTGCGCCAGGTGGGTGGGATATCAAAAAGTTAATATCAGGCGGCCTGAGAAAAGATGTCGAGATACATATAAAGAAAAATAGAGAGGGGGGGCGAAGAAAGGGACATGGAAAATTTCAAGAAATAATAAATAAATTCATTCTACCAGGAGTATTATTATTGCTGGGGACATTGCGGCGTCTCAGCGTCTCCTCCCCCGCCAGCGAAAGCGCCTGGGAGCCCGAGTTCATCCGCCAGCGGATTCGACACCAGGGCATCAGGCGGGCTACCCGCAGCTTGCATCTATTATCACGAATCGTTAATTAGCCCGCTGCCCTTGTGGAAAAGAAAAAAAAAAAAAAAGAGGGGGGGATTAAGGGTTAAAGCCTACCTTCTGCATCTTCTCCCAGATATACGCCCTATCCGCCGGCTTCTCATCCGAATACCCCTCCTCATCAAACTTGCCTACAATCTCCGCCACGAGCACAGACTGCAATTCATACCTCTCCAAATCCTCCTTGGGCACCTTGTCCCGATTCTCCAACAGCCAGGGGCCGAATTTGGCATGCAGCTCCTTCATGGGCTCGTAGAGCATCTCCTTATTCGACAGCTGCTCCATGATGCCCATGAAGATTTTATCGAGGTTCTCATCGTCGCCGCCACCAGCACCACCAGCGCCAGCTCCAGACTCCATCGCTTTGAGTAGCTGCATGAGCATATCGTCGCCGCCATCCTCCGTCGCTGCGGCGGTGGCTTTGTCGCCGGACGCCTGCATCCGCTCCATCGTCTTGCGGATCGTTTCCTGGAACCCGTCTTCTGCTTTGCTGGCACTACTACTACCAGCAGTACCGGCGGCGGTAGAACCGGATTTGGCGTCCCCCTGTCCCTTTCCGTCCTTATTACCACCGCCCAGGTCCGCCTCGGATCCTCCAGCTAACGCACCAGGACCCCCCTCCCCCATAAGGAGTTTCATAATAGCCGCCGGGTCCATGTCTCCCTGCGCCATTTGCTGTGCCAGTGCATCCCAGTCTGGTTCACCGTCGCCGTCACCGCCGCCACCGCCTTGGCCGCCAGCGGTTGCCGAGCCCATGAGCTCTGCCATGCTTTGTTCGAGCTGCTGGATGAAGGCGTTTTCATCGAGGTCCGATTCGGGTGCTCTGGTGGCGTTTTGGTCGGGTAGTAATGATGATGGTGGTGGTGGCTGTGGTGCTGTGGTAGAGAGGGATGGGGCGTTCTTGCTGGAAGAGGGTGCGGCAGAAGTGGGCTTCTTTGATGTAGAGAAATCGTCCAGGACGTCTGTGTGGTGATTTTTGATTAGGTGGTTCTTTATATAGATATGCATATGCATATCTGTATACATTATGGTATATTTTGATCTGCTCCTTTTCCTTTTCTTTTTTTTCGTTCATCTCGCTTTGCAGAGAATAGTTTCAATCAAAGCAGAAAGATAAGATATCTATCCAAACTCACCATCTAAATCCTCAAAATCTGACCCCTCCTCCTCTTCATCTCCTTTTGGCGCAGCAGCGATAGTCTGGGCAGGAGCTTGATTGCCATCATCCCCAGCCTCCGTCACCCCCGCCGCGACGGCCGCGGTTGTTGAACTCGGCTCATCCTGTTGCTTCATGTCCTCTGCGACAGGTTCTGCAGTACCAGCTTCCACCGGGACAGCTATACTTTCCTCCTCCTCTGTCTTCTTCCGCTTCCCCTCGTCGGCCATCACTCCGGTTTTTTTTTCTTTACTATTGTTTTGTTGTCTTGATTTTCGTTGTCTATTGCCGAAAGAGAGTTCGACGGGCGGGGTAGAGAAAGGAATTCGACGCGGGTTTTGATTTGAGGACGGGGTGGATTAACTTAACCAGAGAGTCGAGGAGGGTGGCTTCTTTAGATTAAGATAAACCGAACCGAAGGGTGTAGCTGGTGGAGTTCAATGTTGATGTTTGGTGGTTTTGGTTTCCGTTCCATTCTGGTCTCTCGCTCGGCAAAAAACCCATGCACAAGCTTGGTGTTGTTCCGAAGCACATGCGGGCGGTTGGTAACTTTCCAGGGCTTCTTTCAGCACCAACAACCCAACCGCCGACAACGATATCCATTTATTACTAGGCATGATATAGAGTAATGATAATGATTTTTAAACATAGTTACTCATAAACTTGCCCTATCTTGAGAAATATTATCTAGAGAGTAAGTTACTCCGTATTGTATCAAATACCAAACAAGTGTTCGAGGAACCCGCCAAGAACGGCTGAAATAAACCCTGCTTTTTCGGGAGGCTCATTGTATCAACATATTCCCATGAAATACAGCGTAGTCATGTAGATATTAAATGCCACTTCTGCAACTCGCAGCCTCAAGCGCTGCCGTTGAATCATTTTAGAGCCAGCCTGCTGCTGCTACCTGTACCCCAACCGCACAATACCGCTCACACCAAACATCGTCATCGGCTCTAGTCCAGCTCTAGTCCATCGGGGAGTTCAGGAAACACGATTTCACTTGCATGGAGGAATAGGGATTAAATAGGCCATTCACCTGCAGGACTGCAACAGCCAAAGAGAGCACGAGGATTCCAGTGTGGGAGAACGAATGAATTCGAGTGGAAGTTCAACTGGGTTTCCCCGCGGCTAAAGATGGGGCCGATAGAGCAGCAACCTGCAGGTCGTTTGAGCAGTACGTGGACCTGTACTAACTAACTACCCATACATTACAGCGGTTCTGTCTGTAAATCTCGAACCTTTTCTTATCTTCTTTCGTTGGAAGCATCCAGTTGGGGGCGGAAGGGATCAGGATATCATCCCGCCCGCCCCAGTTAGTTATATTGCGTCCTGCGTCCTGCGGATGAAGCAGAGAAGAAAAATCGAAACTGACTAGGAGCAGTAGCAGCAGAAGCAGCAGCAACGCAGAGAAGAGTGGGCTGTCCAATCTTTCGGCTTCCTTTCAATCGTCACCAGAAAACCAGACATGATCTCAATGTCAAACACCCATCCAATAATGCCTAGCAAATTTCGGTCCGGCTGGTTGGTTGGCTTTGATCGGTTGCACTGTTCAATCACCCTCCCCTCTTGGGCGATACAAAAAGGATGTACTGCGTAGTTACGCCGCTGAAAAATAAATAAGCAATAAGTCAGTCATATTTACTGCGAAAGGGTAGGCAGGCAGCGTGGAAAATTGACAGTTCATATATTGCGACCCGGGCCAACTACTCCTGCCTTTACCGCCTTTCCTGTAATTTGGTGTTTTCTTTCTTTTTATTTTCTTTCTTTTTATTTTCTTATTTTTTTTTTCCCGAGCTGGTCCTCAACCTGCATTGTGCATTGTGCATCGTGCATCGTGCATCGTGGATTGTGTTTCGGGTGTCATGCGAATCGCAAGGGTCAGACATTGGCTTTTCCTGCTGCTTCGGTTTTTTATATAGTTCAAAAATAGCTGTAGCACATAGAGTACATAAGGAAGCGCAGATTCGGATGTCATATCTCTGCCCCTGGTCCTCTCGTCATAGCATGGAGGTCGTAGCCTCATATACTACTCCGAGTGTAGAGAGTCATAGGGGTTGTTCAGCCGGAGAAGAAGCTTGAGGCCAAGCATGGGTGCGTCGACGCCAGCGCAGAACCCGGGCGCCACCAAGAACAGTGAGGCGTATCCGTTGCTGTACTATGTTATGTCTCTGTAATGTGTGGTAATAATACATGTACCTGTTATCAGATTGCACGGTCCCCTAATAGGAACATAGCGGGCTGGTCGTCGTCATCAGCAGCCATTAATTTTGGCTGTCAAGGGCTATGTACTGTACGTAACTGGTGAGAAACGCTTGACCGAACCGCCACTCCCCGCAAAAGTAATCATAATAATCATCATCGTAATAATAATAATAATAATAATAATAATAATAATGATAATAATAATAACAATAGTGATAATGAGAGCTATAGGGCATAGGAATTTATGACAATTGCCTCTCACCGTAAATTGTAGCAAGGGGATGACGATATTGTATCTGCTTAACCATCCACAAGGCGCCTGCCTGGAGTCGAGGGAGGCTATTCGCGATAAACTACGGACTTAGGAATCTTGTCCTCCGTATTACAGGCCCCGGATACCGCGCCAATACCGCGCCAATACCGCCATACCACCATACCACCGTACCACCATACCAACCAGCGCCAATGCCACTCCCCGCCTTTGCCCTCCCTCCCTCCTCCGGCATCATCCTCCTGCATCCTGCCCACCCACCACCACCACCCCCAGGCTTCTTTAAACCGGTCTGACCCTTCCTGGTTTCTGTTAGTCAATAATTTCATCCTACCTGCCTGAATTCTTCTTCCTCCTCCTCCTTCTCCTCCCTCCTCCGCACTCCTGTCAACTCGCCTTGTGTCTTTGCTGCTCCTCGTCGCCCCCGTTCTTCTCGTGGCTTCTTTATCTTCTCGCCCGTTCTAGCCCCTTGGTAGCCGCGCGTTTCTGCAACTTAAACGCCGTCCCTGGTGCTTAAGTCGCGGTTGCCACAGCCCTCTTCTCTCCCTCCCTTCCTCAAGTTCCCGCGTTCCAATAAAACCGTATTTTAAGCGAATATCACAGTCCATTCGATTGCACTCCTCCCCCCTTTAGACCTTTCTCTACGTGATATGAGATCTGTGGTCAATGTCAGCCAGATTAATTCGCGGGATGGCATTAGAATGGAGGAGGTAATTCCGAAATCCGAACCCAACCCTGAGGGTTCTAGCAGTTCATCAGTCTCAACACCAGAACCAGATGGTGAAACCGTCATTCAAGACGCTGCCCAGCGGCAGAAGCGAAAGGGAGGCCGCAAGCCGGTACGCCGTTCTTTTGATTGGATGCTCTCCCCCCCCTGTTATTTTTCCTGTTTTGGTTTCTATCGTGTACATGTATGTAACATTACCTCTCTTGATATATATAACTAATCCTTTTTCCCCCGCCTGTTGTGATTCCACTGTCTCTATAGATATATGCCACCTCCGAAGAGCGGAAGCAAAGGAATAGACAAGCGCAAGCGGCTTTTCGTGAACGACGCACCGAGTATATAAAACAGCTGGAGACTACCATCAAACACAATGAGGAAACCCTGCAATCGCTGCAGCAGAGCCATCGTAGCGCCGCTGATGAGTGTCTTATGCTCCGCTACAAGAACTCGCTACTGGAGCGAATTCTGTTGGAAAAAGGTACATTATTATAACCCTTGTGCCGTCTTGCGTCTATACAAAAGATTATAGCTATGTAGGACGTCGGCTAATTGTATCCCCCCTTCCCACCACACTTCTCCCGATTATAGGCATTGATGTTCAGGCTGAGCTGCGTATGAAAAGTGGCAGTCCCGATGTGCCACCAGCCAAACCTGCTAGACAACCCATAAGCCAAAATTCCCCTCTTTCACGAACCGCTATCAACAGACAGTCTGTCAATCGTCACAAGGTCGGAATGCCACAAAAGCTTGACCATTCTAATATCTCACAGGCACATCGTGAGGATTCCTATACACTGAGATCCCCGCAATTGCATCCCACGCCCATCTCTCATGGCTCGTCGCCTTCCACCGCTAAGTCCCCCGGCTTCAGCCTGCAAGGCGGCATGTCACCGTCTGGTACGGAAATGCATCCCCAGCAGCAACAAAATATCCCCCAGCTGCACCAGCGCCAACGACCGCCATTATTATCCCCGATCGGCGGCTATAACGGCAACGGTAACGGTACGAACGGCCACCACACAATTTCAGTCCCTCCCTCCGATCCCGCCACGCCAACGACGGCTGCCCAACCACACACTCCATCGGGGAGTGTGGTGAACGCGAACGGGATGGGTTCAGGCTATTATCTTTCACCGTTCCAAAGGCATTATGACCAATTAGGCAAGTAAGCCCCTATCCCTCCCGCCTGGAAAGGAACGAAAAGGAGAAAAAAAATTTCTCCTCTCCCCCTTCTTGTTTTTTACTCCCCCAGTCTCAAAATAAGCCTCTATTGGTCCTAGATTGATTCCTTCTCTTTTGTCGTATAGAACAGGAATATGACGCCCAAGCCGACATGCTCGATGAACAACAACCCGACCCTGACGGCTCCGGAGAAGGTGCCTCGTACACGCCCGATTACCACGAGCCGCGACCACTGAGCGCCCGAGCGCAGCCACAGACTCAGACTCAGTTGAGCGAGCAACGGATTGCTGCTGCCGCTACTGCTGCTACTCATGTTGCTACTACCACCGTCGACATGCCAACCCGCGAAGAAACAGAAGCCTTTGTACGGGGCGATTCGTTCTTCGATCACTTCGATCCCATGCTGGATGCGGATCCATTTGGCCTGACGGCAAGCATGCACTTCCAGACTCCGTTCAGCTACACCCAGAGCCATGCACGGCCATGAAAAACATAATAAATCAAATGAAATTTAATTTATAATATGAAAATTAATCGACCAAAAACCCACGAAACCCGCGAAACCCCGAACCCGGCCCGAACTTTATTTTATTTTATTTTATTTTTCTTTCATTGAATGACACAAAAGACTGGACTGGATGAGCCAAATTTCAACACAGAAGATTTACACTCTACGGCGTTTCGAAAACGGAGGTTCATCTCGATATGCCTTTTTCCAGCGGATCATGATTATATAAAAGCCGCGGCGAAAGATTCTTTTGGGTCATTTTCTTGAAGTCTAGATTCACTTGGGACAATGTGTATGTTTATATATATTTGCGCCCCGGGAAACAGAAGGACAAGATAACGGAGCAAGCAAAACGAAGATAGAAAAGGTTTATTTTACCCATTGATACGAAGGAAGGGCATTTTGAAAGGCGTCTTGCTTTCTTTTGAAGTTTGTTTTGGGGTTTTTTCTCTTGTTTATATATATATATACATCTGATATATCTGCCTGTTTATTTGTTTACCTTCCGGGCTATATTCTGTGGATACCATCTATTTTTTGTTTTGGTATACTCTTGGGCGGGATGTTTCCTCATCATATTTATTCTTGATATCATGGGATTTATGAGGAAGGCCTGTTTCCTTTTGTTGTTTTTAAAGCTAGCTTTGATTTTGATATGATTTGACTTGAGGGAGATATGAAAACGAAAATGATGGAAGGTGAAAATGAAAAAGAAAATGAAAATGAAAATGACAATAGAGAATTGATAATGATGATGATTATTATTATGCTGCTGTGATGATGTGATGTTGTGCTGGTTTGTTGTTCTTGTTTGTGATTCCATTCATTGTGATGTCTTACCATTACATCATACTACATCATACATGGCCTGTTGAATAGCATCCATGATAGTTTAATTCTTATTTTGTTGCCACTCTCTCTTGTCTGGTCATAAGATACTTAAGCTGCACCCCTAGTCATCATAGCTAGGTACACTGTAACTGCTGCAAAGAGAGACACAAATTGAATTCAATAACTATATATTGACCTAAGTTACTCATCAATAACAATATAACAATATAATAACATACAGACTCCCCGGTCAGTTGTTTACCCTAAGCCCTAACCGACATAAGCTTTTCCCCTCCGGCCCGACTCCGCTTCCGGGCGTGTTTGTCCTGTTTGGCTGCTTCCTGCTTCCCTCGCCAGCCGCCAATTCGCTTAGCAAATTCCACCTCAATCGGGAAGGCGAACGAACCTCCTTCAGAAAGAAAGAGAACTCATCCTCCTCCTCTTCATCATCCTCAACATCCTCAACATCCTCAACCCGCCTCACAGCAACCACGCAGACGAACAGCCAATACCTGTCTGCTCACCTTCCGCGCAGGGTTCTATATAATCCTTGCCCCGAGGTATGTATGTGTCGATTCCATAGTTGTTGTGTTTATTATTTGCCCTACCCTCGCCCTACCCAATCCCAGCCCAATCCAGACAGACAGCCCACACACCACAAGACTCAGCTATTCAGTCCTCTCCCATCTCAATTCCACTTCCACCTCACCTAACCTCACCTCACCCACCTCACCACCTCACCACCTCACCACCTCACCACCTCACCACCTCACCACCTCACCACCTCACCACCTCACCTCCCACCATCCTCCTCCCCTCCTCCGCAGACAACAATTGAAATTCTTACAAAATACGAATCAAAACTTCATTTCAAAATAAACCTATAAAATAACAACCCAATCCAGGGAAACTTAACAAAAACCCACACCACCACCACCAACCTCCCTCCCTCCCTCCTCCCAAATTCAAACTCGCATAAAAAGCAATCCTCCCACATCATCCGCCTGGCGCCCGGCTCATACCTCCCCAAAAGCCAGAGCTCCCGCCCCCCCGCGTCTTAAAAAAAACCGAATTGCTGCAATAACAGAAAGCCTTCCCAGGAAGGCATATCCCCTTTCCCACACAAAAAGCCAGGCGTCATGTCGGACGTCCGGTCCAAGGTACGATATTACTTTTTTGATTTTGTTGTTTGTTTGTTTGTTTTTGGAAAAGATTGGGAGGAGTGGCCTTGGATTCGGGAATTGTGACTTTGCAATTGGCAATTGATGAGATAGATGTATCAATTGTGGTCACGTTCGTGTGTACAAATTGGGGTTTTTGATTGACTTTTTTTGATTGTGTGTTGTTGTTAGATGGCTGTTTTCATTTGTGGAGAAACCTGAAAAAAAAGGGGAGAAAAAATGATTTGAGAAATATGCTAACATCGTCACCCACCTTCTCAACACAAACAGAACCTGTACGAGCTTCTTGGTATGTAATTCCTTTTTTTTTCGCCTTTCTTTTCCCCTACCCTCCTCGCAGGGGCCATTCTATATATATATCATATTATCAATTTAATCTAACAACCGTTTGTTACTTCAGGTAATGACCCCGAGGAGGATTCCGATCGGGAGCCATCGCCACCCACCAGCGCTATAACCAAGGCCGCCCCTCGATATGGGAAGCGTGAGGGTCCTTCCGAACCTCCCCGTTCTGCCAACCCTGCCAATGCGCGTGCTCCTCGTGCGGGACGTGCTGGAGGAAATCGCTATGGGAATGAGCAAGGTATGGATATATATATATATATATATATTTCTTATTTGTCTTGGAGATTCTAACCCATTTCAATTTCTCTTTTTTAGCATTCCGTGACCATGACGCGAGCGCCCGAGCAAACCGCAGCAAGCCTGTTGATGCTCCCCTACCGGATATCCCAACTGGTGTCGTGAAGAACCGCGACGTGCGCGGCAACCTCCTTCGTGAGGATCGTACCAACCGCTCGGACAGAACGTAAGCATATTTTCCAGTATACGAAACCGAAATAAAGATGGAAATAAAAAGCAAAATGTTTACTAACACCCCTCCACAGCGAAACCAACAAACAAGTCGAGCAAGGTTGGGGCGCGACCGACGGCGAAGCCAACTGGGATGACGAACGGGCCGCCGCGGCCTCCGCGAAGCGAGAAAAGAAAGAAGGCCCCGGCAGTGAACCCGCTGACGCTGAAGCTGCCGCTGCTGCCGCTGCCGCCGCGGAAGCCGAGGACAAAGCCAAATCTTACGCCGAATACCTAGCCGAGCAAGCCGAGCAGCGCCGCGAGGACCTGGGCGTCAAGGAAGCGCGCAAGCCCAACGAGGGCGTCAAGGCTGACAAGAAATGGGCCACGGCCCGCGAGTTCAAGCGCGACGAGGACGAGGAGGCGTACATCAAGGGTAAAGAGGAGAAGGCACGGCGCGAGAAGGCCAGGAAGGAGAAGGCGTTTGTCGAGGTGGATATGCGCTTTGTCGAGCAGCCTCGCGGCGGGCGTGGTGGGGGACGCGGTGGCGGGGGCCGTGGAGGCGGCGATCGTGGCCGTGGCGGGAATGGCGGACGGGGCGGTGGTGGTCGTGGTGGGGAGTTCCGTGGCGGTGCGGGCCCCCGTGGTGGCCCCCGTGGCGGCCCCGCTGCCGGCCCCAGCGTCAACGTCGATGAGAAGAACTTCCCGGCTCTTGGCGGCAAATAAATCTTGTTGTACCGTTACCGTTACTGTATCCACCCCCCTTTCCCTTCCCCCTTCCTCTTTCCCCTCCCTTCATTCCCTTCTCTCCATTTTTGTCTTAATGAGGGGACGGAAGGAGTTGGTTGTTAGGCAGAGGAAATAGGAAATAGGTGGAGAAAGGGGAAAAAAAGGATGGAAGAAAGAAAAAGAGAAAGCTTACCTTTTCTTTGTTTTTGTTGTGATTTTTTCATAATATTATTCTATTTCATTTTGTTTTTCTATTTTGTTAACAATGTCTTTTCCTTCAAATTTTTTCTATAACATTTTCTGCTTTCCTTTTCCTTTTCTCTTTCCTCTTTTTTCTTTTTTTGTGTAATGCATCTCTCATTCATTTCATTTCTATCACTTTGTTTTATGTAAAACAGTTTGTGATGTGAACTGATTCAACTGAAATTTGGGCTGATTGAGTTGACTTCAAAAATAACATGAAAAAAACTTTATAATCAGAACAAACAACTTAAAAAAAAACTAAAATCAAAGAAATAACTTTGATTTTCATTAGTACATGTATAGTATTTTCTTTTACCATACTCAATTCATGCTTGCTTCAACTGTTTGTTATCTCTGCATATTTACTCCATACAGTTGTTCTGCATGTAGGATGGTAAAATAGTGAAAATAACAAGGGGGGGAAAAAAAGAACAAAAAATCTATACATTTTGATGCAAAAAACATCATAATCCAATCTGACCTACTCTGTCTGATATTTGAATGGGAGCCGGTTGGGCGGGTAAGCTAACCAACCACTTGCCATGCCAATTACCTCCAAATATGAATACTGCTCATGGATATATATCGTCGAGGGGAAGGAAACGCTCCGGTACCAGAAGATTGTAGGAGGCGCGCACTTGTTTCTTCCTTGGCGAGTATATATATATATATCTTTTACTGGAGAATCAGATAGATGGGCATCCGTGAGGGATGGAGCTCTTCCATTCCAACTAGTTCAGTTCAATCCATTCAGATACAGCTTAGCTTGGTCTTCGACGTACGTCCTTCGCGTCCTTTTGACATTCATTGACAAAGCATCCTGAGTATTTGACAGAGAAGTTGAGTTTATGCCCTAGCTTTTTGTATGAGTGCTTCTATCTATCTGTCCTGTCTTTCCATATATTATACATTCCATCATCATTCACATCATAGCATATTTCTTGCTCATATTCATGCTTGTTCTCATTCATATTGCTTGCAGGTGTGTCCAACAATCCTGCAGTAGTTCGCGTTCTTGGAGGCATCGTTTTACCCCCCCCTTGAATCAATTTTTTCAACCCTTTTCCCCCGCGATCAAAGCTTTCAAAAACACTCTATCAAGACTCGATGTTTTCCCCGCAATCAAGGCTTTCAAAACAGTCACATTATGTCAGGATCCTTCTGCAGTTCAGTGATGCAGAACGCAAGATGTTTTATACCTCAGATAAATGAAAAAGCGGAAGGTTATTAAAAAAACAAGCAATCCGGGCCATAACCTGTTGGACGTCTGAGTGGCTGTATTGGTTATTGGTAGCTATCTACTCGGGTTATATGCGTGTGGTGCGGGGCGCTAGTCCGTAACTACCCGTACTAGGAAGCCTACAAGAAAATATGCCATTGGCCTTGAAAATGGAACAATCAAAGCAAGCCCCAAAACCGATCAAAGACATATATATACCATAGGCGGGGTAGCAAAAAAGGGCAAAAAAATCCAGGAAAAAGCCAAAATAATCCCAAGGTAAACCCCCAGCACCAAGAAGAAAAGAAGAAAAAGAAGAAAAAAAGGAAAGAGAAATGCCGCATGGTTAACATCATGAAAACAGCAGCGGTGCTAATTACCAGGAGCAGCCCATCTATTGTTTGCATTGGGTATGTTGGCCACCATTCTGAATTGAGTTCCTTTCCTTCCTGCAACGCCAGCAGCTGCTTCATCGTAGTCATCATGATCGTCATAATCCTCATCATACTCGTCATCCTCGTCCTCATCCTCATCCTCATCGTCTTCATCATAATGATCATTGTCATTTGGGCAGTCGTCACCTTGGCAAGCTGGGGGCCCGTCTTCCAACACTTCATCATCCAAGAACTTCAAACCAGCCATAGCTTTCCCATTACATGCCCTCTCAAGAGCAAGGAAGGCAAAATGGCCACCAACTACAGGGCGAGCGAAAAAATTGGGCCCAGGGAATCCGCCGTCACCTTCGGTTTTATGTAGATCCGTGAAGGGGCGGTCTGTCGCGGTTTCATTGAGCCATTTAGCAACCGACTGAAGGATTTCATGGCGAACGTTTTTGCTGGATACTGCCATCGATAAAAACTCCCAGTCCGTCTTAGTGTAAAGATGACGGCTGTCCAACGGCAGCCCGTACTTTTGGCGCACGTAATGATACCATTTTGATTGCCGTTCATAAACCCGCCTAGGTACAAAACCTTCATGGTCCTTCTTTGGCGGATCAAGGGGCTTTTGCGGGTCGCCGTGGTCGAAACCTTCATTCCCACTTGAAGGACTACTCCCCGAGCCTTCCAAATGGAAACAGAGAAGGGAGTCTGCATACAAATTGTACAATGTAGTCCAAGAACCATACCAGTCGTAGGAAAGTTTAGCATGAGTTTTATCCCTCGAGAACCCATACTCTTCCCATTTCGCGATGTACGTGTCGGAGATATTCTGTTAAACATATAATTAAAATTAACATAGCTCCTTTTTTCTCCCAGATTTAAAAAATAAAAATAAAAATAAAATAAAGAAAAGTAACAATCTCTAGTCTCGGACATACCTTGTAGTACCTAGAATCATCCTTATTCCCGACAACTGAGGAAAGCCCGCTCATTGCATTGATACCAATAATTCCTTTGAGTGCAAGATTTGTTTGAAGTGCCAGCCATCCAGCAAAATCATCGGTAGATACTACATGCGAATTAGCCAGCGATCGCCATAGAACAACTTAAGGACAGACGTACGTTGATTTTCAGGGAGTAAAGAAAATTCGACCAAGTATCCGGTCCATTGCTTCCATAGCTTGTAGGACCTTTTGACCCACCTCTGAGCCTTATCACCTGCGTCAGGCGTCATTGCCCAGGGGCTATCAAGCTTATCGATACTGCCGCATGATTCAAGGTCTACGAGTGGAAATATGCCAACATTTTCATCATCTTCAGTGTTTACAGCGGGGACCACAGAGCTCTTTGCGGGGTATCGCAGCGAGTTAACGACGGCCAGTCCCATTATCAGCATATTGCCACATTCTTCTACTGGCATGTATTCATCTCTTCCATCTGGATGGCCGGTAATGTTAGGGAAATGAGTACCCAGGTCGTGCATCGCATAAGTGTTTGGATACTGGCCGCTGAGCATATGTTCTATCAATGGTTCCAAAAGGTAGACAAGCCATCTGGGATTGGTATATAGGAAAAACGGGAAAGAGGGGAAGATAACATCGATTGTTTGGCAGTTTCCATTGGATGAGATCTCCTTTAGGAACAGAATCGGATTCTCGGCCGTCCCTGAAAATGACGTCGCACCGAGAACTTGTCTCGCAGAGAGAGCGACAATGTCAACGTAATCCTCTGCACCGGACAAAAACGCATCAATTTCGAGTTGACTAGAGTAGCGTGCGGCAAGTGTGGATGCATTTTGGAAGTCAGAGTAGTGAAAGGAAAGAAGGTTGTCCACATTTCTAAACCAAGACTGCCAAAGAGGTTTCATCATGGTCAAGCCGCGGGCGGCAGCAAATTGGACAACCGGATCCTGGATATGAGCAATGGAAAACGTGACTTTGTCTTGCACCAAAACAGTTGCGTCTTCGTCGACTGACGCATTGAGAGAGAATGACTTAGAAAAGGCAAAGACGGGCTCCTGGTCCATAATCGACCGAAAGATATCATCATTGACATTTTGTAAAGTCACAGTCCTTGCAAACCGCTTGCGAAGTAGAGCAGAAGTCCCAGATTCGTATCGAACACCCTGGGTGGGTTGAATTATTTAGCATTTTATACATTCCTATTAAGCGAAATGAACAAACCAGCTTTGGGGTGGGGAGGGGGGATTTTTACCTCTGGTGCAACGATATACAGGCTGCCCCATTCCGAGCGGTCATTGTGCTCCGTAAAGTGTTGTTCCGTTTCGCGTTTGACATGCCATCTATTAAGGGGCGGCCCTCCATCGTCGGGAATTATACGGTCGAAATCCCATACAATGCGAGCCCCCCGGTGGCCACTGACCCACTGGCCGTTCAAGTCCATATAGATATGAACATTCCTGTTCCCCTTGACAAAGACAGTGACATACGCAGCAGGGATGGACTGACGAAGAGTAGAACTCGGAGTAATGGGTGACAAGAATGACAGCGTAATGAGAAGTGGTTCTGCTGACGTTCCAGATGGGGATGTGGCAATGGAGTAGGTTAGGTTGGTAGTGGAAGCATCGTACTTCGCACCCAGATACGTAGGATACGAGATATTGTAGCTATGTGATTTATCTCTTGTCAGACAAGCAAGTGCCTTACGTTTCCAAATTTGGCAGCAGGTAAACATACCCAGACTCATCCGTAACTGGAGTCAATGAATCCTGAGGGCGTCCAAGCAGCGGATATACATATCCTGTGTCAGGGACAGAGGCCATTAGGGAGAGTCCCATGTGCTCTCCCGTGTAGAACATGGGCCAGTGAGCCCACGGGTCATCTCGAGCATTGGCGAGCCAGGTGCTAAGATATGGATTCCGCACTACCAACGGGAGAACGGGAGGGGTAAGGCGGGAGGCAGCAACAAGAAAGGAGTGGAAGATGGCTGCCCCAAGGAGCGGAGTGAGTAACCATCGCATGGTGCCAGCTCAGCTCCACCACAAAATAGCTGGGGGGGATAAGGATGTAACCGGGGAATGGAGGGGTATTGTTTAAAGATACTATGACCTCCTAGTTAGCATTGCGATGTAGCTGGGGAGGAGGAGAACGAACGCGAAGAGAAGAACCAGAGCGGCTGGAGAGGGAGTAGGGAGTAGGGAGTTGGGAGTTGGGAGTTGGTATAAGAAGAAGAAGAAGCGAGCGACGAGGAGGTTAGGTTTGGTCAATGAATGAAGGTCATGCGGAGAAGTCAGGCCAAGTGGAGCCGCAGCCGATCCCAGCCCCGCTCGCTATATTAATGGCGATTTACACGCTGTATATGTGCGCTGGTTGCTCGATGATGCGTGGCCCAAAATTGCCCAAAGAATGACTCGAAATTGTGGTGATGCGTGGGGTAGATAGAGAGAGAGAGAGAGAGAGAGAGAGAGAGAGAGAGAGAGAGAGAGAGAGAGAGGAGACAGACAGATGATGATGAGAACGGGGAAATGGATGAAGCGCATAAGGAAAACAGAAAACAGAGATTGACTTCCTCCTTCCCGCGGTTCCGCTCGAGCATCAACAAACAAGAATGATTTGAAAAAGGGCAGGTTTATTATCCCCATTGTCTCATAGTTAGTTAACTTACTGCTGTTGATTATTCCTTCTCCACCCATCAGGCATAAGATACCAAAACATAGTTAAAAATATCTGATGCTGAGTCCAACTCCCCGTTTCGCTCTCTGTGTAGTATGTATATATGTACAGTACAGTACATGCATGTACCTGTACAACCATCCCAAAACTTGTTGATGGATGGAACGGAAGACGGGGGGAATCTAGAACTATTTAGCCGCTGCCCTAGCCTACACGGCTTAAATACCGGATAACTTAACTATAAGTTTAGCCCGCTGATTATCTCCCCTCCCTTCCCCACTATCTACTGTATACAGTCTCCCCGCCCCATCACTGATCAAGTACCGCGCGTGGATGGGAGATAGAATAAAACGAACGAGAAAAGAAAGCCCATCTTCAAAGTTCAATTTTGTTTATTCGACCCAAAGAAGGGACAAAAAAAAAAAAAAAAAAAAAAACCCACGCCTGGCCCTGCATATCTCTCACGCCGTACAACCTCTAACACACACTTCGATAGGTTATCACTGCTCCGTCTGACGCTTGACAAATCTGCAGGTAGACATTGGCCCTTGCATTGTTGATATACAGTACTCCGTACAATGTCATCGCTGCAATGTATCTTCCATCCAGCAGCTCGGCCAAATCTAATAATAGCTATATAACCAATATCCCCAAGCCTCAGCCTCTCTCTCCCCACCATTGCGATGACCAATTCCTTTCTGGTGAGGCCTTGTGAGGTTTTCATTTCAGTCACCCGACAAAAACACCTCGCCCATGCTCATCTTTAAGATGCGACTCGGGTCGTCAGATGCAAGACATTATTTGAAACATGCGAGGCTGCTCCGGGATGTACTGTACTGTACATAGATAGATAGATCTTCTCGAGAATAAATGCGAAGGAAAACGCAGGGAAAAAAAAAAAAAAAAAAAATTAAATTAAATTAAATAAAATAAAATAAAATAAAATAAAATAAAAGATTAAAAATCAATATATGCACTCTACCTACCTGGGGGCACGGGCTGGGTGTCATAATGACAATACATGAAGGGCCTCATCTGGAGTAAACGAAAAATTTTCGTGCTTTTGAATGTTCACAGTTGAGCCCCCGTCTAAACTACCCTGAGAGGCAAACAATGTGGTGGTGAGTGGGCACTGGAGATTCTGCGGGAAACAGAAAAGGAAAAAGAAAAAGTAAAGAAAAGAAAAGAAAACAAAAAAGATTGATCGGACAACTAACTGCCTTGCAGTCGTCGGATCGTCGATCATGGGATACATATATAAAAGCAAGAAACGCATGGGGTTGTGCCTGGAGATATGATAGCCCGGGAAAAATAAACCGTTGTGAACATGATGGGTTGGGTTGGGTAAGAAAGGAATGAATTATATTTTTCTCATTATTATCAATATTCACATTGCTTTTGCCTATTGTCTTTATATTATTCTCTGTCAGATGTAACATTGATTAAATAACACCCAAAAAAGCTATCGACCTTGTTTCATTTCCTTGTCATTTCCGCAGGGTCCCGTGCCCCTTGCCAATCGAGCAAGAACACTATCCTGTCTTGCCAGTGGGGATGTTAAAGAAAACAGCAGGCTTCCCATCCTTATACGGCCGATCCAGCCTGAAATATCCCTTCCGCTCAAACTGAATAATATCCCCCTCCGCCAACCCCGCTACATTGCAATCCGCAAACGCTTCAGACCGGAACTCCGTCTGCGGCGTCAAGAAGTCATGGATGTCCTCATCCTTCTCAATCTTGTCCTTGGTGATGAGATAGTCAAAGTCCACCAGCTCGACGGGGACGAGGTCCTGGCCCTCCTGTGCTAGCCACGTAACCTTCTTATCCGTCTTCTTGACGTCGCCGGCCAGATGCAGTTCTAGCTCGAGGCTGGTGATCTTGCCCGTGGCCGCGTCGCTGTTGATCTTGCGCACGATCGCGTTGCCCCAGTTCATCAGGGTGATCTCTTCGTCTGGTTTGAACGAGGCGGCGTCGGCCTGGTCGAGGATGATTTTAGGGCTGTAGATTACCTTCTTGGTGCCCAGCTCGGCATTCTTGCCGTGCTTTGGTTTATCGGCGGTTTGCACACCACCAGCCCCGCTGACGGTAGCTGGGACAATGTCCTGCTTGTCAACGGCGGTATGGCGTGGGGCCACAGGATCGATATACTTGCGGTTAGTCGCCCAGAAAAGAGTCCAGTCGAGATTCACGACGTTTCGGCTTGGGCCTTGCTTGAGGATAAATTCGCGCAGGGCTGGTACGGTCATGCCCCGTCGTCTGATACCCCGGATCGTAGGCATGCGCGGATCGTCCCAACCCCAGACAACTCCCTCGTCGACCAACTTCGTCAGCTTTCTCTTCGACAGCACCGCACGAATGAAGTTTACGCGCGAGAAGTCCCAGATATGGACTTTGCGAATGCCAAGAGCCTCCTGCATCCAGGCATATTGTGCGTTTCGATCACCATACTCAGTAGTCCGCAGTGCGTGGGTCACGCCCTCCAAGGAGTCCAGGATAGGCACACAGAAATCGTATGTCGGATAGATTTTCCATGTGCTGCCAGTCCGATGGTGCGGCTCCATGTTGCAGCGGTAGATGACCGGGTCTCTGAGCGCTTTGTTCAAGTCGTCAACCGAGATCTTTGCACGGATACACCAGCGCTGACCTTCCACTGAGCCGGTTTTCATCTCAGCGAACCGTGCCAGGTTGTCCTCCACGCTTTCGTTACGGCGCTTACTCTCAATGCCGTTAAACCGCTCATCCTGCATCACCTCTTTCCCAGTATCATCAGCGTAGGCTTTGCCGTCGCTGATGATTTTGATGCAGTACTCGTACATTTCTTGGAAATAATCACTGGAGAAAGAGGTTTTGTCCGGATAAATACCCAACAGGGACAAATCATGCTTGATCGCATCTTCAAACTCCTGATTTTCCTTGGAAGGATTGGTATCATCGAATCGGCAAATCAGGGTGCCCTTGTTTTGTTCATGGGCGAAATAATCGTTCAAAAGCGCTGCTTTGGCATGTCCGATATGTAGGTATCCAGATGGCTCTGGCGGGAACCGGGTCACCACTCCGTTCTCCACATTCGGCAAGCCAATGTTGTAGCTTGCACCAGCGGCACTTGCAGCAGCCTTTCTTTTCTGGGCACTGGCACTCAACTCAGCCACGGCGATGGTCACCCAAGGGTAGGCAGTTTCGATAAATGAAAACCAGCGGCTGGTTGGTGTTGCGGCCTTTCTAATGCCTGATATAGCAATTCTATTTCCACGAAGCGTTCCCCACACGGCAAGGTCTGCCAGGGTAAGAGAATAGCCAACAATGTACGATCGCAGGGTAAGATGGGAATCGAGCTCCTTCAAGGGCTGGTCCAATGCTTTGAAATCCAATGGCCTCAAAGTAGTTGATCGCTTCAGCCACTCATCAACCTAAATTTCGTTTTTAAAAAAATACTTTGCGGTTAGCAATGTTGAGTAGTAGGAGGACGAAATTTTTGTGTAGCTGTAATTGCACAAACCTGCTCCTTGTTCCCAGTCTGCAGAGGTTCATAGATATTCTCCAGATGTGTTAGGATATCATCGTCGTAAATTGTATTCCCATCGTCTGTCTTGAGCTCCAGCTTTGCACCCTGGGATCCGATGGCTTCGGCATCCTCGAATCCCACGGTGATGTCAGTGCCTGGGAGGATCTGCTTGACATAGTTGATAGCGAGGAGTGTTGGAAGAAGGAAGGCATTGTTTGCCTTAGCTGCAACGGTGAGTTGAGACATAGTCGTGAGGGCGTCAGTATTTTTACTATCCTGTCAAGGTGTGTGTGGAATGGAGGGAGGGGTATTGGCGGCAGGCTGAGCTTGGGCAAGCGGAGCTGACGGATGTGGTTGATATTTCCCCGGTAAATATATGTCCCCAGGCTGGTGGAAAAGAGAATGCGCACCAGGTGTCTGTGAGTCAATGCCACCAATATGACTGGGTTGGTGGTGGTCTATTTGGACAAATACGGCGCCTCAATCCAGATGAGGGAGGGAGGAGGGGTGTGGTGTAGAAACTAGTTTTAGCGGGGCAATCAACCAACACCCGCAAATTGCCAACCACGACAATCCATTTCATCATTATTATTTAATATTATTATTATTAGCCACGGAGTACGGAGTAGAGCTACTTCTACTTCTACTTAGACGCATCTCGTCTCAAAGAACTGCCCTTCTATTTTATGATATTGAACTTTTCCCTACTCTATACGGAGTAGAAGTGAAAGGATTCATAATAACTTACCATATTAATACCCTACCAACATTTGCTTACCATTATGCAGTAACTTAGTTAAATAGCAAGCTGATTCTCTTTCATCAGGCTCTATTTTCTATTTTCCTATCATGCAACAACAAGAAGAACAACAACATCAATAATAATAATACTCCGTAATACTAATAAGAATTGTATCCACGCCAGCAACGCGCAGTGTGTCAGGTTTTTCCGGCGCCGAAATTCCCACGCGCCAAAACAAGTCGTGAAGTTGTGCAATGCTAGTGAGATAGTTAACTAATCCCAATCCCAAGCGCGCATCCATAGTTAACTAGCGGAGATAGCCCATTTCTCAACACGCGATGGTGCCCGCACTTCTTTCTCCTGCAATTGTGTGTCTTTCTCCCCTTGCACATTTTTCAGGTTCAATTGGTTATAGAAGGCCCATCGCAGTGTGTTTTCGACTTCTTTTCTTCCTCCAATTTCCCTCGTTTCCCTCTCCGTCTGCGGAGTGTCAACTGAACTTTAATAATATACCTACCTCTGTTATAGTCGAAATCCCATATAGACCCTCCCCTCCCACAAACTCACGACTTGCCCTCCACGTCCGTATTTCTTACCCGTAGCCTTCGCAGTCGATTCGTTTATATCATATACACTCATAATGCCACCGTCGAGTCCCATGAAATCTGAAAGACGCGTTTTGGTTGAGAAATCAACCAACGCGTCTCTAATCCCTTCACATTCCCATACCACGAGCAAGTCGAGCATATCTTCGATGTCTCCCTCAGTACTAGCGGGCCAGAAAAGGTCAATTGACCAGGTGGACTCCGCTCAGAACAGATCCAGCTCGACAAAGAGTTCATTTAGCCAGGCCCGGCGGGAGGAGGAGTTCTACATCTATGAAGAGAATAACACACAGTCTAGTACAGAAGCAGATAAACAAGTATGTGTTATTATGTGCCCAGGAAAAATAATAAACAAAAAGAAGCAACACATGACATGAGTGAGAGAATGAGAAGAAACAGGACTATACACTAAGACTCTTCTCACAGATCATCTCCTCTTCCTTTCTTCAACCCGCACCCGCTTTTGATGACAACAAGGGTCTCAAGAACACATCCTCACAGCAGAGTGACACCATGTCATCTCTCCTCAATCTCAGCTTTGAATCTGGGAGCAACACGTCTTCGCCTAATGCCCCCCTTTCCTCCTCAAAAAGTCCCACACAAACAACGACTGCGAAAGTAGCAGAAGCAGCACCAGCTTCGATCGTGCCAACGGACCCTGCTAAGAGAAAAGCATTCATCCAACAGGTTAGCAAGCCTTGAACAAGAAAGAAAAAAAACCAAAACTGTCTAGCTGTCACAGCATGCAACAGATTGTTTTTACTAACGCTCGCACAGAAAGCAAACCTCCTCCGCAGCCGCGTCCAAGCAGCCATGAAGAACATCAAAGAGCCCAAACGTAAAGAGATCGATCGTCGACTGTCAGCGCTCGAGGAACAAGCCAACAGCCGTGATCGTCCTTACCCCCCTCCTCCGCTGCGACCCCTCCCACGGCCAGCCAGCAAACACAGATACGCAGGTGATGGGGACGAAGACTTGACTCCAAGAGCCAAAATGCCCAGACTCCTCCCTCCCCCCATCTTGCAACCGACGAGCTACTCAGCTCGCTACGCGCCTAATACTATGCTGTTTTCACCCCCTGGTTCAACCGCGGGAGAAAACTTTCCTGGGAAGTCTGAGCTGGAGAGACAGATGGAGATAGAGATGAACCGCTACGGGCACACTCACACACACGCACGCGGGTACATGGAAAATGAGTTGACCCCAACGCAGACCGGAGGCATACGTGATGTCAACAGCGGCAAAGCCACCAGCAGCGATAACAACGGCAACGGAAATGGGAACAACTACCCTGTAGAAATCCCCACCTCGCCAATGCAGCCCTGCAGCCCACCACACACTGGAAACTCGCCCATTGTCATCGAGCGAAACGCGAAAATGTGCTCTGTGGACCAGATGATTGCCAAGGCCAAGAAGGGAGAAGCACTTGATGGACTTCTGAAGCTGATGAAGACTACTACTGAGTTCGATAATCTGGACGAGTGGACCGGGTGATAAAAATCATAGCTTTTAGTCCAAGGTTAGCTCATTCATCGATCATGATGTTCAAAATTTTTTGCATGAAAAGAGGTGGTCGAGAAACGTTTTCTTTTTCTTTTCCCTTTAGTCCCTCGTTGAGTAGGAATGGATGTGGATATGTTTCTGGTTTTCGTTTCTAATTCCCTATGTGATTTCTTTTTGTACTTCTTTTCTTTTCATTCTTGTGTACGATATGACAGGCCACTGTTTAGGTGAGAAATGGGCGGAGATGGAGGGTTAGTTTGCATGAAGTTGAAGATTATTATGAGATTCCCCACGCAGGATTTTGAATCTGAGGAGAAATGTTTTTTGTTTTGTTTGCTGGATACGTTGCGAATTGGTCGGTTTGGGGGCAGAATACCCGGATAAAGGATAAAGAAGAAGCAGAATTTTCGTTTTCTAAGTAACTAGAAAGAGAAACGACTTTAATAATACATTTTGACAATACCGATTCCATCCTGCACTGTTTCATATATCATTTCTCGACCTCAAGGTTTGTTTGCCCCTGAAGCGAGCTTGGACCCCCTGAAATGGTCACATGACGGAACTTTGTCACGCTCATCCTCATCATCGTCGTGATCTTAAATATACAACACCGCGATCGCTCTCTAAGGCTATTAAGTAGGCCGGGATGATGCCATATCAAGTACACATACAGGCTATTTCACACCTTTCATTTTGCCTCTCTTGATTCCCTCGTTGAGGTTTGATTTGCTTCTAGTGGAGCAAACACAACTTATTGTTTGACGATGCTGCTCCATTCCCTCAGGATAGCTGCACACCTTGCTCTATCCATTCATCATTCAGTTCTATCTCACTCATCATGGTTTATATAGCTTTAACCATCGTGAATATCATGTTGCTGGCTTGAGAGAATCGAGCTTCTATACTTTGGCAAAGCTCTAGTATGACCGAAAATGAAATAAATGGGCACCGGTGCCACCCTCCAAAGATGTGAGAAGTATTCCTTTATATCGCACTTCACTACTGATCTATAACTATAGCAAGCGACATATGGGGCTTGCGCTATTCATATATATACTGGCATTCAGTATATTATTCTTCGTTCATTTTCCCCTTCTTCCAACTACGACATATCTATTTTTTTGTCTTCTTGCTACGTCAAATGCCAGGCCGGACTCACTTCCAGGAGGACATCGGTTACACCTGTTTGTCAACTGAGATCCAGCATCAAATTACCCTATTGCTATAGTCCTCCTAGTTATCTGAGCCTTTGGTTCTAGGGTCCAGTTTATTGAGGATAAATATATCATATACATTTGTCCCGCCTGCCGAATTCTAAGACCTCGTTTGAACGGAGAATCCATATTCAAAATGGTTCCCGTCTATCTAACCCCTGGCATGAGCTAGTAAGTAAATCCTACATGAACAAGCCGCATATGATATAATTATCTATTGCCTCACGGTATTCCCGTTGCTTATTCTCGATCAACCATCCATTAATAATTAACCATGTCCAGTCTCCTAGGAGGACCTAAAATCCGCATCCTCCACGCCAGCACTCAGGATGCAACTCCCCAACCCATCTACGACACATATCCCCTGTGGCTAGCCACCCACTTCTCTTATTATATCAAAGACTGCTTCCCCGCTAAACACGAGCCCACTGTAGCCCGCAAAGGCTGCAACGGCACTAATGCCGTAACCATATACGGCGGCGTCGCACAGGCCCATCTCGTGGTTTTTAGATGGATGCTGGCCTGCTGCAAGGGCGCGCGGCATGGGTACGCCAAAATCGACCGGCTCCCCTTCGCCAAGTACACCCGCATCCTCGAAGCGGCAGAGATCCTGGACGTCTACGCCGTCCAGGATGACATGTGGGTGCGCATGAATCGAATGGCGGATAAGCAGATCTACATCGACGATGTGCGGATGGTGTATGCGAATTTCCCCAAGTCGGCGCCGGTGCGCATGCTGGTTATTCGCAGTATTGGAGATGCGTTGTTTGAGCGCCGCTTGCGCAATTTTGGGGCGTATAAGGCGTTTAAGGCCGAGTGTGCAGAGTACGAGGCGGATATTTATGAGTATCTGCTTGAGAGGCGGAGGGAGGTCTATGTGGAACAACAGTGGGCTGCAAGGGCTGCAAGAGCGGCCGCCGCAGCTGCTAGGAAGGCCAATAAGGCCGATCAGAAAGCCAGGGCAAAGACGGGTGTTGGTGGTGCCCAGGAGAGCAGGCAAGCGGGCGCGAAAGGGACCCCTCGCACAGCTGTTGCTGGTCCCCACCGTGGAAATAAATAACCTTCAACGCTATTATGGCAAATAGCGTGCATCAGACCCATCTCAGCGCCTCCTACCTTATCTTAAGCCATCAACTGCATTAATATTAGTTAATAACCAAATGCAAGCCACGCATTGAATTCCTTGCCAGATTTTTTGTTCGACCTAGACAAGTAAAATACGGCACCTTCAGCGCCGATTTGAAGCCATGTTCATCCTCCACCTCCTGTAGGTTATTAGCCGCTCGAGCTCCGTAGACAGTGACCAGCTCGTAGGCAAAGTCGTAGCCATCCCAGATCCCCGTATGTGTCTGCTGTTGAATTCGGCATTAGCAAGGTCATCTTCGTCCCGCTGGGGGGGGGGGGGGGTGGTTGCCAGGTTTCCGGGCCCCGCGCGGGCATAGTTCTGAAAAGATACGTGATAACTGTATATGCGGAGTTGTCCGGCAGAGCAGATACTTCTTCACGGTAGATCTGAGTGTGGTATTTCCTGAGCGCATAATGTCTTGATTCCATAGGTAATCTAGGTCCTGTAGGAGTCATGCATTGGTTAAAACATGGCATCGCTACGGCATGTTCCCGGAGACTTTTCAGGTGTGATATTAAATTTTTGGCTGTGGTTCGTTTACTGGTGCTTTTTGGAGAAGGGTGGGTTTGCATGGGTGGGCAGAGTCTTAATGGTGGAAACTTGACTTTCTTTGTTTCCTTTCTCATTTCTTGTTCTTTACAGGAGCTTGCTCTAGGTTGAGTAGGTAAAAGTATGTAACTATGTAGCTGAAGGTCTGAGATCTAAAATCTACTGATGATATTGGGCGACCAAATTATAGTTAGCTTAGGCTAAATAATTAAAATAGACTACAAGAGAAATGAATCTCCCGAGCCCACGAAACCGAGGGGAAATAAAGAAATAAAGACGAGAAGAATGAGACTTCAAACAATGGCCATTATTACTGAAACAAGAGGAACAAGCAAGAAAGGCAGCTCCAGGGTATATGGTAGATTATGATGAACCTTTAAACACAACAGGCCACACACATTCTTTTGCGCTGTGTTTCATTTCACTATATTGAATCTATATTCTACTCGGGGTTTGCAATTCCGGCGTTGTGCAGGAGAGCAAGCTACCGAGTGTTACCACACGCATGCAGCTTAAGCCCCATCAAAGCCAAAATGAAAAAGTAAAAGAGAACTGGAGATTCCCGGATAGATCCCCTCCCTGGGTCATGTCATTCTAGGAAATTCTCCAGGTTCTTTCTCGCCATTGTTAAACAATAGAGGCAAAAAGGAAAGCACCAAAAACACCAAAAACACCATTCTCAACCATACTAACTTAATACCAGTTTTAACTCGCCGTTGTTGCCCCTTCTTCGATATCTCCACTGCTTGAAACAGGGCATCGAGGTGGTGAAAGAGGCCGTTTAAGTAAGGCCCTCCGGATAGTTTCAGATATAAATAAATACCTCCATAGGGCCGAGAAAAGAGAGGCGTGGGGAACGGAATCTCATCACGGCAATTCTATACAGAAACTTATCCAACAGGATCGGGCAAATGCCGCCTGTAACTAGGAGGGGACAGAAGGCGACGGAAAGAACAGCCCAGGTGGGTATATGCACAGAATCAGAGGCGAATGCCGGGGGGATATTCAGAACCGTTGAGTCGAAGGAAGGTGAGTGCCATCACAATTGATTTGAACTTGATTTTTATTCGTTCTTGCTCCCAAGCACGAAGTAAAGCTGACCATTTTATTAGTCATGCGCTGTCGGTGGGCAGAAGGATGTAAGATATTGTTTTCCGGTGATTATGAAGGGAGAGGTCAGGGCACAGATTTTTGGCGTGAACAATTGGGTTGGAAAGGAGAAAAGCCACTGTGAGATTTGTTCCTTGTGGACGCCCAATTTTTTATTCCCTGAGATTTACCCGTCTACTCCGAGGAAGAAAGATCTAATGATGCTTTTTCTTTTCTGTCTTTTGCGGGCACCAGGCGCGCCATCTATCGTCGGTACGAAGCTGTGGGGAACCCCGAACGAAAAGATGATAATTCTGGCACTCGATTCTCATGGGGCGTGGAAACGGGGAGGTGGATGGATAAATCGGGGTGGTTGAAGATGAAACGGCGCCCAGGGTCCGGTAGTAGTAAAGGGGAGGTCAAAGCCTCGGAAGGTGATAAAATTACGGGAGACATTCCTATAACAGGTGCAGAAGGGTTAAGAGATAGCCACGGCATACAGGTGCTGCCAATGGACAATGGGGAAAGCACTGCGGGAGCAGACTCAGGTTCCCCTAAATATTGTCCTTACGATGTCATCTCCGCACCCGAAGAAGGTCCAAGCGATAAATGTTCACGCGGGGAGCAAAGTAGCGCGAGACCAAAGGAACCAGCGGTGGTCAAGAGGCAGAGATCCGACGATGTTTCGGTATCTAGCCCGGAGATTCACCGGTGGAGAAGAGACGTGGCATTAGGAGCTAACCCTGTCCCGAAACCAGGAGAGAGAGCTGCTAAAGCAGAGCCAGTTACACAAAGGAAATGCGCACTCAAAACCACAACCACGTTGCTTTTGGAGATAACCACGAGAGGAAGTGAGGCCATAAATCGTGAGACAGTGGAGGATGAGCCACGAGCGAACCAATGGAGGCAACCACAAGAACCATCCACTAATGAGGGTGGACTTGCGCCGAGGGCCAACATTGCTCCCGAACCGGATCAACAGGCAACGGAGTCGCCTTCAAAATGTGGTGGTACCGAATCTGTGGCTCCAGAAGGTGATTATGGGGAGTTTCTAGACGATAATCATGCTCTTCTCAACGTCCAGGGCGATGAGGGAGAGTCAAGAAGAGTGCTTAGGAGTCGCTCAGCCGGGCGGGGGCTCCCAGAAGGAGTGGTATTGGAGATGGACATCTTTCCAAATCAACAAAAAGAGTTCAATTTACCGGAAAACAAGGGAGAGGAGCCCCACGCTCAAGAAACGGTTCTCCCAGCAGCAATCGAGAGCGGCAGAGCTTCTCGGTGGCATCACATAGCAGCCACGCCCGGAGAATATCCCAGGATGCAACCAGACAGGATAACGAGAAGTAGAAAGAACATTCCTGACGCTGCGCCAGCCGGTATCACATCTCAGGCTGTTCGTGGTGAACAGGTAGTCGCTTCTTCCGCGCCAGAGGTTCAGGCCCGGAGTCAAACTCAGGATATGGTTCTGGAGGAGGGAGCTGAGGCAAAGGCGCCGACGAGCCGGAAAATAAAACGGAAAGAGACTTCAACTCCAATGCAGGCGGAGACAGAACGCCGGCCAAAAAGGATCCGTCGGGCCCCAAAGTGGTACTACGACTACTAAGGGGCTTCTATGTTTCCTGGGGGCAGCTTGATGAACAACCGGGAGGGGAAACTGAACACGATAAAATTGACGAATGAGACAGATATGGAAGAAGAATAAGAAAAAGAAAAAGAAAAGAGAAAAAGAGACAAAGATTTATCAGTTCTGGCGGATTTTCTTTAACTTCCTCACCCTACGTCCAAGCACATCCCTCCCTTCCTCGACCTCACCCATAGCCTCCCGCTTCGCTTCTCCCACCTCCTTTATAATTCCACCACGCACAACGCGACCCTCGATGCTAACTCCCTCCTCCTTCCACTCGATCATTTTCTTCCCGACACGATCTTCAATAGCCAAAACTAGCTGCACATCACGTTGACCCACCAGCGTAACCGCTTCACCCTCCCGCCCAGCTCTAGCCGTCCGACCAACACGATGGACATAATCATCCGGATTGCGGGGCACATCAAAGTTTATCACCAGGCTTACGCTGGGGATATCCAGGCCACGAGCAGCGACATCAGTCGCGACTAATATACGGGCTGCAGAGGCACGGAAACGCGACAGATTCGCAGTACGTTCCGACTGCGGGAGAAGACTGTGTAGCGACGTGACCCTATGACCAAGGCGCCGCAGCATACGTTCAAGGAGATCTGCCGTCTTCGTTCGATTGCAGAAGATAATAGAGGGTTTTGGCGCGTTGGCTTCCGTCGATAGGAGGGTGTGGAGAAACGCTTCGCGATGGGTCAGGGGCACTTGGAGATATGTCTGCTTGAGCGTGGGCGGGATGGTAGCTTGGTTTTCTGTAGAGATTTCAGTGACGAAGATCGGAGGCTTGTTCGCGGGGCGAGGCATGGATTTCAGCGCTCGAACCTCCGGGGTGACTGTGGCTGTGAAGAGGAGTGTTTGGCGACTTGTCGAAGGGGGGAGCGCGGAGAGACAGGTTTCCACGTCCGGCAGCATGCTTCCGGGTCCAGATGCTAGAAGCCGGTCGGCTTCATCGAGAACGACGACGCGTGTGCGGTTGAGGCCGCAGATCGTATCTGCTCCGGAGCTGGTTATATGATCCGCAAGACGACCAGGTGTGGCAATGACTATGTGAGGGCGTTGTGAGAGAGCAATAGCCTGCGGCCGCATTTCGGTTCCACCAGTAATGAGAATAGGCTTCAGAGATTGCGGCGCAGAAATAGCTTTGATTTGCTCAAATATCTGCAGAGCCAATTCCCTATATTTATAAAATTAAGTTAGCAAACCCTTATATATTAGATAATGAATAAATAAATAAATAAAATGATAAAAACGGTATGTCTCCCCAGACTCTCATCAACCAAACTGCACCAAATCTACCGTTTTAGAACTTATCCCCCCCTTTTTGAATAACTCAACTCCGCACGTACCTCGTCGGCGTCAATATCACCGCAAAAACCCCAAACGGATCCTCCGCCCACTTCTGCAAAATCGGCGCCGCAAACGCAACCGTCTTCCCCGAACCCGTCCTACTCCCACCAATGCAATCGCGCCCCTTTATAATCTCCGGTATACACGCTTTCTGAATCGCTGTCGGCCGTTTAATAGCCATTACCGACAACGAGCCTACAAGCCATGGCGCAAGGCCGAGGGAGGCAAATGACGACGAGCCATCCGATGGTGCTGCGGCTGCTAGGGCATCTTTGGCGGTTATGGGGTCTGCGGTTATGATGGTGTTCCCATTATTTCTTCCGGTGGTGTTGTTGCCGGGCTCTGTGGGTTTCTTTTTTATTCGGGAGATGGTTGGGAAGAGGGGTTGTTGTGTTGCTGGTGGTGGTGGTTTCGCTGCTTCTGGGGAGGAGCTTGATGAGGATGATGATGATGATACTCGACGCCTTTTGGACGGGCGGGCTAGCTCTGGTATTTCGACTCCATTGTCTTCGCTAGATGAATCATCCGCAGTAGGGGAATGGTATTGTTCTGGCTCCGATTCCAATTCGGTTTCTATATGTTTTGAAGGAGCCATCTTGCTTAATGATACTAGTTACTATCGAAATATTTTCCTAAGAGCCTGAAAAATATTCTGCCGATTTCCGACAAAGGCGGTGAAGTTGATCAATCCACGTGATCACGAAGCCCTGAAGATGTTCCCCAGACTCTTGGCATCCAGCCCATGCATGCAAATCATTCGGCACAGAATAATGAAGTGTATCTGCTTTGAGCCACAGCCCGCCACGGTATCTTTGCCTAAACTATTTCAAAAAAATACAATAAAGGGAAATAAAGGGAAAATTTAAAATTAGTCTGAAAAAGAAAAATCTAATTTCCAAAGCGGTGACTACTGACATACTACCAAACCTACGGAAGTTGCAGAGCCCCCCTTGCTCGGAGTCACGCAAACACTATGCTAGCGGCCATGAGAAAGCTAGGAAAGTGGGGAAAAAGGGAAAGCAAGCAAGAAAACAAACCATCAAGAGCTGAAAGAAAAGAGAGCGTGAATATTCCTAGGACTAGAGCCCGCAGTAATGTAACCCAAGAGCAAACTCTTCAAGAAAAAAAGAAAAAAAGAAAAAACAAACAAACAAACGGCCGGAAGTAAAGGGACTAAAAGGAAAAGAAAAGTGACGCCATCAATGTATCCATCCCACGCTCTATCTGCAAAATTAAATCATCTCTTTCCTTGGCCACAAATCGTTATCTCACAAAAGAGAGAAGAAATCAGGCCTAATTTCCATCGCACAAAGATAAACCCCCGTCTTTCCCCGCCAGCCCTTCGCGCGGCACGCGGCATGTTAAAAATTCAAGTTACCCAACCCGGTGGTATACATCTAGTGTAGCATAGCCATCTGCATGCAACATCCATCATCCACAGTAGAGGCCGCTGATAACAAACGAAAATATATGTAGTTACGCACATCGAAAGGGGAAAAAAACACAGCACAACACACTAATTCTCACCTCGACTCGCCCCGGCGCATGGCAGACCTGGCCTGCAGCGCATACGACTCCCCCCTCTCAAGCTCATCCTCAACCGTAGAATCCGAAGACTTGAACAAGCCACCACCCTGCTCGGACGCAGGAGTAACCGTTACATCACTGTCTCCATACCCGTGCGTTCCACCCACATTCTCCATGGTAAAGGGGCTGGCCGTGGGCGCATCGAGGGCAGCGAGTTCCGCCTGCGTAAACCAGCGGGGAAGCAAGAATGTCCGGACGGGGATGAGGATGAGGATGAACACGGGGAACCCGATGGCGGCGATCGTCTGCGTGATGGCGAAGGTTGCGCCGAAGCCGACAAGCTCAATCCCCACGAACGCCCAGATGGCCAGTTTCCGCTCAACGCGCTTGAGCGGGTCGGATGCTGGGGTGAATTTCCTGTCCTGGGCGAGGAATTTTAGCTTCTGCGTCACGCCGTTGCCGAGAAGGGCTTGGACGCCCATGATGAAGAAGAGGCCCGCCATTACTCCCTGCGGGATGAGGTGAAGGACGACGAGGAGCGGCCCGCTCATGGTACCCAGCGTCAGCAGACCCTGTGCCAGGTTGCTGAATCGCTGCTCGACGACGTGGTCGATGACGCGCACGGTTTTGCCCTTATTCGTTTCGTCTTCGTCGGCGACCTGGCGGGTTACGCACAGCGCAGCGGTGTGGAAGGGTGCCTGGGGGATCAAGCCGTTGGGGAAAGGGATGCCAAGGATTCCGGCCACGCCAGTCGTTAAACCGAGGAGGAAGATATCCCAGTGGAATCCAGCGGGTTTTCGGAGCGGAAACTCCGTTCCCTGAGCTATCAGGGATGAGACTATCTTATAGATTAGTATCGGCTGTGAGAAGGGAGAAAAAAAAAAAAAGAAAAAAAAAAGGGTATGATTAAAAACCATTATGATCAAAGTAAAAAAGGATTGTCAACAGCACGGCGAAAGGTATTGCAAGGAATATGTCCCCGACGTCCGTATCCCAGAAATTAACAAGCCAGCTGCGGTCGAGAGTCGGGAAGAAAGCCTTGGTGGTGGGCAGCGTTTCAATGGGTACGTTTTTCATATGGCCTATGTGTACAAATCCCGTGAAGAACACAATCGTGAGCGGCGTACCGTAGTCCTCGATGAATTTTCGGATATATCGCTGGAAGAAATTGCTTTCCCCGACCGCGCCACAGATGTAGGCGCACATGAGCACAAGAAGAGAGACCATGATGGAAAGGTAGGCTGAGGCTTCGCCGGATTTGCGCCACTGGCGCGTGAGGACCTGGATCCCCTTCTGCAGGTAGATGAATGCGACGTAGAATCCGAAAATGTCACAGGAGAAACGGGTGACATATGTCAGAGCGTTGCAGGAGTTGGTAATTGCAAGGATCCAATGCATTATCATTGCCCATCTGGAACCGTGTTAATAATATCTGTTGTATCTTTTCCATGCACGACGCCAGAGTCCATGCCATAATGCATTAGATCCCCGTGTAGGTTTGTTCACTCACATTCCAATCCAGCACATGAAGCCCAGGTAGTTGGTGCCTGTTGGGGACATGATATCATAAACGGTATAGTTAAAGACGGTGATTGGGCCTGTGAACTGGTATGTTAGCAACACGCACACACCCACTCCCCCTGGATAACTCCCTATACCAAGCGATGACGATGTCAATAGGTACAGTACTACTAACCTGTCACTCCAACAATAACCAAGGGCTGGCCTGCAAGCAAAGCGAAGACGACTGCACCCAGCACCGAGGCCAACAACACCTCGTTGACTCCGTAGCTCATGTCTGTTTGTTCGAACATGTCCAAGGAAAATGCAAGAGCGGGCAAGATGCTGCAGGTACAGTAAGTATTCCTATCGTTACCAACATCGTGTGTATCTGTGGAGGCTGTTTAGAAGCTCTGCATTTGGGCGCACTGCTCCATTTTCTCCATTTTCTTCTCATTGTTGTTTGTCCCTCTCACTGGACAGTTCGGCAATATCATGGGCAACGAATAGCCATGATTCCTTCTTCATTCCCCCCTTTTTCCTTCGAGGAGTTTCGAATTGAAAACACATGATGGCAGGGCAAAAGTAGAAGGCAGGGAATGACAAGGAGGGAAGAAAGAGCAGGAAAATGCGGAACAGAAATCATCAGGCAAAGGAAGAAGCCAAAAGAAAAAAGAAAGAAAATTCATATTCTCTGGGCCATACTTTGCAAAATACATATACACCGTCGCCGGCACCACACGGTAATCCCACGCATCCTTCCAGTCGCTCGCATAGTACGGCGCCCGCCTCTTGACATCGCCAATCATGCCCCGGAAAAAATGAACGTGCCACCACTTCTCTATGGCGCGGGAGGTCCTTCTCGTCGTCGTCGCCGTCGAGCTCGAAGGACCTGAGCGCGTCCGGGCCGGCTTAGATTCCTCTGTCACTACCGCGGTCGTTGCGTGTGATACATCCGTTGCCATAGTTGGGCGGTGGGGATGTCACTTCGCGGAATGGAGAGAGGAGATGTTTGGGGCTCTTCCACGGCCTTTATTGCTGGAAGCGCGGCGGGGGCTGCTGGATAGGATGATGGAGATGATGAAGATGATAAGTGGAAATTGGAAATTGGAAATTAGGCGCTGTGGGTGGGGAGAATGAGTCTTCCTTCATTCTGGGGGATGTTTCCCCTCTGGCGAATGCATGAAAGAGAGGAATTCCAATTTATATTAATATGTTTGTTTTTTGTTCAGAATTAATGAGGTTTGATAATAAAAAAGACTGAGATGCCTTCTCTCCAGTCTCTCTCTATTTATCAGATTACTGCGTGTCTTATCGCAGCTGGGTGTGATTGATCGGGCTAAATAAATGTATGTACTGCACATATTTTTTTTTATTTTTTAATTTTTTTGGCACAGGCAGAACTTAGAAGTTTATTATTATTGGTAACGTTAACTAGTTAGTTAGCGGAGCAGCAGATCCCAGGAAACTTCTTACAAATTCCTCTGAGCAATTAAAGTAACTATCTACGCTCCGTATATGGCCCGGTTACAAACCAGCAGCAAGCGCATCCAGACCACGTCTGAGCATCTTACTGCAAGAGACGCATTCATCTTCTGTTATTCGACTCTCAGTTCTAGCCAGACCCATCGATCCATCCATCATCCCACCACCAGCTTGGCACTTGGCCAGCGCCTTGATATCCATCGAGCCATTGCAAAGATTCCGGCAACTTACATAGCAGTGCAGCTGAATATGTAGAGATAGATGATCGTCCATCCAATACATGTACATGTACATGTACATAATACATACATACTTGAGAAAAGGCTGATGATGATACGAGAGCTGGTTTGAAACCATCGTCTGTATTTCAAATTGTATGTACGGAGTATATATATATATAGAATGTAAACTCTTCGGCCATTCTTTGAGGGAGGGGAGTAATGCTCAGTTAGTTAGCTAGCTGGTTAATATCCTTAACAGATACTACAATAATAATGGCTGATGCCACGCATCAGCAAACAGGTTAGCTAAACGGTCAGTTTTTCAGTCGACAGAAATTAGTAAACGCAGTCGAACGACAGAAAGGGGAAAAAGCTTCACAGTTGACACGCCCAACTTTTCGTTCTTTTCCTTCCTTGTTGTTCCCTTTTCTTCTTCTTTTTATTATATTTTCCTGTCAGTATTGTATATATATATTTAGAATACCTGCCTGTGTTTCTGAGACTTGGTGATTAACTAAGATACAATTTTGTTTTAGTAAAACTAAAAAAGTAGAACACCCGAGAAACCCTCAATTGGGGGACTCGCGTTAAGATATAAAAGAAAATAAAAATAAAAATAAAAACCCTTTTCCTTGGAATGTTAGTAAACAGTTTAATTTAACACATCGATACAAATTTTTATCCTGTCTCATCTGATCGATCCACGGAATAAATTTACGCAGGTGGTGGTGGAGGGGGTTGGTCGCTAGGAGGCTATTAAACACAAAAAAGGGTCAAAGTCAGCGATTCTCCCTTCAAAATTAAAACATTTCACTTCGAGAAGGAGAACGGGAATAAACTTACTGGTGGTGGTGGCCCGTCGGCCGGCGGGGGAGGTGGGGGCGGACTACCCGCACCATACCCGCCAGGGAACATGGCTCCCATCCCTGGTGGTGGCGGCGGCACCGCGTTGAGGCCAGGAGGAGCTCCCATATGCTGTGGAGTCGGGAAAGCTGAGTAACCGGGGTATCCGTATCCTGCATGTCCCACTGGAGCTGCCGGGACCGCTGCCGGAACTGGAGGCGGAATTGGGGCTGGTGCGTGGTGCCGTGGCTGCTGCTGCTGTTGTTGCCAGGGAGGTGGTCCGCCCGGTGCGCCGGGTCCCCCGCCATGTCCCCCGGCATACCCGCCACCGCTGTGAGATCCATATCCATAACCATCGCCGCCGCGACCTTCTCTGTCGCCACGGTCTCCGCCGCCGCGATCACCACGATCGTGCCGAGCGGCCCAGGGGGGCGGCGCCCCGTGTTCGCGGGGGGGATAATCGTCACGAGGCGGCCTTTCTTCTCTTGGCCGTTGCCATGGGGCAGGTCCACCGGTTGGGCCGCGCTCCCATGGCTTCAGCGGACGTTCGCCACCGGCGTAATTGTCATTTTGCTCATAGCCGCCAGGGCCAGCTTCGATGCGACGCTGGGGTTTGTCATCGCTTGGCGGTGCGCCGCCGAGTTCTTGCATGAGTTGCTATAAAAACATCATTTTTGCGTTAGCGAGTTTTCTTTTTGACGAGGAAATTGAAAATTGAAAATTGAAGAATAGGGCTTTATCGAGCCAGAACTTACCTCCATCTCACGGTCCACGGCATCACCGCCACCACGACGGCCAGATTGCACAGGAGGGCCATGATTACGCCAATCAGTCCCTCTCTGGCGGTCCGGACAATCTTTGGCCATGTGTCCAGCATTTCCGCAAACACGGCAAATAATGCTAGCGGTGAAGTTACGTTGCTCGGGACAGTCATATTTGCGATGACCAATTTGACCGCCTAAGTTTTATATTGTTAGATGTCTGTTGTCATTTCTTCTTGGGGGAAATGAGTTACTTACAGTTCTGGCAAGCTTGGTTCTCGTCATCTCTGAGCGTTCCGTTAAGGGCCGCCAGCTCTCGTAGCTGGTTTCGTTTGAGCTCATTTTGGCCTTCGGGAATTGATGCAGCCTATTTTCATCCCCAATCCGTAAGTATATGCATATAAGAAATAGGACCAACAAAAAAAAAAAAAAAAAAAGAAAAACCAAGGGCGAGAGGCCCAAAGAGAGCAGAAAGAAAACACGTACAGTCTCGATAACATTATGAATCAACTTCTTCGCTTTGTTAACCTTTTCTTCGGTATCTGCCATGATTAGACAGTGCAGATCTTCTTCCTGGTTACTAGTGTGAGCCGCGTCAGATCGACCTTTGCCCTCTTTGACGGAGCCCTTGCCCCGAATGGCAATTTTGGCACCAGATTCTGTTTCCATTTTCTTTAGGGTGTTTCCACGAGGTCCGATAAGTAAGCCAACTTTATTAAAAAAAAAAAAAGAGCGAGTGGTAGCCTAAGTGTTAGTCTTTGAAGATTTCATCAAAAAAAAGAAGTAAAGAAGTGACGAATGCGTGCATTAGTAGTTAGGAGGGTTAGTGGTAGAAGAAAGAAAACAAAGAATTCTCTCAAGAAAAGAGAAAAGAAACAGAGAAACCAAAACGACTCGAGAGCTGGCTCGAGTCGTTTTTTCTTTAATAATAAAGAAAAAGCAAGATAAGAAAAGAGAAAAAAAAAAAAAAAAAAAAGCAGAATGGTTAGGAGTTAGAGGGTTAGTTATCATACTGAAGTTAATCTCTGGATAGTCATTCACGGGCACATAGACTTTCTCCTGTGTTTTAGTCGGACGCCTGTAGTCAGACGGCGGATGATAGTTAGGGATGACTTTCATGGCCTTCTCAATGAGTTTATGGCGTTCGTCTTCCAGGCGCTTCCGGTACCGGTATTCCCTGGTATTCACACGCCTACCGAAGTTATCGTATTGCGGAGCGGGAGATGGGGACCTATACATAACAAAAACGAAATTCATGTTAGGAAACGGATCAACAAACACAGCCAGCTTCCGCGAGTCACGAAAGGTATATATATAACGCACCTGTCTCCATCCGCCGGCACAACATCGTTGATCCTAAGTTTCTGGCTGATCTCCTCGATGCGGAGGTGCAGCGTGTACGCCTCCAGCTGCTCATTTGTCATATTTGCCATGATCAGGGTGGGCAGGCCCATGAGGCCGGCAGCTTTGTTTTCCTCTGCATCGCCCCATCGGTTGCGCTTCTTGCGCTTCTTCACGCCGTCAACGGGCGGGTCAGCTGGTAATCACGGAGACGAGTTAGTTTATACGTTGTTTTTGCACATGAAGAGCACGTAGACGTAGAGCATGCATTGATTGGGAGGGGAGGGGAGGGTGGCGCGCGCATAATGACTTTTAACTCACCTCGCACAGGACTCCGACCGCGCTTAAAGCCAGCATCTGGCGTCGAAACTGCAGTAGAGTCCTCGCTTTTGGTGTCTTCATCACCTCCAAACTTGCGGCGGCTGCCGAGAGGGATGTTGTTAGATCCTGTGATGCCTTGGTTACGCCACGACATGATTTCTTTGTGTGGGAAATTCTGATGGTTATCAGGCGTTAATCAGGTCAGTTAGCTGGGGATGTTGAATGAATGTTTGCATGTTGTGGCAACTTGGATGCCGCAGAAATATAGGTTTGGTGCATCACGTGATAATTTTCATGATTATGTAATATGAACCGCCGCCGCTGCGCCCTCGCCAAGGAAAATTGAACTCTAAATGGATCGGGTTAATTCGACTCCGTAGAGTAGAATTGAGTTCCATGTCATATGTACGTACCGTCAGCATGCATGAAACCCATGCTGAAGAAAATATAAAATCCAAGCCAAGAAGAGACCATCTGCAGAAAACTCCACATTTCCCCCGTACAGAATACTTTCTTCAGCTCCCAGAGTCCCAGCCAGCTGGCCGTTACCCGGGGCATCCACGCTGCAACCAACCAACGTCGTCAGTTTAGTATGTGGTGGAATAGTGTGGGGGGGGGGTGGGCAGGGACAAGGACAGGACAGGGCTGGGCTGGGCTTTGTTAATCTGCCTGCCTCCCCCTGCCCGCCCCAAGATCACAGATCACAATGACACCGTATGTAACTACCTTGTCGCTCACATCCATCCCATACCATACCCTCATGGCATATCTGTGATACTTGATTTGATTTTTTCATTTTTGCGGGGTTCTAGTCGCCGATCCCATCCACGCAATATCCATGCCCATGCAGAATGGGATACAAACAGCCTTTCGCAGTAACGGCTAACGGCCCACCTTAAGCTTCACGTAAAATTGGCGTATTTAGTGCAAGTCATTATAAGCCACTATCACTGCATTGGATGTTTCCGCGCCGATCACTGGGGAAGCAAATGTCATGAACTTAGCGCCGCACAGCCCTTCCTTGTATGGTTAGACCCCTAATTAACTAAATCTCATTATTACGTAATCTGAATCTGATTAGATATGTAATTTTATCTATAAAATATACACCCAGTACAAAATCAAAATTACGTCATGCCATTAAACAGCCGCAATCTGGGCATTTAAACCTAGATAGGAGTGCGGTGGTGCGTACTAAAAATTCCATGCGACTTGGCGTTGCAAGTTTTTTTCCCCGGAGCGTGCGCGGGGCGCATAATGTGCAGAAAGATGATGATACCACAAACAACGAGCAAATTATTGAATGGTTGCAATTTGTACTTGGATGTACTCCTTTGTGACCTCGTGCTGTATGTATGTCACTCACCGCGGAGAAGACCCGCTGCAAGATGCTACCTCCATGGGTACGGTGGATCTCATGATAATAGTAATAGTAATAATACTGATATTAATGTTGTTGTTGTCGTTTCGACGACACGATGTTAGTAAAATGAAGGGTGGTAAGAGGGGGGGGGGGGGGGTCTTCGTGAGTCAATAGGGGAGGCTTGTATCACTTTGTAGATCTTGCGAGGAAATTGTATTCGACTTGCTCGTTTCAGAATATGTGTCCAAGTCAATATAACAAAACCGAAGCTACATAGTTTATATCCTAAAATACGTACAATGAAAATATATATATATGATAAAATGTGATTTAGAAAGAAGGGGGAACGGAACGGAGGCTGTTTCTCCCCCCTTTTCTTTTTTCTTTTTTTTTTTTTGAGAAAAACGGAAAGTACTCCGTACGTGAGCGAATAAACAAACAAGAATCACCGAAAACAAGTATTTGTTTTGTCGTGAAGGTCGCAAATCGGGTTCGAGAGATAGGATGAGGAGAGGATAGAGAAGGTGTGGATGGAAGGGTGGGTTGTATGTATATATTAAAATATAGACATGAAAAATATCATTTCTCTCCGGCCCCTTTTTATTTCCCCGCCATCTTATAGTACAAGAAGCGTAGATGGGGAGCAAAAAGCGAGAGTAAGCATTAACTCTGCCACGGAAGGGAAAACGGAGCGCGCCGCAAGGGGTTGAGGAAGAGCGAGACAAGTCGGTGGGGGGAAAAGAGAGAAATTGGAAGAAATAGTTCTAATCTACCACGAGAAGCTCTCTTCTAAGAAATCAATATGGATTCCGGATTGCCTCGTACGGCATACTCGGCGGACATCATCGCTCAAGCTACCCGTACCACACACAAGGACGCCCATGGCTCCGATCTGGTTTTCTATCTCGGCATCCACGAGCGTTTGGATGTTGGGTTTGCCGGGGAACATCTGGACGGCTGAGCTGGGGCTGTGGATTTCGCGCGTGTTTCGCGGTCGGGTGATGAAGAGCATGATGCGAAGCATATCGCGGCGCCCTTCCATGGACAGGATTGTGTTCATCCAGGGCCGGATCCATTCGAGGTGCTCTGGTGACTGGATGATCCAGACCAGGGTGACTCTCCGCGCAGAAACGGTGCCCTGGGTATAACCTTCAATAAGATAACGGACGAAGGATACATGGTGTGTGATGCCAACACCGGCCGCGAACAGCAAAACGGTCCCGTAAGAGTCGAGGGAGTGGTCAATTCCATAGGGCCCTTCTACCACAGCCTTGAGCGAGATGCGACCGTCCATGGTGGCACTTGCCCGTTCAAACAGCGTATTTGTGAAGCCTGTTCTTCGACGGATAATCAAAGAAATGGTTGACTTCTGCGTACTGAGAACATCCTGGCGAGACTTGACAAGGCCCTTCTCTTCGGTAAGGTCATCTACTGTCTCGCTCCATGCAGCAGAGAAGGGGTGAGACATCCAGAATCCCACAGACGGCATGTAGAGATACAGGTGCTGGCCAGGCTTGAATTTCCATGGCCTTACAAGTTTCAACGTGATGCGCAGCGCCTCTCCGGGTAGAACTTCAACAACTGCCGTAGTGATCCGTTTCTTACCGAAGTTTCGGTAAATGATGAGGGAAAAGCGGGTTATACGCTGCAACGTGTTAATGAGAGGTATGCTACAAGGAGGGGGGAATTTATGCGAGAATGTATATAAGCAAAAGGAACCAGACTCACTTCAGCTGCCCACAGCACGATGGCTGAAATGATATATTTCAGTGCAGGTTTTGACTTCAAATGCACGCACAAAGTGGCGAAAGCGGTGGCCACGAAGAGCTGGTGGAAATGTAGGAAGGTCTCATAGAATGCATGTCGAATTGCAGACGGCGAATGCAGAGCTAGTACCACGAAAGAAATAATTGCCTGGTCTCTATTAGCTATGTTTCCCAAGAGATATATTGCATGGATGTTGTACTCACAATTAGGCCGGTCATGATGAATTGGCTTTTGAAAGCTGCTTGGACCGCCCCCCAGCCCTCTATTTTGGCGTGTTAGTGGCATGTTATGGTACGTTTTAAATTTTAGGGGAAAAAAAAACGTTGGGAGGACTAACTTGTATTGACTTTGTTTACCATCCACGCGATAACATGGGTGAGGGCCTCCAAAACCACGATCCGTGCAAACCAACGATGCAGAAGGTTCCAGGTGTCAAAAGGAACGTTGAGTAATTTGATAAGAGGATTATTCCTCCCTGCCATGACAACGAGTGGTATTAAATTAACCGTTGCCATGGTCCCTGACCGGTTTCTGATGAGACCCAGGACAGTGGTTTCATCTGACGCATATGGGATCGTGACGCAGCAGAGGACCACGTTCATGGCAATGACCCCCAACAGGAGGAAAGTTTGGAAACGGGTAGGAAGAGTGCCAACGTTCACGGCAGCAGAAAGACGGAATTCCCGGTTATGTCGCGTTCGAAATATAGGAGCGTATACGACCGACCTCTTCAACCAGGCCCAGTAGGGATCTGCTGATGTGAAATATCGTTGGGAATCATTGGTGAGGGTCGTGAGCCGGCGTATATGATTTGAAAGTCGAATGGCATTGTGCCATACGAGGAAGAAGGCGAGGACACATCCTCCAACTAAGAGGGACAGGCGTCCGAGACTGTCATTGAGGAGATCAGCTTCGGTAGGGCCTTTGTCTTTTTTTCCACCACCTGCCCTTTTCTCGTGCTCTGCAACAACTACTGTGCCGAAAACTGATAGGAGTACATGTGCAGATTTCATAATGGGTGTCTTTTTGTTCCGTTCGCGAGCTCCCTCTAGGAACCCCGCGAAAACTAAATGTAGAGGTGAAGAAGCGAAAAATAATAAAGCCAGGCCAAGCTGGGTTTTCTGAGTTTTCTGGGTTCAATACTTGTAGTCCGGCCACAGAGCGGTACCCGAAAAAGAAGCGTCCGGAGAGTTGATAAAGACGGAATCCTGGGACGTGTATTTAAATGAGTTTGTTCAAAGTGAATGACGATATAATATGGAGAACCGCAAATAAGGAAGAATTTGACGCAAGGGCGTGTGATGCAGTGGAGATGCAGTCGTAGTTGCTGTCAGAAGACCGGCAGGATGATTGATGCAGCAGATTGCTGGGCTGCTTGCTTGCTTTGGTTTAGGGGGGCAGCAATTGTGCAGACGTGGATGGAACAGTTCCACCAGATCTTCGCACTTGTCGATCGGAGAGCGCGGGAAGGAAGGCCTTGTCTTGTCACCCTGTGGCGCCGGGTACCATTAACACAGGACTTTAATTGCAACGAGGGCAATAATTATGATGGCAATGATGGTACAGTGCCGTTAGGGAGGGAGGGGGGAGGGGTAGTCAAAATGATCCACAGCTTGGATCAAGGACCTAAGGGCAACGGGCAGATGGGTGTATGTGCTTGGTATTGCTTCCGAAGAGCATGGATTGATGCAGGACTGGGTTGGTTCGGTGTATAGTTTAGATTCTTCAAGGCACAAGCATAGGCCGATTGGAATGGGGGTGGGAGTTGTAGTACAGTAAGTGATATTGGATCCGACGAAGCAGGTTTCGTTTTTGTTTAATCTTTAATCCTGAGCCAGCAGAATGAGGAAGAGTGGTCCCTGAAACGAAGTAACGCGAAAAGGGGGCGGGACCCTTGTGTCTTTAGAAGTCGTAATAATCAGAAAAGGACGGAAGGACGGAAGGACGGAAGGACGGGATAGCAGCAGCCAGGCAGAAGGAGTGTGTGTGATGGGATGGGAGTGACCGTAAGAGAAGAAAAGAAAAAAAAGGACTGAATTGGAGGAAGAAAAAGGAGTGTTCTATTTCCTGCTGCTATACCATACCCAGTCGCACACAGAAGGGAGAGGAAAGAAGGAGGAGGCGGAGGAGGAGGAGGTTGAGGTGGAAGCGGAGAGAGTTAGCTAGTGGTTGGTTGGGAGGAGGGAAGATTGTGCGAGAGAGCTGACGGAGAATAATAGCGCCAGCACCACGGGATGTACTCCGTACGCTGTAATCCGTACATCCCGTACAAGGACGTACGTGCATGTACAGCGTACAGTACGGAGTAGTTACAAGGTTGTGCACGGCGCAGAGAATTAATGACTGACAGTAATAAAGCCACCGGCCGTGTTTGGTTTGGCGGTAGTAGTATCCTTAGCGGGCTCGGGGTGGAGTCTGGGGGCATCAACTGGACATTGGACAAGGGGAACATGGGGGCCCCTTGCACCTGGCTGGCACTGATGGGATAACTACCCTGCTAGCCACTGTCATTCATTTGTTAATTCCCCAGTGACATCTTTTTTGTCAAATTTGTTCGCCCTCCGTCAATCCGGTGGTTTCATTCTCTCGCAACCCAACCCCCCGTAGCTTTGGCTACCTACTACGCAGCGGATGTAGAAGATGAGTTCTATTTTCCTTCCAAGTCCCCGCGGACAATCCCATCCAAAGCCCAAGAATACATAGGCTGAAATAAATAAATAGATAAAACCAAATAAACATTAAAAGAAGAAGCCCGTTCAGGACCAATCACTGCTCTAATCAGAGCTGATGAATTCATCCAGCGTCGAATTTTCAACTCTGGCAAATTAAGACTGGCAATCCATCCGCCTGGGCGCGCTCTGAGCCAATCCTCACCCGTGGACCGTGGGCCGTGGGCCGTGGACATCACCGAAAATCCTGAAAATGCGCCCTAGAAAGCCTTAACACCGTCATCCACTAGCATCCGCTGGTGGGTTTAACTTATCTCTTGTTGCAACTTGCCAGGCTGGCTGCCCACTGTACCCAGCCAGTGCCCGGAAAATCCAGAGGACCGAATCAGCGCACCCCTCAGGGCCCAGGGGGAGGGGGGGGGGCTGCAAATTGATCTGACGAACTGTACTCCGTAGTTTTGTAGCTGTGGTCCGTGGAACTGTTTCGCCTGCAAGGGCGTTGTCTGCATCGAGTGGCCAGGTGGTAGCGTGGCTTGTTCCTGGAGTCCTGGGTAAAAGTGCCCTGAAACAAGCTAAGCATCTGTAATCTGTATGATAGGTTATTGGATGATGAAACCATCCACATCATTGTTGATAACAATCAATCCATTTATATTATTAATCCTCTGGCCCGCCTTGTAGAAAGAAGAATCTTCTCAAATCTGATCAGATAGTTTGACTTTGCAATCAGCGAAAATTGCATCGTGCGTTTTCTTCTTGGTTGGATGTCGAGTCGAATCGAGTCTGCTATCCCCCGCGCCGGAACAGGCTACCGAAGTTACTTATTACTTACGTGCATTCATTCCCGCCTCACTTGCAAGTTAGACTTTGATGTCATCAAGCCACATTACTTATCATCCCACTGCGGATAAGTAAGCATGATTGTGTGTGTATATCGAATCACGCATTTCCCGCATTCAAATCCAGACAGTTTCGAATTGACTTGGAGTTTGAATTTGAATTGATTCCAGTAAGTTACACAAGGAACCTACACCTGGAAAGCGCCTTTGCAATTGCGGGTTTTGAATGCCCGTTTTTACATCCAATAGCAATAGCATTCATGTGTACGTACCGTCAATCTGATAAAACCTTCAAATCTTAGACGAAGTACCACCAATACACAGATCACAGGCTCTGACATGAAAAAGGAACCCCCTGTGGGCATGATTTTCTCTCTGAGCAGTTAGTTACATAGTTACAAAGAAACTGGAAACTTGCCCCAGACACAATATTCCGCCCGCGCAAGCGAAACAAGAATATCTTTTCGGGTCGTTCGTACATTATATACTTCCCGTCTCAAGAAGTTCCTTAGACCATCTCCCATCATTCTCATGAAGGCCACGCCTGGCGTTGCCGCTCAGCATCATCACCTGATTATTTGATACATTGATACCTCCATTCTTCTAGACCTTTCCTCCCCCCTTCCCCCCCCCTCCCCCTTGACCATGACGATCGATTGATCGATCGATCGATCTTCGAATATATCTCCGATTGCAAAAGGCAGAAATTCCACTCTTGTTGAACTTTGAATAACTATCGGTTGCAAAGAAAAAAGTTGGCTTCTAACTTTGACTTGGAGCGAATTTTTTCGCCGGTCTAGATGTCGGGAAATATTTGAAATATTTCTAGAAGGGGACTAGCTAGCACTTCTTTAAGGCTGTCTTCTGTATGTGCGTGGTGTGCGTCGATGGGTGGGTGGAGGAGAGACGAAGGGGGGGATGACTAGATTGTTGCCAGCAATGACATCGAATTGGCTTGTAATGAACTACCCGGAGGCGCATCCAGTACAGGGGCTATGTACATGTACATGTAAATAGTCCGTACCTGCTGGAATGAAAAATGAGTTGTGGTTCCAACACCTTTTACCGCCGCAGAGGACATGCAATGTGCGACGGAAGTAGAGACATCGATCTCCTCCGCATGTTATCCAAATCATACCTCCCGAGAAACCATCCGCGAACGAGTAAGGAAAAAGAAAAAGGGGACGGGACGCAAAATCCCGAAACTTTCATTCCCATCGAGAGCAAACTCGAAAGAAGAGCCAAACCGTCGTTCCATGTGAAATGTCCGCCTCCCCCCCCCCCCCCCCCCTTTTTGCGTAACTGCGTTTAACTCTCTGCCAATCTTCGGAGAAATATCGAGCCTCGCCCCAACCCTCAATCCCGAACCAAGGGTAGGTAGGTATGTACGGGCGGAACGGACACATGGACAGGCCACATACATGATACACAAGTCTCATAGGTAGGCAGGGCCATTTCTGCAAGCCAACGCCGCTTCTAGCCCTGCTGATCTACAAGGCCAGGTACCTATCCGCTTTTCTTGACTGGCTAGAACACATCAGCCCCCTTCTAGCCCAGCCAGTCCCTCAGGATCTGATATCTGAGTTTTTTCGACGGTCACCATTTCCACACACACACACACACACACACACACAAAGAATGATGAACAAGTGTTCCTGATGCAGATACCTCCCCATCGCGTTACAGAGTAACAAACCTGGGTAAATCCCGAATCCTAAATATTGAGCATATCCACGTTTGTTCTGTCTTTCTACACAAAAAATAAAATATAAATAAATAAATAAAATAAAAGCCACCAGGCCCAGCCCGTTTTTTCTTTCAGATTATCCACGCATCTATCGCTGTGCGAGGCGCTCAACGAAAAGGAAAGATGAGAGCCAGAACAGAAGATGAGGAGAAAATCGCAACCTCGTCTCTGCATAATCAAAATCACCCATCCATCGGATGAGTGGATGGGGCCCATAATGCTCATGTCCATGCCCATGTCCATGCCCATGTCCAGGTCTCTGTTGGAGTACCTATTCTATTCTTTTGCTCTTCTTAGGACTGGGCTACCAACGCCACCATTTTGTGCGTAGCCGTTGAAGAGAGGGAGGGAGGAGGTTATCATCTGGTTTCCAAAGCTGATGATAGATTGATGGTTGAACGTTGGCATGGGTGGTGGGAATTGGTTTTCAAATCGACATAAGGGTTGGGTTGTTGTTGGGTGTGCTTGTCGCCATCACTTCAGTAGAATAGGTATAAAGAATATATTTTCATTTTCGTTCCGTTTATTTTCAACTAGATGAAAGGAAAAATAAATAAAAATAAAAATAAGAATAAAAATAAAAATAAAAATAAAAGAAATATTATTTATATTCTACATTCTCTATAATTAATTAAATACATGAAAAAAAAAAAATATCTGCAATCAAATACTCTGATGATTGCTTAAAGCAGATATAAAAAATAAAAAAGAATGGGAGGAAAAAGAAAAAAGAAGAAAAAGAAATATAGAGTTAAATGAATGAAAGAGAGAATCAGAGAATCAGGAGTAGTTAGTAAGTAGTATATGCTGAGCAGTTATGGTAGGTAGACAGAAGGTAAAGGTAGGTAGGAGATACATTACATGTATGTATATAGGCACATGACATGAGTGTTTCACTGAAGAGCTGCTCTCACAAGTAATGTAGAAACAGAAAATGAAGTTGAAAAAAAAAAAAAAAAAAAAAAAGAATCGTGGGGTAGAAGGGTAGAAGTGAAGTGAAGTGAACATAAAAGAAAAGAAGAGAAGGAAAGGGAAAGATGCAAATATTTAATTAGACGAGTAAGAAGAAAAAGGCAACTGAAATGAAAGGAAGGAGAAGAAGAGGAGAGAGAGACATCTCATTCCGAGAAAACTTGCTGAAGCACTCTGGCAGAGGTAAAAAGCAATGAAAAAAAGGGGGCCTGGCATATAAAAATTAAAGCGGTCTGGTATCCGCGTGGCGCCATATCCAAATGTTTCTCTCTCTCTCCAGATATCCTGAATGATCACTCGCTGAAATTGTGGTTTTGCCCTGCGGCCAGCCACGTAAGATGCAGTATACGCATTTGAGCAAAGAGAAGTAAGGGCGGGCGAAAAGTAAACAAAGGCTGAAGTCATCAAGGCAATTAATATAAAACAGTTCTGAACATCTCTTCTTCTTTATTCTTTCTCACTTGGGTTGGCGTCAGCCTATTTTACAGGACAAAAAAAGACTGCGACGAGCACTAGCCAAGAGAAAGATTCAAAAAGGGGAGTAAAGAGTCCAATAATAATAATAAGGAGAAAAAGAGGGGGGGGCGGGTATCATCTCATTTAAACGTGTGTTTCAGGTTTCTCCATGATGTAGGCAACGGAGTCGTCGCTCGGGCAATAGGCGGGCCATTGGATCCACAATGGCCATTGCCTCTACCAGCCAACACTGAAAGGCGGTCCTTTTCTTCCCTGATCGCGGCCCTACGGGCAGCACGTAGCTCCTCGACGCGTGCTTGTGTCAGCCTGAATCGCCGTGCGAAACACTCATCCGCCAGGGCGCTTGCATCGATAAGTTTTTTTGGCGCTGCTTGCACGACCTGGAAGATCTCCATCGGATCGCTGAGGCTGAGTATTTCTTTTTCACTGCTCTTGAAAATCGCCAGAGCGACTCTGAAAAAAGTTCTTGAGCCCTCATAGAAGAAAACATCCCAGATGCGCAGTGTAGTTTCAAGTGGTAAGCTGCCGATGAACAGAGACATTAACCAGCTTGTTAGGCCAAGCGTAATGTCGGGTAGTCGGGTTTTTGTGTTAATTGGTGGAGGTTTGGACTTGGGAGTGGTTGGGGTTGTGCTAGCAACCTTTGTGTATACTGCAGGCATTGAATCTTTGAGGACTACCATGAGGATCCAAAGATCAATGTTTGCGCCTTCAAGACTGATTTCATGAGTTCCAGGTAGGTAAGATGATGTGATAATGTCAAGCATCCAAAATGCTTTCTCTTCGGGCATAAAGAGTAGAAGCATCCCGGCAATGAAATTGAGAGATTGTGTGTAACCGATTTTCGGATTATGTGCTGCAAATGCATACAATACACGACGCAATGACTGAATAATTTCAGCTTCCGGAGTTTTAGAGAGATATTTTGGATTGCTGCTGCCGCTTTCTGGAGATGAGTTGGCTCCCATATTAGGTAGAGGATCTGGCTTGAAGTGGATGTTATCCGGAAACGTTCTATGGAGATCCCGTTCAATATGCTCTTTATCGTCATTTGAAGGCCCATTAATGCTCTGTTCGACAAGCTGGTTATAATGACCCCGGAATCTATGGTAGCGCTCATATCCGCCGGCGTAATAAAACCAAGCTGCGCCACGGTATTCAGGGGGTATTCCTTTCCTGACATAGCGCTTGACCTTGGTAGACTTTGGTGGGAATGTAACGGGATTATCAGTCGGCAGGCCATATTCCTTTAATAGCTCCTCCCACTTCTGTTTTCGGGACTCCTGATACGTAGAATAGTTACGAAACCAAGCGTCGTACCCACCGGGCGATATGTGGTTTGACGACCTTTGGAAACCATATTGATCACGTAGACCAGTCGCAGGAGATCGCGGGGGTGGCACCACACCCGGAAGGGCGGGGGGTATCACCAACCTCATGGGTTTACGCTGGGAGGAGGTTCCAACAGGTTTTCTTTCGATCACTGGAGGGGTCGCTTGATGCGCCATGTCACTATTAATAGCCTCCTGGAGTTCTACAGAACGTTGCTGGTCAGTGACTTGGCTCTCAACGACTGTTACCTCGGTCAATGGTGTTTCAGTCTCAGGTGCTTCATTCTTCGGTGCCTCAGCCATTGGAGTCGCATATTTTGACGAGCCGGTAGTACTTTCAGGGGGGTCATCCGTAAAGCCATGTAGATACAGTGATATGGCGTCCTCAACACTAATTCCTCCATCTATATCAGATTCGTCAGGCGATAAATCGGTCACAGAACTGTTTTTCGTAGCAATACTGCTTCTTTCCGTACCACTCGTTGGGTCTATACTCGACGCCGTCAAAGCAGATTGCGCGCTGGACCGTACCTCACTGTCAATGTGAAGCTCAGACGGAGGATAGTGGGGTGCAAACCGTGGCTGAGCCGGACTCAAAGCGGGCGGGAGTTGATCAAGGCGGAACGGCGAACGTTGCCTTGAGCGAATATTTGAAGTTGACGCGGTAGATTTTAGACCCATTCGAGGGTTCCTATATTGTGGCGGTGGCCGTGTCCTTTCTGTATCGTTCCTGGACAGCCATGATGACTGGCCATCATATTCGGGGACTGCCGGAAAAGTTGGTGATCGGTAAGCTGGAGGGATAGGGCTTGTAGGTGATTGATAAGTTGCAGGGGCATTGGTTATACTAGGTTGACTCGAGGAGGCTTCAGGAATTGTAGGTTGGTAGGTCGGAGATCTGCTGGGGTGAAATGCGCGGTAGGGACTGACGGGACTGACGGGACTGACGGGAGGGCCATTTTGGGGTGGAGCGGATGTCGCGACTTTTGTCAATGGGTGTGGAAAGGCTCCATGGCGGTGCTGAGGTCTCTTGACATTGATTCTACTATCGGGAGGATGATACCTGGCATTTCCATTTTGTGTGACCATTGCCACCTAGGAAGAGAATATTCGTTCTGGACATTTGTTTGGAGAGTTCGATGGACTTTTTCCGCTAGCCTGTCGCCGCAACGAAAACCAAAAACAACTGAAAGATTGCCAATTGAGGTATGCTAAAATATGAACTGGTAAAGAGGATGTAAAGAATGTAGGAGAGTTGATCTGAGAAGCTGCGTAGTTTGGTTCGGGTAGTAGCCGGAGGGCAAACGGGTGTGCAAAGAACAGAATGATAACGGGCCAGGGTTCCAGCACTACAACGCCCGCGAGCTTCTCAGGAGCCAGCCAGAGGTCAATTGCAGTGAAGCGTGTCGTCCCGTCAAACTGGGAATAACAGAAAAGGGAGGAATTGAAGAAGTCGACAGACGCCAGCTCGAGGGCGGTCGTTAAGGGAAGGTTGAGATACGAGTTTGCCCCGGCGGAACCGCGGGAAGTAGCTCTGTGTCTGTCGCTTACCAAGACGGACTAGTTGAGCCTCCTACTCTACTCCGGCCCAGCGCAGTCACGACCAACTTCCAAGCGTCCAAGGTTCACTAACAAGGCAGACACCGCCAATGATACGAGCCAGAGAACTCCATTGGCACCGTTTTCAGGAACATTGATTGTCGCTGTTCAAGTCTTGCCTGGCTCGCTCACCAATTACAAAAGGGGAACTGAACAGTGGAGGCCAACACCCCGCCATGCAACCCATGCTCCTCGAACGAGGTATTTTCTCTAACCGCCCGCAAAGAACCCAAAAACCACAAAAAAATCTTGTTCTGCATGAAAGCAACAAAGCAATAGGCAAGGAATCCTTATTATTGTTTGGGGGTACGCCTGCATCAATGATCAATGTGAGTTTAGGTTTTGCTGATACTCACTAAATGAAATAAGCCAGGTTTGCGCCACAATTTTTCTCCGGATTTTTTCCCTTTGACATGTTCGTGGCCAAAACAGCCTGTTGAGCAACAATTGACTTGCAGCCATGCATGCTGCACGCCTTTCCAAACATCAACACGTGCTACTTCATGGAAGCTTGATCAAAACTTGAACCAGACGGGTTATGAGCGACGAAAGTGCAGCCACTGTAAAAAGGGCGGCAACAAGAACAAATACCTCTCTTATCCATGGGCGCATCCCACGCAGAAGTGATTTCCCGACGCGCATCCGCTAAAAGCTGTGTTTGAAGCCAAATTAACGAACCATGCAATTTGCCGGCTTCGTGCAGGTTGCCTTTTTTTTTTTTTTTTGAATTGCATAGGCATCCTCTGTGAAATCACATCTTCAATTTCCTGTTCTCAGTCCGAGAGCGAGGACATAAAAACCGTCGAGTCAGGCGGTCGGGCTGCAAAGCGTTAACTGCGCCGACTATATATCATCTCTTCCGTTCTTACTCATTCCTGGGATTTCTGCTGGAATTATAACCTAGGGCATGCAAGTTGAGAATGTGCCACTAAAACAATGCGCCTGCATCGCTGAACTATTTTTAATTAAGAGGGATATTTAATTAGCTCTTATTTAATGAAACTGGTGAGGTGTGCCGGTCGGTCCTCGAGCAAGGGGACCCAAACACCTCCCGTCCATTCCAGGAGAATCCTACGGCCTAATGGGCCCCTCCTCTACGCTGTGGGCTGCTTTGTTTTGCCGCTTCCATCTCAAAATATCAATCAGCCCTAAAAGAAACTAATAAAAACCACCGTAGTGTACTCTGTACTCCGTACTGTGTAGAAATCCTCTCCTCTGTTTTGATATATGTAACCTTTTCACTTTCAGTGTAGAAATTACCAGCAGGTCCAAGTCGTTGGTGATTGCAAGGATCCATCGGAGCAAATGAGTTTCCTTTACATCTCCGTTGCCTACTCCACCGAAATCCGAAAATTTCGCGGACTTCGCCCGCCCCGCGAAACAGAAGTGTTTCCTCGGCGGGTTTTGTTTGAGATTGTATCGTGGGCCTTCGAATGAGAGAAGGAGCACTCAGATAAGCAAATCCTCGTCTTTATACCCCCGACAGTCAATTCTATTATTATTCTAGCCTCCATGGATAGTTCCTTTTAGGAAGGCTAGCTGGGATGTTAGGCCATCTTTGTAGCCTGCGTTCAGAACTAGGAACGTCGGGGTGAGATTGCCGGAGTACTGTACAATGTATGATAGTGCCCAAGCACAGTGGTGAGGATAACCATCTTATTTATCTACGGAGTGCTGCTATCCTGGATCTCCCCAATCAACATTGAGATGGCTGACTATACTTATGTTACAGGTAAGCTCTGAAACTTTCATTGTTCCTTCGCCAACAGTGACATTGCAGAGTTATAAAAAACCTTGATAGCCATATATAAGTATTAGCACATCGAGAAACACCCTTACTCTTACTCCTTCGTTTCGCTCTAACTTATACATATTTTCGCTGGGAGAACAAAAATAATGTCTGAAGTTTTACCTTTGCTTGATGGTGAACTCAGATAAATGCAATTTAATCAGCAAAACCACTTTACACTGCAGCGGAATGTCCAATCCAGACTCTAGCTACTGGTTATTAATATCTCGTGGTTTATATATCTATATTAGAATCGGCAATTTACCCGAGCCTATCTCTCTCTATCTCTCTCTTTCTCTAACAAATCCATCTCCACAGCGTAGTTACGAAGACTTCATAAAGGAAACGATCAGAAAAATAAACGCCAGATAGTACCTGCATGCAAGGCCAGAAAGAAAAAAACATGCAAAGGAACCAAAAATCGAAGCATAACCTCCCCTCTGCCCAACACTTTCTTCCCATCATCGCTGGCGAGAATGCACATGAATATGCCCAGGAACCCTAACATGTAGAAAGAAAAGGAGAGAACATGCCCACCGAAAGTATTGGATATGACCAGGGACAAGAACCATGATGCCCACCATCAAACCCTCAATAAAGCGAACAAAACCAAATGGTAATGCAGGGAAAGAAAAGATGAAAAATGTAGCAGAGGGATAATCGTAAAAAAAAAATCAAACCCATCCAACAACCAATCGCCCGCTCTACCTAGCCTTTTCACCCCGCCCGCCCCCTCTCTCATCGGAAATAAGCCCCCAGCAATCTACCCACAGCCCCATCTGCATCTATCTATAACATTTCTATGCCACCCCTCCCCCCAAATTCAACTATTTCCCCGATGCATACTTCCTCGTCCACTCTCTAGCAATCTCATCGAACCTCTTACGATCATCGCGATACTGTTCCGCAATACGGCCCTCGACTGCATCATCCGGCATCGGCTCGACAAGCAACTGTCTCGCGAACTCCAGCACCGCAGCAATCCGGGACGAAGGCTTCCACTCGTCAGACTTGAGCATCCCTAGACACATGCTCCCCTTGTCATCGTTGGTAACGTTTGGGTGGTAGATTTTTGTGTCGAAGGAGACTGTGGGCGGTTTGAAGGGGTAGTCGTTTGGGAGGGAGAGGTTTATGATGAAGTTGCCGCCCTGGTGGGGTGGGGACACGTGCGAGTGAGTTTTTGTGTGTATTTGTATTCTAGTTGTATATATATGAACAGACAAGAGGGGGTGGGAAGGACATCTTTGGTCTTGTGTCTTTTTTCTTTTCTTTGTCTTTTTCTTTTCTCCTCTGCGTGAACTATTCGGGAGGAATACGTACATTGTACGGTGAGGATTCAGGACCCTGCATGTGGACTTTCCAGTTATAGAGGTCTGAGCCATTTGCGAGAGTGACGGAGATGCCCGTTGGCGGCGACTCCATTAGTTCATTGAACTCCTATATCGACGATTTGGCGCCATCAGCATACCGCCGCATCCCGGAACTTCTGCGTCGCGTGGGCAAGAAGAAATGCGGGGGAGGGGCTGGCTGAGAGATCTGCTTACCTTAGCGATACGTTTTTGGCTCCCCATTATTGCCTTGTGTGAGGAGTCTGCACGTTTCTATGTGTATGTCTAAAAAGGATGGGGAGTCGGGAAGAATGAATTGTGGTGGTGGTTGTTGATAACGAAGAGGGTGTGATATGACTCTGAACTTGCTTGTTGCCTTGAAAGTTGTAACTGGGCGAGGCGGCGGGGAGCAGGTGGAGACTGAGCGGGCAAGCTAAGCATAGTTTTTGCTGCTAGAAAACAACAGCCAGAACAGCAACAAAGGTTTATTAAATTAATTACTTTGTGCAGACGTGATTGGCTTCATGCTGATTCTCTTATGCTGCCAAACTTTCCAATACCTAGAAACAACAGAAATATCTCCACTTGCTTGGAGTTATGATGCGCGTCAACCGGCCACATACCAATCCTTCCATGCCCGGTATCTGAATTGAGAAGAAGTTGTGACGTTTAGATAAACTCATTTATTTCTTTTTATTTTTTTTACTCTCTCTACTTTTACTTTAATTCTCAAGATATCAACTCCGCCGCTGCTTCTACAGACCAGTTAATTTGCATTGAAGTAATTTTTAAACGCCAGTGTCGATGAACTAACAGCCTGGAGCCAATTATTTATCAGCAAACGCGGGATCTGGGCTTTGCGTCTCTGAAAATCGAAGTCCGAGGTATGGCCACTATAGCTCATGGCTTAGTAGGGAGCCGACAGGATGAACTCGCATGTCTCTGAATGGACTTGAAGCTTGCAAATATTTGAGTAGTATCAGGCCTCGGTCAATTCCCATTGATCCCACTTTCATGATAATGACGACGGATAAGCTCTCCAAATACGACCATGCGATGAACATTGTCATTCCCAAAGGCCAAACGTAGCAAGTACAAAAGTGAAAAATAAAATAAAAATAAAAAACGCTGCCATCGGAGAAAACCACGGGTGTGTAAAGAAACCTGATTCAATCAAACGAAAACCAGACGAGAAAACCTAACTCCATCCGTTCTTGAATACAAAATTATCCTTCTTTTCTAGGATTGAGAAAGAGGGAGAAGGAAAAATAGATAGCGCGAGCGAGCAGGAGAAATTTTTATAAATAATCTAACCCCAGAAGAAAATATTCTATTCCCGTTGTAAGATAACCATCAATCCCATGAAGCCTAATAAAACGCTCTTCAGCCACGGATGTTCGGAGAGCATAATCGTAACGTATCCAACAGCTGGTATGTAGCCTCGTACACTACCCACGATATCCTCTTTCCGGTCTAGATAGTCCTGGCCCCGAGCGTACAATTCAGTGTCGTCTGACAGGTTGTTATCGCCCTTTGTGAGCAGTTTTTGCGACTCGAGGGAAGATGGCGAGGCCCTGTGAAGACAGTAAATATAATATATATATATATTAGGCATAACGACACAATCCCTTCCCCCATTTTTTTTTAAAATTTTTTTTTAAATTTTTTGAAAAGGGTGAAGAAAAGAAAAACAACGTACTCAACATCCTGCTTCCCACCCTTCTTCGTCTTATCCTTACCAGGTACGTCCGGAAACGTCCTCATGACCCGATGCACAATCGGAATATCCTTGCCGCGCACATTATACACCACGATCTCCCCAACGTCCACGCGCGGGCTCCGGTTCCACAGAAACAATAGATCCCCGCGCTGGAAGGCGGGCTCCATACTTCCCGACAGCACGACGACGATGGGCGAGGCGGAGTTGGTGTAGACGGATAGGCCCTTCCAGAGCATGAAGGCGGTGGAGAGAACGAGGGCGAAGTTGAGCACCTGCGTAAATGTCTGGCGCGGGTTCGCCATGTAGGGGGATAAGGAGGAGAGCATGGTTGCGGTTGTAGTTGTGGTTGCGGTTATAGTTGCGGGAGTGGATTGTATTTCACCAGCGTGTGTCGGGATGGAGGTTGTTTCGAGGGAGTGGGTGGAAATTAGCTGAGCATAGCTTGTAGCAATATGGAGCTATTCATTCAAATTGGAAGCACGATATGCTCGTTTATTGTCTAGTTGTTCATAGCAACTGCTGTGCACAGTTCAAAGATGCCTGTGTGCCGAATGGTGCTCATCTCGAGGCTGAGATCTGGTCAGTTCTAACCTAAACAGCTCCTGAGGTCAGTGCTGATTGGACACAAATTTAGATTTCTTCAGCCAATCAAAACCCTAACTATTTAATAGGAGCTTCAACCCCCCTTTTGTTTCACCAGTCTTTGTACTGTACATCCATGGATAGGTATGGCCATGCAGCTTGTACCGCTACAAAGGATATAAAATGTTAGCCGCAAATAAATTTATCCCTAGCAGAGATATTAAGCATTTTGTCTGTCGACGAAATCCTGTCTTGAACTTGCTACCTGTTTGCAGAATAACTCCCTGAAATTAAAACAAAAAACACAGAATCCATGGATATCTATCAAACCCGTTCCAAATACGAACATAGCCCATTGTTAATTCCGCGTTTGTTTTAACAGACCAAATCTCAGGCAATAAAGTATTGACTCATCAGTTTCTCCTCGTCTCGTCGAACATTTACATCATGTCACATCGTCATGCGACGAACGAAAGTGCTTCCCTGCGCTCCTTTCCTGCACAGACCATATCTTCACACCAAACAATCCTCAAACTATCATAGTCCCCAGTGTCGACTGAAAATGTCTCATTGCACATTTGCCCGGTCCATCGATTTCCATCTTTGCCGCTCTAATCAGTACAGTTTTCTTCAAATCCTTGAATTTACTGACAGTGTCCCAGTACAAGCGCCCCTCAGTCCTCGATGCAGCGGTCATATGCACAACCAGCCACTCAATCAGGTACGCCCTCAACGGCTCTTCCTTCGCATGGTGTTCTGCCAGTGTACTTGACGGAGGAGCCCCAGCTGTTGGAGTCCCTGTTAGCAGGGGGCTACTACCTGGATCCACGGTGTGATTATTGGCATCAAGTCGTGCAAACACATATGCAACCAGCGTCAACATCGTCTTGTAACTGATCACGGGAAATCCGAGACGGAGTTTCCGTAGAACGAGCGCTTGCAATGCTGGTATCTCAAATTTCTGCGCTAGTAGATAGATGTATCCGCAGCGCAGGACTTCCTTCTCATGCTCTTCGTGGGTGACAAGACCTTCGAGGTAGAAGGTTATACCGCGATTGGGGGCAGTGGGAGGAGGTTCCCTCTCGAGATGGTGATGTCTTCTCCATGAAGCGATGAGTTGAGGGGTATATTCCCCAATCTTTAGGAAGGATAGTAGCACTGCGAAATCGGCGTGGGAGGTGCTGTCGAGAACTGGATCACTGGCAATTGTGGATTGGTTTCGCGTCATGAGGCATCTCTCCAGGAAGCCGGATTTAGTGAGGCATTGGCGTGGCATGTTGTAGACTTTGCTGCTAGCTCCTGTTCCAATGTATACATCTACTCTGCACTGGAGAGGCTCATTGCTGTTGTGTTGTTAGAAAACGGGATGTACAGTACTTTGTGATTGGAGGGATCCAGATAGAAAGAGTAGAACTGAACATGCAATGTTAAACTTACCAGCGAGCCCTTTCTTGAGAATCCGGTACTTTGGCGGTCTGGGCGGCTTCCGCAACCTGGGCAACTGGTTTTTCGACGCTGTCGTCTGATAAAATATATCCATCATTCTCTCTGTTACTCTGGGCTGGAGGGCTAATTTGCTGAATCCTCTTGGTGAAAGTACCCGCAGCAGCCACGAGTGATTGCAGTTTGCCCTGCGTCATTTCTTTTCGCGCCTTAAACTCCCCAGGCGCCATCCGTTCCCAAAATGTAATATCCTGGCCCTCCAAAACCCAGTTGAGAACTTCGCAGAACTCTGAGTAATCAGGGGAAGCGTCAAATTCATCGTATCGTGCGCGGTGGATTTCGAACAGATGAATGAAGTGTACCCATATTCTTGAACGTAAGGCTATTTATTAGCTACTTTTTTCAACCTAAACGCACGCAAACTCACAAAATGCAGATGCAAATTTATTCTAAATAGCCATCGGATATGGTATGCGTACACTTTCCCCTTCTTCGGAAGGTATACAGGATAATGACGACGATCAAGTTGAGTCTTCCACTGGCCGTTTTTGGGGAGCGAACCGATCCGACGATGGCGCCAGACTTCGTCAGATATCATATCCCGAGAGCAGATGACACCAATCCAGAGCTCTTTCTTCTCTCTATCGCGATATTGAACGAGAAAACATTCACCGGGATTGAGGGACCTGATGGGCCGGATTTTTGGGTAGAACTGAGAGACCTTATCCATGTTCCCAACCTGCTCGTTTTTCTGTCCGTTTAGGGAGGTTGGGTATATGAATGGAACAAAATGAGAGTATTGTGCAAAGGAAGAGAAAAGGCTCAATTATTAGAGTGGCCGGCGTGTTGAATTTTGTTGGAGGATGGTACATGTGCAGTTCTGGAGCGTTGGTGTGATGGATAGGGGTTTTGTTTTCCTTTTTCCTTTTTTTTAAAAAGAATTCTAAAAGTGGCACTGGAGAGAGCTTCAATGGATACCAACACATTGAATTGAGCGGACCCGTTTTAGCCCGCATACGTTGCTACTGTGCTAGGTAGCCAAGGCTGAAAGGGACTTTCGCCCGCGAACAACACAAAAGATGCTTGCCGTGTTTCAACTGCGCTTGAGTAGTTGAGAATGATGAATCTCAATTATCTTACCTGAAACATATGAGACGAAAACAATAGGAGACAGATAAAAAAGTTGTTGGATGAAGAATAGCTTCTTCATACATGGGAAATATCGCTCTTAGTAGACGGGACCATTGTGTATCAATCAGGACTAAGTAGCTTGTCTACAATTGTTTACGAAAATATCAAAGAGGCAAAAGAGGAAAGGTTTTGAGGTGGCCGAATCTCTCATATTCTTGCAAAAACCTGATCATGCGAGGTTCATCGCAGCCGGGAAGTATAGTACAAAACACACACCTCCTCATCAAGGCGCGCTGATAGCAGAAGTCCAAAATAGACAGACGCAGTAGATGGGTAAATAAGAAAAAGGTATTAATAAACCAAAATAGCAAAAGGAAAATCGTTGCGAAAGACGTCGCGGGACTTGGCTGTTAAATGCTTTCCTTCCGGAGGATTAGTTTAAGACGTGAAGGCAAATTGCTGGTGTACGTTATTAGGGGGGAGGAGATATTAAAAAGAGTAGAGGGGGTTTTTCTTCTAAACCAAAATTTGCGGCCAACCTCGAACAGAAGGGAAGTTTTTCATTTGAAGAAAGAGGAAAAACAACCTCGGAATCTTTCTCGGTTTTAATCCTGCACATTCTGGTTAGATGCTCCCTGAAATCCGACTTGATAACTCCGAGGCGTTCGATTAATTCCGTAAAAACTCCGTGCAATCTCATCTTTTAGATGACCTTGGGAGATCGGTTGTTACTGTTGGGCCGGGCACAAAGACGTAAGCTCCTTGGCGAATTGGCAAACAAAACAGTAGATTAGCAAACAAGGTAAGAAGAAAGGGGAGCTTACCTGATCTCGACAATGTCATCGATGTGGTTGCACATTGCCACGAAAAGATCGAAAAACAATTTGCCGCCACTCTCCATCTCCATCTGCATGGTTCCACTCCTCTTAAAAGTCTTACGACTTCTGATGATCAGGGCAAGAAAATGAGCGCGGAGCCGCGACTCGTTGTCTGGTGTATGGTCATACGCATACCGAGCCGATCGAAGGATCACGTCGACAGGGATTCCTGTCTGAAGGCCTTGTTTCCGAAGAGCAAGGCGCTTTAGCTCCTCCAAGCCGTACTTCTCAGCAGCGCAGTACACGGCGGTATCTCGGAGGATATAGTCGCCGACACCAGTGTGGAAAATTGTGGATTCGCATGATCCGCGGCCTCCTTTATTTTGGGGGTCCTGGGCATCCTCGAGTGCCCAAGAGTTGCGACGTCTGTTGTGCAGCAGACGAGGATAATAGTCACCCTTGTAGAGGTACTCGAGAATACAGGACAGTATCTCCGGTTCTCTGGAAAGAAATAAGCATTTGGACATTTTCCATCTCCGTAAACGTTAGTATACTTACTCGTCAGGCAGGCCCACTTGCTTGGGGCTACCATCGAGAATTTGGCCTTTTAGGGCAGTAACAAAGTAGGGTGAAACGGACAGGACATCCTCATGAGCAGCGAAAAGACGCTGTTCATGACCCACAATCATGGTGATTATGGGGCTAGTGATTTTGCTTGTTGAAAAGTCAGAGAGGATCTTCATAGAGTAGGAAGCGGTGATTCACCAACCTTCCAACCGGTGGACTGTCCAGTTTCTCCTGCATCTTGACCTTCGTGCGCTCGCGATAGATCTTCTTGGTCGGCTTGACGGCCTTGCCCACCCGATCCCTTGTGGTAAAAGAACGTTTGAACATTGTTGCGTCGAAGTCGTAAATGAAAACTTGTCGAAGGCTGAAAATCAAACGAAAGAAGAACGAAGGACAATAAAGAGCGGCGGAAGAACCCAGGGTTTTATATAATGAGCGTGAGGGCTTTGTGCCAGGATTGAAGACGACGCTGCTTGAATCACGCACGTAGCATGGGAGCCTTGGAAGCCTTTATTCAAGAATTCAGTCCTCTGACCACCCAACTCCCGAGGGAGAAAAGGACGACAGGAAGAATGCGTTCTCGAAGCGGCTTTTCGCACAAGATTCCACAAATTGAAACCAGTGTGCGGGAGAGAAACGGTCAGCTCTTGAGAAGCGTGAGGAAGAGAGGAGAAAGAGAAAGGAAGTGGGAATGCGAGCGACGACGTTGATATGCTGGCAGCAGGTCATGTGATACCCCGGACGGCACTAAACCGTGGGCTGGGGCGGAGTTAGGGCAAGGCAGCCACTGGGGATCACCATTCAACCACGAAAGGGGCTGCATCCCACCAGCCAGTTGCGTCCCGTCAGCGCTGGGCATTGACCATTGTTCATCGTGATATTGGCCAATCCACTTAGCATGTACTTGGCGTGACTCAAGCCAGGGATTTGTCCGTCTTCCTGGGCCTTGTGTGGCTCGGGAGTGGATTTGACACGCCCGGACCCATTCATCGGAATGCAATGGCCGAACCATATTTGGACCACAAACTCGCAGAGCCACACCTGGATAGCCACCTGGCAGGAGGAGAACAGTTAAGGCTGGGGCTGGGTCAGGAACAGACCGGGACCCGAACTGCGAACTATCATCATCATCTTCATCGTCACCCACCCACCCACCAATATTCCCCTGCTTTGACCACACATCGCGACGTTTAGCCGAGCTATTCGTCAAATGAAGCTTCAATTCTCCAGCCGCCTCATCTATCTTACACAATCCCCCAATACGTTTGCCCGCAGACCTGGCATTGTCCTTCCTCGCCTTTCTTCGCAACTTCCAAGTCATATGGTTCTCGTTGAAAGAACACACGCGATTAGCTACAAGAACCACGTCGTTGCGTTTATTCGCTGCTTGTCTGTTTATTGCTACCATGATTGGCAGCTCCCATCCCCATGCAGTGTTCCTGGAAGAAGTTATGCGAACCGCGTGCAAATCATTATTATCTTTGTAAACTCTTAAAGGGCCCTAGGTCTTCTTATTTTCCCTCTTTATATGGCAGTTCTCTTTCCATACCGAAACCGTGTTTAGACATTATTTGCCCGGCCTTAGCTTCAATTTCCCGGCCAAGACAGATTGCGAGGCCACGAGCCCGCTTCTTTTCTTCCTGTCTCCGCAGTAGATTTTAACACCGTGGTTTCTCAGTGTTATTTTGAAATGACTTTTTCCTCTTTTTCTGTTCTCAATTCTCGAAGTCTATTTACACCTTGCAAGATACATATGGGTATATCCATTCAAGAGTAAGGCTACTTCTATGGCCAATGATGAATTGAGAAGCTCCACGACGAAATACTGTTCCTGTTGTCCAAACCACGAGGAATAGAGCACCAAACCATAGACAAACTAGCTGTAGAAAAAAGTAGTTCCTTAAGAAGGCTACGCACACGAGCTATATAATCGCTCTTCTTCGGACTGGGGGCTTGATTCGTGTTCATTCTAGGAAGGAGGGCAGCCACTACCACAGGACTCGGCTCTTACTAACACAAAATTCATTACAACCTTTTGAAGGCATAGTCATGTAAACTAAACACGTATTCTTAGATAGCTATGTGCTATGGAAGTGATGTTTGCGAGTGAACATGCTAGCATCATGTGATTAATGGTTTGGGGTGCCTGGCGAACTAAAACCCAATCGACGATAAGCTGTGGTCCTAGCGTAAAGTATGTTCGTGCCACTAGCCACACCATTGGATCTTCGGACGAGACTGGGAATTGAACAATGCAATGAGTGGGGCGTTCCCTAATAAAGCATTAAGTAGAAATGTGAAGAAAGAGAAGTGTTCCAACAGTTGTTTTTTCCACTTTATGTTCCTCAAACTTCGTCTTGAGAAATCCTGAATTTAGGTGGTCGCGGGGCAGTAACAAAGCTTCTCGATAAGCGCCTTGCCCAGACCCACGTTTCAAGCCAGGCACGTGCTATCCATCTGGCGCTATGACGTTTTAGAATAGGGAGAAAGAGCGTGTTTGAGGATGCCCACCATTGATGCCTGCTCATCTTCACCCCCCATCTCTTATTTTTGATCATTATAAGATACCCTTCTATCATTTAAAAAGCCTGTAGTATTTTAGCCCCAGATCGCTCTTTTCACATCATTATTCATACCTTACAGAATTTGAAATTGTTGTTCTGCTACCCCGCCCCGGTGCGAAGAAAGCCGGGCAGCTGAGGCCCTACGCCTTCCGGAAACATCATTTCCTTGAAAAGAATTTCCCACCATCATATCAGATAAACCATAAGAGTCTCGGATATAAAAAACCCCTTTTCATCTCCACATTTTCCCTCCCAAAGCGATGGCAGCGCAGTATATTAATTACATTAAGGCGAAAACGCACCTCTCCAAGGCTCCCAAGGCCCCAGCACCAGAACCCGTCCTAACCTCCGATGACGAAGCCTTTTTACAACAAGTTACTTCTCAGGCGGAGGGTGTTGGGAAAGATCCGCAGATAGCACTCATGGATGGCGCGCAGCATATCCCCCTTCCACAGTCGCCACTGGAAGATAGTACGACGAAGGGCTCCCCGGAGGCTGATGACGGGGGTTTGCAAAGGAGTTTGAGCAAGGAGTCAAAGGGGAAGGGGAAGAAGAAGAGTCCGTGGGGTTGGATAGCTCAGGGTATGGATAAGAGGAAGAAGGTGGGATATATACGTTTTTTGTTTTTACCTTTTTATTATTATAAGATGCTTCTCCCGTCGAGTATCGGGGATGTCTAGACAGTGGGCTAATAGGTGTTGTTAACTCAACCATTTTGCGGGTATTAGGAACATACTGCCGCAGGCCTATCAAACATCGCAGAAAACATCAAGCCGTCCCGCACGAAGACAGAGGAGTTTAGCCCGGACGAAGTAAAAATGGAACAAGACGATTTGACCAAAGTCCTCGAGCGGTTGAATCTCTCAGCAGTCAACAATCGCATATTCTCGATCAGTGACGAAACGCAGGTCATCCTCAAAAAATTCAACTTTATCCTCAAAGACCTGATCAACGGTGTGCCGACCGCATACCATGATCTGGAATCCCTACTAACAAATGAAGATGGACAACTGCAAAATTCCTTCAACCATCTACCAGGATTCCTGCAGAAACTCATCGAGCAGCTGCCGGATAAAGTGACTGAGAAATTTGCGCCGGAGTTCCTGGCGATGGCTGCTGAGAAAGCCGGCAAGAGTGGAATTAGCCTGGAAGAAGCTACGAAGACAGCGGAGAAGGCGAAGTCGATGGGGTTGAAGATCCCCAGTTTGAAGGAGCTGGTGGGGAAACCAGCGGCGATTGCGGGGATGTTACGGTCCATTGTTGGTTTCCTTCAGGCACGGTTCCCGGCGCTTATGGGGATGAACGTTTTGATGTCGTTGGCGTTATTTAGTAAGCATGCCGTTTCATTCGATTTTTCTGTTTTCTTCTGCCTTTCCTTCCTTTTTGATTCTTTATGGTTCATTTACACTAACTACTGATATAGTCCTCCTATTCGTCCTCTGGTACTGCCATAAACGTGGCCGCGAAGTGCGTCTTGAAAAGGAAAAACTCAAAGCAGAGGAACAGAGTGCCACGATCACCAATGAGGACACTACGACTGATAAGGACGATAACAACACATCAGAAGCACAGACCACGACTACCGCAGCCACAAGCGCACCTAAGCAAGGGCGGAGAGATACAGACGAAGGAGAAGACAGGGCTGGAGTGAGGGGAACGCAGGATGATGCACGGCAAGCTGCCTTACTACCACCAGAACCAGCGGTGCCGACAACTGTACCGATAACGACAACGACAACGGCAACGACGAGCACTACTGTTGACAACGTATCATTACCATCGCTGGCGTCAGAAGCTGAGAACCAGACACGTCGCCTGCCGAAGGTAGTTCAGCCATATCCGGGGACCTAGACCTGCTAATGTGGTCACGGGGAAGATGTTGAGCTAGCTTTGCATCTGATGGGGCTTCTTTTTGTTTTTCCCAATTTCTTTTTTTTTTTTTTTTTTTTTTTTTTTTTTTTTTTTTTTTTTTTTTTTTTTTTTTTTTTGGAATGGACACGTAGGAGGGCTGGAAGGGGGGCCAGTAGTTCTCTTTCACCGACGGGCTACAATGGTAGAGCGGAGAGTGGGGACCTGGGGATAGCAGATGGAGAAAAGAAAGCATACTACCAGAGAAAAGAGCGGGAATCCAACAAGAGCCATAATGGTAATTAACTGCTGATGTTGGGGAGGGGTATGTATGATTGTTTTTCTATAGGTGAAGCGGGTTTGGGGTTGAGCGGCGGGGTGGGGAGTAAGTACATGTAGGTGGGTTGCTAAAGGCGGTCTGGCACCGCGAGTTTTCTTTTATTTTTCATATTCTTCGCGGATATTCTCAGTATTTCCCCATTTTCTTTCCCATAATCCCATTTCTATCTTCTACGACTTGTTACGGCATGGCTTTTTTACGAATATACCAAATATCATGTACCCCCCCTTTTTTATTTTATCTGATTGTTTCTTACTGCATATGCTGCCTTTGAAAATAATGTTTAAATTTAAACCAGCTCTAGCCCTCTTCCATCCCACCTTTTGCATTCGGATTATTGTCTTATTAGTAGTAGTATTGGTTTTTAGCCGGGCTGAAAGGTAATTAAGGCACTCGTAATTACCATCCGTGTGCCGCATGCGATAGTACCTAGGTATACCATGGGGAATTACCTTACATGGTTTAGCGCCATCCTGATCGGATTTAGCGCAACATTGCCCCTTTCTGAACTATATAAACCCCCTCCTCTGGGCTATACCAAATTGACTGATTTCATTACACAATACTATACTCCACCACGACTTTCGAATGATTTGAGGTTTGCAACAAAACTGGGCTCAAATCATTGTTGCCTTGAGTTGTAAAATAACCTAGTTATGTAGACTAATTTGGTATGCATTCAGCGGGCTAACTAATATAAATGATACTTATTCATATTCGGTTTCAATCAGAGCTATCGCATCATCATACGCCTTGATAATAGGATCATATAGCCTTTTTGGGTCTTGCGGTGTTCCAACTATAAGTCCTTCCACTCCATGAGGAAATAGTATGCGCCGTATGTTTCTGCAGAGTGGTTTGACCCAGTCAAACCATGGAGGAAATTCTTTCATCAGGATGCGCTCAAAGCCGCCAGCTTCCATGTTGCCTCGTTTATAAGTTGCAATTTCCTCGTAGTTGCCGGTGTACCATTTCTTGAGCATACTAAATCCGGACTTTTCTTGAAGTTGATGAGATGTTTGTGGTGGTTTTAACTCCCAACCGTGATGGGCACATTGCCAGATAAGCACGTAGAAGAATGACTCAAGATCATGCCGATAGGTATGGTCAATATTAAGCAGCACCTCAATTGCCATGAACTCCATTGTGCCTGTCTGGTGCCGTGCGCCGCTTCGCGCGCTCCCAACTTCTTTGGCAAGATCTAGATCAATTAGCATGCCTGAGTGACCATCCGCCTTATCTGGATTGGTTATTATTATATTGTTCTCAGAAATATCCCGATGAAGGATGTTCCCATCCAGATAAAGAGACCGGTGCGCCTTTATAGCATCACGAAGTGCCATGAGTAGCTCCAAGGGTGATCTGTACTTGTAGATCGGCCGGCCAGCGGGTGATATCACAAGACAGCGGAGGACACGGTTGTCATAGGGTTCCTCTCCATTCCTGTTGAAGAGGCTTGGCTCATGCACTGACTGAATAGAGAAAGCTAGTTCATTATCCTGCTGAGTGGCTCTTGACAGCTGATTGATGGAACGCGATCGTTTGGACGCCTGCATCCCCTTGTCTGGAGATCTGTGTTTCCTGGAAGATGATTTTTGATGGATATCCAAGTGATCGGGCTCGGTGAGCGGCTGAGATTGATGAAATGAGGAGGCTGTGCTTGGAGTTG